GTTAACCAAATCAGTACATTTATTCACAGGATGCTGAAAGAACATGAAGATCAGGTATTTGGAAATAAACAAAGAAAATACGCTTCTGTTTAAGATTCTGGAGTTGATATTGATGAGCAGGGTACCAGTAGTTGCCCTGTATAAGAAAATAACCAGTCCATCTTCCAAACATGCCTGTTATAAGCAGCTTTGGATGTGACAATTACACTGATAGACCAGGAAATGCACATATCTTATGCTTCCTGTTCCTGCTCTTCAGTGTCTCATCTGAAATAAAATGTTCAATGCCTCTCCCACAAGTGGGCAGATTTAGTGTACAGACAGCTTTGCTTATCTCCCCATCAGCAGAGACTCAAGTTATATTAAATCATGTTTATTATGCTGCTAACTTAATGTAATAATGACTCATCCACTAGATGAGATCTAGTAGAGCCCATGCTTCCCAGGCGCAGTGAAATGAAATGACATGTCCTTAAAGACAAAGTCCACTCAGCCTGAAAAAGCTGCTGCTTCTTCAGATGAAGTTGCTGAGCAAGGCAGTCTCAGCATGGCAGAAGTACCTGGAAGTGCTAGCTTACATTACTCTAATGCTTTGTGTGAAGTGGTAGCCACTGCTTGGTGGTACAACCCATGACTGTGTGTGGAAGATCCTAGGTTCAAATCAGTTCCCAGCGTCTTTAGTCAAAAAGACCTCAGGTAACAACCATAGGTAACAAGCCCCAACCCTTGAAGAGCTGCTTCACATTAAAGCAAATGGGAGAAGGCTAAATTGTCCAGTTGTCAGACTCAGGACCTGAGGCGCCGAGTTCTGCCCAACATTGGGGGTGTGTTTGTGCATATGTGACATCACATGCGCAATGCAACTGTCCCATCAGGAGGAGACCAATAGTGGGAGGAGTCTGAGCACGAAGACTAGCTGTGCGGCATGACGTTGTGCTCGGCTCCTGGCTCTCCTGCCTCACTGTGGCTGGCCCTGTGGAGGAAGCAAGCTTGGCGAAGAGGGCAGACAAGGCCGAGGTATGATGGGACTCACAGTCCCTGCTTGGCCTGCCCTGGAGGCTACAGTAGGAGGCACAGCAGAGGCAGCGACCCATTGCAAAACAGTGCCATGGCAGGACCAGGAAGCAGAACTGTCCTTTTGCTACAGCTCCAGGCGACTTTGCAGGCCCCCCCATCCCCATGGTGAAATACCCCCCAGGACACTCCGGACAGTCCTGGCAGCCTCATCATGAGAGAGACGCTGGGCAGGTGGCAGAGGGGCCACAGTGATGTGGGTCTTCCCTATGAGAGAAAACAACAGCAGGGGGGGTTGCTTAGGGAACAAGGCAGTGCACAAGCAATGTGTTGACTGTTGCATCGGTAGGTGGCTGATTCTGCACTCGGCCTCCTCCGCGCCCTCAAAATTGGGGGGTTGAAGACACCTAAGCCCTGTAGAGTTGGCACCTATGCTCAGGCCAAGCCAGTTTCATATGTAGTTAAGGATGCAGGATGAACTCTGGCATTGTTCAGATGCCTATGGGAAGTCCACCAGCAGGACATGAGGCCAACAGCCCTCTCCTGCTACTGTACCTCAGGCATTCCCCCTCGGAGCCTGGCAGTCACACAGTGTCATTGAGAGCCTCACCCTCCACAAATTTGTCTTAATCGCCTTTTTAAGCCATCAAAGCTGGTGGCCCTTCCCACACTGTGTTCCTATGCGGACCCAGGTTCTGTGAGTCGTCAGAGAAAGAAAGCTGGATGCCTGCTGGCGCTGAAGTATTGCTAGCAAAGTACCCACGCAGAGATCCTCCGATTCTTACACTTCTCTTTGGTATGCACGCAGCATTCCTTTTTGCTGGCGGAGCAGAGTGGTGGCACTGACAACAGCTGGAGAGGGTCTCTTGAGATGAAACAGGTGTTGCACGGCAGCAATTAGGGAGAAAGCAAGAAGGCAAAATAACAGGGAGTTGCCAGGAGCTAAATCCTTCCCTCGGGAACAGTGCCTGACCTCAAGGAAGTCCATGAGACATCCAGCCAGACGGAAAAGAAAAGCTCGTCCCTCTAATAATGCGCGTTAGCCACCACCGATAACACATACTCTCTCTCTTTATTTCCTGGGTGGGAGTGAAATCTCTGTCAAATGATGCCCTTGATGTTACAACTACTGTAAATAGCAGCATAAGAAACAAAGATCCCGCTGCCGGCAGCTTTTGGGCGGCTTGAATCGAAAGGACATCCATTTGAAAATTTGGCTGTCATTAGAAAGAAAGCGAGGCAATTTCATGCCACAGTAGTTAGAGGCAGACAGTGTTCTGGTCACTGGTAAGCACAATGTTGTTGCTAATGTCTCCAGTAACTGCTAATTTACTCTTCCATTTTGCTCCTCTACACTAGCCACAAAGGGAGCTGACTCCAATTATTTTTCAGACAGAACCCAGCCTGGTGTTTACCATTATCTCCCTGACAACCCCTTCGTGTGACAACATTATGCAATGTAATTGCAAAGCTGCTTCATCTCACTGGGGCTGTTATTTTCAGTTATTTTTTTTCCCAAGGTCAAGGATAATAATTAAGGGATTGCCTGCAACACAACCTTGTTATGTACCCAAAAAAATAACTCCCAATAAGTCACCCACTGTTCCCCCGTGAGGAGATTTCTGTCCAGTTAAGAAGTGCTGGAAGATCATTTGAATGGTGTTTGGGGAGTGGAACACTAGGGAATAATTTGTAGAGAACAGCATCTGGAAGTCCACACAGCTTTACACATAATGCTAAGTCAAATTATGTCTAAGTGTTACAGAACGAGTATGCGAGTTCATGAAATTAAAGTCATAACTGTGTTGCTGCTTCCACCATCCTGCTACTGCCATAAGTACCCAGAGCTAAGCTATGGTTTGTCTTCATGTTATATCTAAGCCCAGGCTCATGGTGTGTTTTGCTCCAGACAACCCACAAGTTCTAGCCATGGTTTGTTATTGAATGATAATTCATGAGTTGTCTGGAAGAAACAAACCAGAATCCCTAGTTTGGACATAACACCAAGGTAAACCATGACTTAGCTCTGGGTTGCACAGCAGTAGCAGAGGATGAGCAAAGTCACCACAGCTCTTGCTCCGTATATTTGCATACTCACTCATTCACATTTCGTTTAGCTTAGCGTGACATGCAGACTGGGCCTTTGTCAGGTGTTGAGTACAGATATAAAACAACTGAATGAATATATATCACATGCACACCCCATTGTCACATTGTATCATGACCAAATTCTCAATGAGGATTAACTTGTTCCATAAAGCAGGATTGGGGAACTTTTCTTCAGCCTGTGTTCCCTCACAGGCAATCTTCTGGGGGCCACATACCAATGGCCACTCTCCATTCTCCAGCCAGGCAATCAAGCAGTATTATCACAGTTCAAAACCATAATGTAGGCTGACTAAATCACTAGGGAAGGGTACAGAGCAGGGCCAGTGAAGGGTGTGGCCTGGGGAGGGGGCTGGGAAGAGTCACCAGGGCAAAATCCCTCTGCAGATTTTCTGTGCAGCTGATAAAAGCCGGCTCAGAGAGTAAGATCAGATTTTCACAAGGCATGGCCACAGAGCAACGAGAAAAGCTCTTGGAGCTGGTGGAATGAATCAGTACATGGAACAATCAAAATATGGGTCCACCGAAAGTGGGGATAAGCCATAGGCATAAATACTTAATAGAGTGCCTTACCCATCATCAATCTTCCCTTGGTTTTCCACAGCTAGATAAGATTAATTGTGTAGTAACATGGGAGAGGGCCTAGTCTGTGATGGCGCCCTGTTTGTGGAATGCCTTCCCTCTCAATATATAGCTGGCCCCTTCTTGAGTTTCAGCACCAGCTGAAGGCAGGCTTGCTTGCTCAGACATTTGTGTGGGTTAAGTATAGTTATACCTGCTGGTGTTGACTTGTTACCTGCTTTTGTTTTAGAGTATAATTGTATTGACTAGTTTTATTGTTTGGGATTTTTTAAATGTGTTTTATTGTACCATTCCCTGGATCAACTTGTGATCAGGCAGGTTACAAATATAATAAATGAATGGATAAATAAATGGACATTACATTTTCAAAGAAATACAGAGTGGGAGATGGAAGTGTGTTCAGCGGAGGGAGTGTAGAGACCTCAGACTTTTGTGTGTCTGGAACGTAGGCTATTGTATAAAGGGTCACATCCGTCGCTCTGCTCACTTTTAACTCTGGCCTCACTGACCTGGAGCTTTTGCCTGATATGTGGCCCTCAGAAAGTTGCCCATCAAGGAACGGGTCCCTCAGACTGAAAAAAGTTCACCCCACAATGCCCTCCAGTGAAGCCCACTGTCTTGTGTTTGCAGTTAGTGGCCCATTCGGTGTCCAGTATTTACTCCAGCTTTCCCATCTGAGTCACACCTTGGTACGGTAATTGTAACCAGCAGCCTGACTCATGGGAATTGACAAAGATGGTAACGGAGAAAGAGTAAAAGTAGTGGCACAAAGAAAGTGCAAATCACCTCGATGGCTGACACTGACGAGCAATGGCCTTCTGGAGGGAGATAGTCTGCAATAATTGGATCCCACTTGTGTGTGAGGCAGAAAGGTCTTGATGGGAGCAAGGGAAATCAATGAAACAAGATAAAGGTAGAACGAGGGTGGGGGGATCCTGTACATTTGACACTAGTGAAATATCTCTCCATTTTCCCATGTCTTATAACTTACTTTTCATTATCTTTAGTGTGGGTAGAAGTGGATCTTTGTTCCTTGTTGTAAAAACCGGCTGGCTTCATCTTTGTTGCCTGCTGAAAGAAATAAAGCAAACAGTCTTCTCACCAGGCAGCCACATACAGTCCTCCAGATTTTCTCCAGCAAGACTTCCATTTTTTCCCCCAATGAGGCTTGTGAATGAGAACAACAAGGGAGGACCAACCATCTATTCTGCATTTCTCAAATGTTTTCTTTCCACTAATTATTTCAGTCTACTGTGGATCTTCTCCAGTCATTTTTAGCCCTCTTGGACCAAAATTTGGCCCCCTAAAAATATGAGTTAAGTTGGTAGAGCATGAGGCTCTTAATCTCGGGGTCCTGGGTTTGAGCCCCACGCGGGGCAAAAGATTACTGCATTGCAGGAAGTTGGACAAGATGACCCTTGTGGTCCCTTCCATTGATTCTATGAAACTCTTAAACCAGCAGGATGCAAAATATTGATTTTAAATGTAAGAAGCTAAGAGGAACCCTGCTCCATTAGGCCAATGATGCATCTAATTCAGCATCCTGTTCTCACATTGGACAACCAGATGCCTGCGGGAAACCTTCAGAAAGGACCTAAGCACAAGAGCACTCTCCCTTGTGGTTTCCAACAACTGGTGTTCAGAAGAATGCTGCCTCTGACGGCGGAGGCAGAGCATAGCCCTCATTTCCTCATAATCCTCTTCTAAAGCCATCCAAGTTTGTGGCCACCACCGTCTCCTGAGGGTGAGAGCTCCACCCTTTAACTATGCCCTGTATGAAATGTCCCTGTCCCTGACTAATAACTTCAGGAATGTTTGGGGACTTTTCTCCTTCAGTTTGCAGAGAATACACAACTTAAGGTCAGCAGAGTTATAGCTTAGTTAAATCTACTGAGAAATGGTAGTTCCCCGATGGATGAATAAGGCAACAAAATAAGGTTCTCGGTGATGGTCCCATGAGGAGCTACACTCAGGGCAGTATCCAATTAAAACAGGTACACTAGTGCAATGACTTTTGGCTGCACAATGTAACTTCCCTGCCCTCTTCTCTCCCTGCATGCTGACTAAATCTGCTTCAGAGGAAACCCAGAGCAGCTTTAGGGGTCACACTGTGGTGGGGAGAGGATAGGATGGGGAACCTACATTGCCCAACAAAGAGTCACTGTGCTAGTATAACTGTTAGTTGGATACCATTCTCAGTTTGGTAGGTGTGAGGATGCACTTGCTTGCCTTTGATCACACTACCCTTATTAAATGAACAGTCATGCTTTCTCCTACTAAGGAAAATTCATGAACCAAGCTTTTGTGGCCTTGGTACATTTCAGCTGTTGATGGGCACAATCAATACTTAGAGCATGTTTTTTCCTGGTCAGTATTCCATTTCTCAATCATAGCCCATGTGGATCATGATGATACTTTGCCTTGGGAACATCATGTCTCCATCTCTGTCTTCTATCTGCTTTGTAAGATGGTATCCTTGCTCCCCAGGGTTGGTCTGATATATTTATTTAGATTTCTTTCCTGCCACAGGAACACAGATAATGGTTACCATTATCTCGTTTGAGTCTCTCAAAAACAATAAGGGCTGCCTAAATGTATAGGAGTGGACAAACAGTCTTGATCGGGTCCATGTTCCCTGCACATCTTTAGTCTCATCTTACATGTGACAATCTATAAGTGGATTGCATGTCGTTTCCTGTACAGAACTCTCTTTCTATCAGCTGTAAGAGATTGGTTAGGCTGATATGGGGACTCAGAACTATACATTCAGAACAATTACCGTATGTGGTAGAGTCCTTCCTGGAGTGTACAATTCAGACTGAATGTGTGGTTGTGTGAGAGAGAGAGAGTTGTGATTTTGAACTCTCCCCTATGTAAAAAGTATTCCTACAAGAAGAAAGATAGCACATTGGGTTGTATTCATTGCTCGTTATATGCAGAGGAAACCCTTAGAAATTAATGGGCATGCCTAGCTTAGGTCCATTAATTTCAGTGGGTCTATTCTTAGTATGACTATTGTTAGATGCAACCAACTGGGTTGTATCAAGCATTGACGTTGTGCAAGCAGAGCAGATTTTTGCTCACATGTAAAGCAGTAAAAAAAATATTAACTACTTTAAGCCGGATATAGTTTTAAACAGAGGCTGCGAACACACTAACCCATTTGTTGCACAGGCATGTAGTTTTCTCCTGCTTTGGAGGGTAGGACTCGAGGCAATGGCTTCAAGTTACAAGTTACTAAACATTCAGAAGAACTTTCTGACAGTAAAAGCTGTTTGGCAGTGGAACAGACTCCCACGAGAGGTGGTGGACTCTCCTTCCTTGGAGGTTTTTAAGCAGAGGTTGGATGGCCATCTGTCATGGATGCTTTAGCTGAGATTCCTGCATTGCAGGGGTTAGACTAGATGACCCATGGGTCCCTTCCAACTCTAAGATAAATCTGGAACCATTCATGCTCTTCCTTAACATGCTGCTTTTAATCTAGATTGATTCTCCCACCTACTGTCAGCAACCAGAAACATCATAGCCAGACACTGGAAAGACCTGTCAAGAATAAGCTTAGACCAATGGTACCAAATAGTATGGGAAACAGCCCTACTAGGAAAATTAACCAATAAACTGAAACTGACACAGGGACAAATAGAAGATGATACCTTCACCCTGGTATCGCTCCCTTTCATCACATACACAGCCCAACAAGACAACGACAAGAATCCACCAACAGCATATGAATCAATATTGCTAACCTGATTCAAAAACACCCACCCACTCCACTCACACACGAAAACAAAGTTCAACACAGCCAATCACAAACAAGCAACCGCACCCTAGGCCAACCACAATTTCTCTCACCACCAAAGGAACACAAGCGAATAGCAAAGAGAACCTGCACAAATGACGCTGACACAAAAACCCACACATACATTAAGCAAAATAGAAACATTGCCACCCGACCCCACCCCCACCCACCATGGCCCCCTCCACCTCTTCTCCCCTCTTTTCTTCAACAAATGAAACTGACCTATGGAAAATGTAACTTGAAAAAAGAGACATTGCGCATACCTTTGTAAACCAAGAAAACTTTCATAAAATTTAAAATTAAAAAAAAAAAATCTAGATTGATTCTAAATCCTGCTGTCCACAAGGGTGGGTGTAGATACCTGATATGCATTTGAAAACCCTCCTCTTTATTAGGTTGTCCACTCCTTTTCCTCCCTGCATATGCCTCAGGTAAGTGAAGAAGGAAGCAGTGGCTGCAATCTTAGCACATCCCCACTCACAACATCATTGGGCATATGTGGATACATCTCCCCGCATCCCCCGGCTGCTGTTGGGACTGCCTACATCTGTTTTCAACTGGTCACACTGCAGAGTAATACAGATGCAATCTGCAGTGTGACTTTATTTTCAGAATGAAACCAGTTTCTCAAGAAGGGCTTTTCGGGTGCAAAAGATAGGCACAAGATCTAGACTGTGTGTGGACTAAATAGAAAAAGCAGGCACTCAGTCTCCTTTGATTCTTTGATAAAATGTGTGTATGTAGCCCAGGGTGTAGAACCTTTGGTTTTCCAGATGTTGCTAGATACTCCACCTGCAACCATCGCTATCTATTGGCCATGCTTCCTGGTGCTGCTGGGAGCTGGAGCCTGAAAGCATCCAGAGGTTCTCTACCCCTGTGTAATGGAAAGCTTTCCAAAATCCTCTGGATCATGATTCATCACCTGTTTTACAAAGCAATTAGTGTTATATCTTGCTCTCTTTACTCAGGCGAGGCTCCATAACAGGTTGTCCTTTCCTACTAAGCTTATAAAGAATGACGCATAGCAGCTCTTTCCTTGTAAAGCTGCAGGCGAAAAGAGAGAGCATAGGTTTCCCACATATGAGAGAAAGAGCACTTGGAATGATGTAGTGCGCTGAGTTAACAGATAAAGGAGCTTTGAGGAGCCTTGAAAAGATAGCAGATTTAAAAGAAAGAATTGTTTTTATATGTTGCCTTTCACACTTGAGAGCCCCCAAAGCAGCATCGTTCAGAGTAATGCAATAGATATTGTTGGTGTAATAGCTTGCCACAGCCAGTATATGGCCAACAATAGAACAATAGAATTATAGTGTTCCAAGGGACTTAAAGGGTCATCAAATCCTCTCTGCGCTGGGACAGGATTAATGTCTAAGTCTGCAAGCCTATGCACAATTACCTGGAGTAAGTCCCAATGAACTCAATGGGTTTTACTTCTGAATAAATGTGCATAAGAGCAGCAAGCTCAAGGTAAGGATTCTTCTTTTCAGCCAGTATATTTCCTGTACATCAACATTTGCCAGTCGTGATGAGGAGAAGCCTGACTCCCACTTCCCAAATGCCATTTACGCTAGAGTTTTCCTCCCTACAGTGCAGTAAACAAGAAAGTGAAAGGCAATTATTGTGCCAAACCAGTCACTAATTAAGTTGAAGATGCTTGATTTCCCTTTTATGCCTACGACAACAACAAATCAATAATGCCTCAAGTCAACAGACTGAGTATGAAATTCTATAGCAATACATTTTTTTCTGCGGGACAGTTGCATTAATATTGCGGTTAGATTTGTGTGTGTTTAGGCTTACTTGGGAGTGAGCCCTACTGAACACAGTGGTACTTTTCTGGGTAAATATGCATAGGATTGTGCTGTTTATTTCAAAATGTGCTACTTCAACTTTCTGACAAGAGGAATGTTCAAGATGACATGTAAAAAGTCAGATTTGAAACAACGCAATCTGAAATAACAAATATACAGAACAGCAGAAGTAAACATTGGTTAAAATAATGAACAGATCTATTGCATTTGTCATTAGAACAGTTTTTGGTTGGACCCCCCAAAGTAAAGTGCTAGCAAGCTGAATGTGGCTAAGGAGCCCCAAATTGGGGTGTCACCACTGGAAAGGCCTTGCTTCTGGCATCCACCTGTCAAAGGAAAGGCCTGGAACAGAGTCTCACATTATGATCTTGGCAGAACAGCAGGTTCAAAAGAGAGAAGGTAATTCTTTAGATACCTGATTTTGGTGCTGTTCTTACTGTCAAAATAATGAATTTCCAATCTCCATCAAGGAATTTTCCACTTTGGGAACAGAAATGTGCATGCTTTTAAAGAGAGTTCATTTGAGGCACATCTTTTACAAAGGAAGCAGTGAGAAAACGGATGCAAATTTGACTCTGCTTTGTGCATTTTGTCGTAATATCTAAGGAGAACTCTTATGTGTCTTTATCAATTCAAAATGCATGCTCTTCAGATGCATCTGTCCACATGAAAGATGTATTAATTGGATGTTATACCTATTTCTTCATTTAAATATTCTGTAAAGGGAGATTTCATTAATCATCTGCATTTGTGGATCACTAGTGCTGCCAGCTCTGATTCACCTTTTTGGCTCAAGCTGGAGGTAACAGGGTGTCACTTGTGAATTCAGCATCCATTTACCCTTCAGGCCAGTTTAATACAGCGATCAGCACTAACAGAGCTTCTTCAGGTACCATCTGTTAAGTAGAGGAAGGGGGCTTTGCAAATACATCCCAAACCAAATGCGTGTTTGCAAAAAAACAAAACCCCAAACCCTCTCTTTGCCCATCAGCAGTTGGTGAGGTGATCTTTTTCTTGCACAGGCACACATATGCAAAAGGTAATCAATAACATCTAGGATTTGCTTCAAAAGAGAATAGACAGTATCATCCATCTTAATGAATGTTAACTGAAACTCATCTTGCTTAATTCCCAGCACAAGAAGATCTATAGCTTAACAGCCCCTTAAAGCACTGAGTCTCACCAAAGATAGATCAAGAGAGGGGGAGGGAATTATGTTTCTTTGTTGTTTTAAACAGAACAGGGGAAACTTCAGTCCTTTCTTTTTAAAGATACGCTGATAAAACTATAAATCTTTAAACTACTATAGAATTTACTGTAGAATTATAGTACAGTAATGGAAACAGAAAAAGCTACTTTACCTGCCAGACCAAAAGAATGATATATAAGAAGAGAAGGAACATGAAAATGCATTCTTCATGGATGGAAAGGAGAATTCCATCTCATATTCTATACCATTCATTAACAAAGGGAGATTTTTCAATAAGGGGGAAATACAGCAGCAAAGTTATTACTTATAAATCTGACATAATAAGAGAAATCTTATTTTGCTCCTGTGAATCAAGCTTACATTGCAGTCTCTTTTTTCCTCCATTTGAAAAGAGTAGTCAGCTAATCCATGTCGGCCTGAGAATGTTGTAAAAATGCTTATTTTGCTTCCTGTTATTTAATCCATTGGTAAATGACATTGCGTGCTGCCATTGAAAGCTGAGGGAACAAGCTTATTTTAGATATGAGTGGAAATGCCACTCAGAAAGAAAATGTCATTTGAGCTAATTGCAGCTTGAAGTACACCCATGAGTAAAGGGCACACACACCTTCTGGCTTCACAACAGCTTTGTCCACTCCTTAAAAAGGGCCCTCTTGATGATGTGTGGTTTAAAACCCCACCTGCCACATAAAACCCAAACATTGCTTTGTGTTTCTGTGATGCAGGTAACTTAAGCCTCCATGTCAACTTTTATCTCCAGGCAATATTTCCTGCATAAGTGTTTGCCTAACCAGATTTAATTCAATTGCCAAACACAGAAGAATGACACACTGATCCTCTGGAGTGCTGGATATTTGATTATGAGTTTCCATCTTTCTACTCCTCCTTCTGGTGGCAGTTGTATCTGTAAAACAGAGAGTTCAAACAAAATACTTCTCTGTCATCACCAGACTTCTCCACAGGAAAGCAACACAAAATATATAGATATTTTCAAATCACAGAACAAGGCTGCTGTGGGAACTTCACAATCTGATTTTGTAATACTGGAAATACTTCTGAAGAATTTTGACGTGCCTAGCAAAATAACAATCTTGGATGTGTGTGTGTGTGTGTGTGTGTGTGTGTGCGTGTGCATGGGACAAAAGCTTCCAAGGATCACACGCTAGGAATGGGTAGGCCTAGAGACAAAAATGGACAGGGGTAATGAATGTAAATTTCACCTTCGTACAGTAGGCTAGTTTCTATGTAAATCCGTCTCTATCAAGGCACGTAAAATGCACAGTCAGAGCTTCAGAGCACATTCCAGGTATGTGAAAACACTCAAGGAGGATGCAAATCAGACCAGGGAAGGGTGTGGCCTGAGGAGAGTTCTGACTGCTGGACAGAGAAGCCTGGAGAGTGACATTTCTCCCCCAGGCCTGAGTTTCCCCATTACCTGATTTAGATACAAGTTCTAGCTTTATTAGACATTTTGCGAGGAACAGAGCTGGACAACAACTTTCTGCTGCTTTAGGTGAAAGACAAGATGGCGCCCGTGTCCAGAAGCTGACTGGATAAGCTTGATGTTAGCCACAGGACGGCATCATCCATCGTCATACCTGACAGCAGCAAGCTCACTTAGGTGTTGCACTGCAGGGCACGTGGCATACAGCCCTGTCCACCAGAGCCTCCCACTGCTCCCTAGCCCCCAACATGTGCTGTCTGAATTGCCTCACCCTGCCTAAAGGAAACGCTGACCCTGGCCAGCACCTGATACGGGGAATTCTTCTGTTTATCAGTAGTAAACAGAAGAATGGTCAATATTTGGTTGTTGTTGTTGTTAAATAAACTTTTATACCAAAACACTGAACATTGGTTCATATATAATGCACTTACTCTTCAAATCTTCCCAGAATCCACCAACAAATATAAACTTAACAACCATTTTCTCCTGCGAAGTTGCCAAGTCTGTTTAATACAGTAAGTGGCTTGAAGCTTGCAGTCGTGGGTTATTTTGCAAGTTATCCATTCAGCAACTTCTCTTGCTTAAATTCACAAACTACATTATAAACTATTTGGAGTTTTAAAAATGTGTTTCAAGGCTTTTTAAGAGACCTAAGAAAAGAATTGCCTCCAGGAGGCAGCTGCTGTTGAATCCAACTCAACCATGGCTTTGACTGAGCAGAAAGTGCTTATGCTTCTATAAGTTAGGGCAACTGATTTTCACCAGCACCACACACACACACACACACACACACACACACACACACACACACATTGCTGCTCTGCACAGCATGCCCCATTCTGTTCCAGAGGCTTCCCAGCCCTCAGGAGCACATTCACAAAAAATATATGAAAGTAGTCCAAAGTCCTAAAAGTAAAACAGATCCACCATGAATCATTAAAAATAATTTAAAATGTATTTGTAACCGCTTCCTAAAATAATTTGAAACACTTACATAGGTCCTCAATTCCCATGTAGATTAAATAGCTAAAATATTAACTCATTTCTTTGCTTACATTTAACTTACTTCGCCTTTATTGTTTATTTCATCTTCTGACCTGACAGTACATAGCTTACATTAACAGACTGTAATCTATTATATTCTCAGGTTGAACAATCCTAAACCCCAGTCCATGCTGCTGTCCTAAGCTCTTGTTCCTCCTCTTTAGGCATAGAGATATGCATATACTTGAGATGGCTCACATGCACTTTCTGAAACATTTCCCTAAGTGGATATTCTTTAATCACACGGTGTAGTGTATGAATGGCACCTTGTGCATGTTTTGAAAGTGAAGATGAATGCACATTGAGGGTACTAGAAAACTGGCAATAGTGGATGCCTATTGAGAAGCATACCTCTCCACCACTGGCTTGCAGCTGGTTTTCAAGAGTTGTGCAAATGTTTTGTTCTTGTAGTGGAGAAGGTACTATGAATGGTTATCTGGCACCATCATGCAATCAGAGACCAGCAGACTCTATATTTACATGAAATGGATGGTAGCTAGTTTGACCGTATTCACTCCTTCATTCCTGAGTACCCACAAATGTCTGCAGTTAATGGGGAAGAACTTCCAGACTTCCAGAACGTGAAGGCTCCAGGAGCACCATTACCTAAACACCAGCTGTTTCCTAATGATCTGCTGGTTGAAGCAAACAAAGAGGCACTAGGGCCAGATCCAATGCCCAGTGAAGCCCACAAGAGAGCTTTGTACATCTGGAGCCACTGGCCTTTAGAGGAGGTCCTGCCATTATTCCCCAGTACTTTGCATGGAAGCTCAAGGGGCTGAATGTAGTTAAGCAATTGTAAATGGACGTCTTTATTTTTTGGGGGGGTGGGAGTTGTGTAGGGAATAAATAAATATCAGGAGATTGTCTGGTATTTTTTCACTAACAACTTTTGGTCTTTTTTCTTCACTTATATTGGAATCACCAGAGCAGACAGCCTCATCTAGTTGACAGGCATGCTTCCAACATGGTGCTGTGACTGTACTTTTACAGTGAAGCTTAATTTTATAAACAATGCAGATCACTTCACTGTGTGAGTGAATCATCTTGCCTGAAGAGGGGTTGTTGAGAGAGGCTGGAAAAGATTATGATAGAGCTGTTTCCATTACTTGTTCCTAGGTGTTTGCTCATTCCTTTATCCACGTCCTTTTGAAGGTATATCTATTTGAACTTGAAGATAGGTAGATAGATGATAGGCAGAAACACTGCTTCCTATTCTAGCCTGCCACTCATTTTCATGCAGTGATTTGCCAAGTGGTCATCCATGTTCTTCCATGACCGTGCACATGCCTTAATGATCAGCAAAACTCAATACGCTTCATGAGATCTGAAGTAGGAAGATAATTATTCTTCAGTTTTATGTGTCCTCCCACGGACACACTTTTGACCTCAGGCAGTGCTGTGGTTAATGAAATACTGGGCACTTAAACCTGAACCTAACCTATTAGGCAACTTTCAATTAGCTTGATTTGCTAGCAAATGGTTGCATGGTTCAATTAAAAAGACACCAGCACACTCCTTTTTTAAAGCAGAATCCCAGCCTTCCCCCCCACCCCGTGTGTGTGTGTGTGTGTGTGTGAGAGAGAGAGAGAGAGAGAGAGAGAGAGACTGGCCCTTTAAGGAGCCAACTCAGTCGTGAGAGATGCTGCTGTTCGGGCTTGCTTGAATCCCCAGGAGCCCAGTTAAGAAATAGACAGCTGTCTCTTTAAGTGTCATTTCCTTCTATTGTATTTGAATCGTGAGCAGGAAAGAGGATGTGAAACCAGAGAGGACAGACCGCGGAGCCAGCTTCAATAATAGTAGTAGTAGTAGCAGTAGTGGGGTAATAATAGCAGCAACTTCGACTATAATGGGGATGGTGCTGTTGCTGGAGATGCTGGCAGCTGCCTCTGCGGAGCAGGAGCCCCTCTCTCGAGCGCGCCCGGAGCTGCCCAGGCAGCAAACCTAAGGCAAGCAGCAGAGGAGACTCCGGGATCCAACGCAGCAGCAGCAGCAGCAGTGACAGCTCGGGAGACGGCGGCGCGGAGCAATCGGCGGCGGCAGCAGCAGCTCCAGCCTCTCTCTGCCCCGGTCGCTCGCGCCCCCTGAGCAGGAGGAGCGTCGGCGCAGCCAGGATGGGAGGTTAGATCCTAAGGGTTAGCTAGGCGCGCTCGCTTGCAGGAGAGGCATCGTCGCAGGAGCAGCATCCAGCACGCACCAGCCCACCTCTCTCTCTCTGGTGCTACAGGAGGAAATCCTGCGAATGTCCTTGGGGAGCGGGAGGGGGGCGGAGGTGCCACTCTGCCGCGGGTAGCGAGCAGGCATTCAGGAGCAGGCAGCCTTTGTGGGGGCAGATCTCGGCGCAGACCAACCCACCGGCGAACTACAAAGGACCCCGGAGCTGCCAATGTCCTCGGCCATCGAAAGGAAAAGCCTCGAGCCCTCCGAGTAAGTGACCTCCTCTCCCTGTCCGCCCCCCTCCAGTCCCCTCCAGCTTCGCATCTCCAGAGCTAGGGCCAACTTTGCCTTGGAATGGAGACGGATTCTGGGCAATCCGTGGGGCTGGATTGTTGGGGGGGGGGGAGATAAAATAATGACTGTTATTATTATTATTATTATTATTTTGATTATGAGCGCTGGCTTAAGAGAAAGTGCCATTTGGAGAGAGACAGAAATAAATACGATGGGGGCTGCACCTTCCTTTCTCCAGGTTACTAGGTGTGTTTCAGAGACCCCGCTCTCCCCATCCCGATCCAGTCCCTGTACCGCGATCACGTTGTGAATACGGATGGGCTGTGCAGCAAGGACTAGGCAAGATCTCATTAAGCTCGCACTAAGCCAGCCAGCCTGCCTGCTACTTGCAGGGATGGTAACTGAAACCCAGAGCCACAGGCAAGTTCCCCATTTTGAGTTGGAGGCCAATTACCAGAGCCACCAGATTTCCTATCCAGCTCCTGCTGAGGGCGGGAGTGGGGAGGGGAGAAAGGAGCGGGCATTTAGGGTCGCAAACGCCTTTGCATCAGGTCCTGCAGATTAGGTGATGCTGATGAAAGTGGCTTCAGAGGGATAGGGGCTGGGAGACTCCCGTTGTAAAAAAGCCCAAGTTTGCCTGCAGTGCCTCTCTTTCTTCTTCTTCTCCTCCCTGCCCGGCTACACACTGGCTGATTAGACTAGAAAGGTCAAGGTTGTTATCAGATGCGTGTGTGCTGGCGCTCAACTTCCACATTTTCATAATGCAAACCACCGGTTTGAAACTTGGAACAAAATGTCCAGCAAGAGAGTTTCTGTGCATGAGCCACAAGCGAGATCAGAAGAGGGGGGAGTGGTTGCTGTCACTCACAACCCCAGCCGTAGCTGTTAAAGAAGTAAAAATAAATAAATGTTTAAGTTAGTATAAAATTTGGATTTCCTGGTAGACTTTTTACCATGAAGATCTTACTGTACTCTCAAACAAATGCAGATATACATAATTTCAGAGATGATTAATTTGCTGTATCACTAGCACTGCCATTGAACTGGGCTTTTAAAGTTTAAGTATTTACCTGTCCCATTGAACTTGGTGGGACTTACTTCTGAGTAAACAGATGTAGGATTCAAGCTATATGCCTCTATTTAGGGTGGTCATATTTTATTTGTCTAGACCACAGTAGCTTTGTGGTACTCTAGCAAGAAAATACTTTTAATGTCCCTACTTAATTAAATATATGTGTATATTTAATTCATCTGTCAGTTGTTCTCATGAGGTATCAAGAAAAAAACCAGGATGTGATTCTCTGCTCGGTTATACAGGCTTAAGGCTGCAATTATAAGCCTTCTTATCATGTACCAAGCACCCTTGAATTCAATAGGGGTTTCTTTTGAATAGACATGGTTAGAATTGCACTGTAAGTACCACCGAAATACTGTAAAATGAATCCACATGCAGAAAACAGTGCATAGGTTTTCGATCAGAGTTGGAAAGCCTTGCAGACCAGTCTGTCTCTGCTTTCCGAAAAATAGGTTATATTAATTTCAGTTGCATTTACTCTTATATTAAGTGTGGTAACAATCAGTTTCTGGCCTCATCCACTTCAGATACTTTTACAGAGACTTATATATCATATGTACTGACTGAAACATTGTGCAAATGCTGCAGTTGCTCCATTCCCTATTTCCCCCTGCTATGTTAAAGCTCCTTCTTCATATTTTAGGTTGCAGTCCTATATATCCATTTACTTAAGAGTAATCCTCTGAAAACTCAGTGGGACTTAATTTTTAGTAGACATGTATAGGATTGTGCCGTCAATCTTTCAAAACTGCCAGCAAAGGAGGGGGCTTGAGATTCAACTAACACCAATTTTCAGTGTATCGTTATGGCATACAGCATTCCAGAACATAAAGTTTATTATGAACATTTCCTCCTCCCACTATTGTAAAAGTCCCTCATTGTTTTGGGATAAAAGGACATGAAACTGGTCTTAAAGAACCATTCCAAACTGCACAACAGTTGTGCAAACCAAAACCTTCCTGTGCCTGTTTATGCAGACTTGTAGGATATCTTGGAGATAGTTTCTGGGTATTGGTTCAGGAACTCCCACACCTCTTTTCTCAATCCTATGCATTTTTAAATATATGGTTGCTTTCATGACAAGTCATGACAAGTCATGAACAACAATGAAAAAACTCTGTTCTTTCTGACAGAAATTGCTACTGTCTTCACTGACAGCATTCTCCATAAAAGACTAGTGTGCTAAAACATCATTTAAAATAGATTTGTGTGCAGAAATAGCAGCTGTGAATAGTGAAATAATTCAGTAGCACACTCACATGGCTATATAGGTATGGAATCAGGAGGTGTTTCTTCATAACGGCAAATCAAGAATTAGTATGAAATGCCTTGAGAACTTGATCATCTTTCAAGCTTTACGTAGACAAGATTCAGCCGTATTTATTTTTCAGATAAATGTGACTTGAGGAAGTTTTACTTCTTTGAATAGCGTTTTTGAGGGAGTTGAATCATTTTTCATTATGTTAAACTCTTCTTTTTTGTGAGATTGCTTTTGAGAGCTTAGCGAGATACAGTAACACAGCTTACTTATTCCTTGAGTGTAACATATAAGTCCTCTCGCGGCCTTAGAATTTAGCTGATATTATTGTGAGCATTTGGGAATCTATTGTACCAGTTGGTAAACAGGGATTAAAGAAAAATCAGGAGCAGGGTGGGTGAGACATAGCCTTCTCGTCACAGATTTGGTTGAGAAAGGAGGAAATGCCTGCCTTCAAGTGAGAGAATATGGCTACCCAGACTACCTCAGAGGCGTAGAGCCTCAACTGGAAGTCAGCATCTGACTGTGATCTGGATTGGAAAGTGCCCACTTCTAATTTTTTTAAAGTTGAATATGAGGCTGCCAAATTAGATGGCTGCTGGTGGGCTAAGATTTCGTTCAAGATTGGGGCAGTGGAGAGAAGGCTTTTACCTCAGGATTTCACCCAAACTGTCTTGGGGTTATGGAGTTGCTGGTGGGAGATATGTGGTAGCAAAAATGGGAACACCTTGGACTTGCCAAGGCCTGCACTGCAGTTATCTCTTGTTGGCAACACTGCGTCACATAGCTTTTAAGTGAGAGAAGTTCCACTGGGCCTTTTTACAGACTTAAAGTGGTCTGCACTTAGAGAGATCTATAAGGCCAATGTTGCATCTACTTTGACTAGAATGTACATTTGAATTTAGTTTCAAACGCTTATCCTGCATTATGATCATTCATATGTAGTATAAGTGGTGTCTGTGTGTGAGAGAGAAAGAGACTCAAATGAACTTATTTAGCATAAAAACTGTCCTGGGCAAAAAGGACGCCGTGAACGTTGTTAATGGTTTGAGCAAGAGGCATAATGTAAGCCAGTAAATCACGTGATTAACTTTGAAAATGTGAGGGTTTTATTTTTCCTCCGTGGCAATGTTTATGAGCTTAAGGTTAAACATGTGCTAAAATATCTTGCTGTGAGTTGCTGACTGTGCAGGCTGCTGGCGTTTTGCTGGGAATAATTCTCAACAGCAATTGCAAAATGGAATATCCAGGGAACAAAGAAGCTTTCAGGGAGATAATACATTTACATTAAGAAATGTCTTTTCTCCTCTCATTTTATCCAGTCATTATTTTACCTTCTCTCTGCCCCCAGCCCCAAATAATTTTTTTCCCTGGTGTGAAAAGTGCATTATTTCTTGAGAATACCATGCTACAGTGAATAATTTGGAGTTGAATCTTCCCATATGTATATGGTGCTACTCTTGCTAGCGGTCTCTGCCAAAAAAGAAAAGAAAAAAAGATGACTATTATTAACAATCAGGACCTGCTGATTCCAACTATCAGTAAGCATTCTATGCCCATTGTTTGGGAAGGTGGTTCCTATAGTCCTAAGTGTTTTTTTTTCCCCCTTGAAGATGCTTTGACTTCTGCAAAGGTTTTCTTGAGGCTGCTGATACCTTCCCCTGATGCATGCATAGTGCCATTTTGATGGCATCAGGAACTAGACTCAAAGAGTTTTCTATTTATTCTTTCCTATAAAGTTAGTACAGGACTGAATAACTCAAAAAACCCCTATTTCAGTCCACAGACAAATGCATATGGGGAAAAGCCTTGAAGATACTTCTGCCCATTGTACCTTTTTAAATATTACAGCTGGACAGTGGACTCTCTTTTGATGAGCTTATTGGAAGGCATTGCTATAAGGCAAAGCTAACTGTGGGGGCCATTAAGACAAAACCATCTCCCACACTGCCGTCAGGTTCAGGGCGCAGGTATAACATTTGAAAAGCGCTCTTATTATGTAGGCAGGGGCAAAAGATAAAAGTCCTTGCTTTAAATTAGCCTTTCCAACCTGGTGCACTCTAATTTTTTTTAGGCTACAGTGACTTTTAAGGAGGTTTTGAGTCTCAATAACAGGGTGGTTCTACCTTGGAATCAGGAACTATTACGAGTTACTGATATGTATGGACTCCCTTTGGGCATTTAGAAGGAGGGCCTACAGCAAAATGTTGAAGTATGTCATTGGCCCTAACTGAGGTGTTGTGGTTCAGTGTGCCAACCAGCTAGTGAATCTTCCAGGATGTCATAAGGTGGAAAAGTAGGGCATTCCATAACTCTGTTTTCTTTTGAAATTTGCACTCATCATTCTGTGGTTATTGAGCATGCTCATTCCTTGGTGGGCATTTTTTAAGGGAATGCCCCATAGATTTAAAAAAATAAATAAATTATGCAAATCTCAGTTTTCCTAAGCATACCAATATCTTATTTCTCACCATTTTGGCCCCCACTCCTGTCAACACTCAATACCTATGGTTCCTATTGGAGGAAGTAGTTAATAACATTCAGTATTCTGAAGCATGGGGCTATATTCATTTTCTAGCCTTCTCATCTTCATTCGCACATAATATCAACTACAACAGCTGCCCTAGGGAGGAAGGGTGTAGTATAAATTCAATAAATAAATAACAAAATAAATATCAGAGAAAACCTACTGGGGGAAACCCTGTACTTATCAGGACATGTCCTTGAATATCATGTCCCCATATCATTTGATGACATTCAGTGCAGTTCTGCACATGCTTACTCAGAAATTAGTCCCGGTATGTTCAGTGGGATTATTCCCAGGTAAGTGTGCAAAGGATTGCAGCCATGGTCCTGGCTCAGCAGTAGATCTGTTAAATGGACATAGGCGAGGCAATGTACCTCACACTGGTTAAGCTGTGAAATGGGTATAAAAATTACCAGTCTCACACAGTTGTTGTAAGACTATGGTGCTAAATAACTCTTCACAATCAAGTGTCATATGAATATTGATGGTCAAGGTATCATAACTGTATGGCATTCTTTACAAATGTTATTAAAATGTCTGAAAATATTCATCACAGCAGTGAAAACATTGATGTATGTAGCAGAGTAGGAAAGGGAAACAAACTGAACAGCAATGGTTTTTCTTAAAGACTTAAGAAAATATCAATTACTTAAAGATTTGGCTACTTATAGTTTTTCTTTATACCGTCCACAAATTCATTGCCACAGGACTCATGGGGTGGGGGTGGGGAATCCTTTTTGACACAAGTTTGCAGTGTGTTAATTACAGCTGTACGTAGATATTATTTGTAATAGATGTTGGACTGAATTTGGACCAAAACAAAAGTAATCCAAACAAATTCTTTTCCCATTTTCATTGGTATATTAAGTATTGCAAATTAATTAAAATTAATTAATTACATGAATTAATTACATTAATTAAAAGAAAATATGTTAGGGCAGCGTATATATTCTGCATGCATATATATATATTCATTCCAAGATTTTTCACTGAAATAGGCTAGACTTTACATTAGTATAAATTATATAAATTGAGCTTTCCCTCCATACATTTGCTAGCTATGAGTAAAGGCAAGAGGTTATGCAGGTCACCAAGTCCATTTACCACTGGGGATCTTACATTCTGGAATGTGAGGCTTCTGCAAGCATTTCCTACTTTTCCACACATACCTTTCATTCTTAAGGAACAGAAACTTTATTTTAAAGAGATGAGATTCTCAGGATTTTAAACCATGTATGCATAACCCTAACCAAACAATAACACATGTTAGGAGACTCTGTATTCTATAGGGGTTGAGTTGTAGAGTTTATTGCTGGGATGAAATTGTGTCTCTTTTACTGTACATTTCTTATTATGAATTGCATTTATGTAATTGTTTTACCTTTTGTATTGTATGGATATCATGTCATGTTTTAATATAACATCCATATAATACTGTGTGGTCTTTTGATGAAGGGCAGTATATAAAATTAAAATTAATTTAAATTAACAACGGGAGAAAAATCAGACTGAAGATTTTCTGATTACACTATGAGTTGGTTGGTTTGGCTGGATTAGTGTATTCTAAAGGCTGTCTCTTTCCACCAGGGAGCCAGTGGATGAGGTGCTCCAAATCCCCCCTTCCCTGTTAACATGTGGAGGTTGCCAGCAGAACATTGGGGATCGTTACTTCCTGAAAGCCATCGACCAGTACTGGCATGAAGACTGCCTTAGCTGTGACTTATGCGGGTGCAGACTTGGAGAAGTGGGAAGGCGGCTATATTATAAACTGGGCAGGAAACTGTGCCGAAGAGACTATCTCAGGTATACCAGCCACCATAACATAACCCTTCCTTCCTTCCTTCCTTCCTTCCTTCCTTCCTTCCTTCCTTCCTTCTGTCCTTCCTTCTTTTTAAAAATGAAGGTAGGTCTACGCTTAAAACTCTAGTGCAAGAACTGGGCTCAGTCTGCACAGAAGAGGTATAAGACACAGTAGTTGGAAACTGACTAGTCTCAAAGCCAAGTCTGGATAAGTTCCTTGTCAGTTAAAATGAGGAGGCGGGGAGAACTTCAGGCTCACAAAAACCTTATCCACAAATTGCTGTCCAGTCTTATGCAAGGCTCCACTTTGTAGGCTGACTACTGATATTTGAGACACAGTATGGCATGGTAAGGGGAAGGGAGGAAGAACTATGCCAGCATCACAGGTAGGCACATTACCAGTCCAAAGGTTTAAAATCAGGCACTTAAACATGTGCTTTTCCTGAATTGGGTGTAACCTTGGGCTGAATGACCTGTAAAGAGATGTAAAACTAGTGTTCATAACTAAGAATGGGGGAGAAAGTCAGTTGCATTCATATTTAAAGCCAAATTTATCAAATTCCACACTTTCCGGAACAATATGAGAATTCAAGCACAGCCATTCTTTAAGATTCACACTTCTCCAAATTTTGTGATGCAGTTATCTAACCAAAAAATGTGTGCAAAAATGCATACATTAGGGGGAAATGTGAAAAAAATGAATATTTAACTGAAAATATAACTGAAAAACATGTGTGTGTGTGTATGTGTGTGCACTATATGAGGAGAAATTGCTTGCAAAAATGTGTGCATACAAAATATGTTTATTAGGGAAAAAACTACTCTAAAATGCTGGGCAATTTCCATGAAGATTGTTTTTGTAATTAAAAGAAGTCACAAATTGCTGCAGAAATGTGGAAAATTGGAATTAAGATTGGAAAAATCAGGAACTAAGAGAATTGGAATTGATGGATCCTTCCATCCCTATTCATAAGACACTATGTACACACAGTTAATTTTTCTTAGGATCCTGTCTGTATTTTCTACTTTTAAAAATAGCATCAACAATCCCCCCCCCCCGTTAGTTGTGAATAAAAGAATAACTATGTTCTTCTACAAATCAAGGATCTTGATTGTTTGCCATCTCTTTTGTACTTCATATGTGTGATTCCATGAAGCCATGAGGGGGGAGAAACACTTTATTTATAGCTAAATGTATTTAGCATCCTCAAAAATTCACAGGTGTGTGTGTGTCAGTGGGCAATGGGGAGGAATAAAGTGCTAACCTACCCAATTATCCCACTTCAGAGCTTTTTCTAGTAGCAGTTGTGCTTGAGTAGGACTGCATTTGCGTAAAGTAATAATATGCAGTAAATCACCAGTATACGTGCAACATCCTGAAAAGAATTCAGCCCTATTTCCAATAGCTGAATATTTTCTCACTGTAATGGCAGAAAATATGGGCTGTTAAATTAATGCATTTTCTGTGCCTTGTAATTGGATGTGTTCCGTCTTTTCACAGCATAATGTGTTAATTATCTGTGTCTGCTAATGAAGAATTTCATAGACACAGGCCGTTAAATTGGCTTTGGCATTTCCCACATCTGTAATTCAAATGTAAAAGCCTACATTGTCTGGAACGTGTGTGTGTGTGTGTGTGTGTGTGTGTGTGTGTGTGTGTGTGTCTGTTTTAAAACAGTCCCTCTTCCTCTTTTTAATCTACTATCACAAGTGATGCATTCCAAGGTGGTTCTTTAGTGCCACCTTAAAAAAAACCAAAGAATCCATATCTAGCAATTGTTACAGTGACTAGGAAGCAATGAACAGTGACATCTTCTGGAAGGCCAGGGAAATGACGACAGTTTTCTTTCTAGGGATTGTACGTATTCCAAAAACCAAGCAGCCTGCTTTTTGTATGATGAGCACAGCGTTGGAAACTGACAAGCCCTTTCTGAAATGTGTGTGATTGCAAAAAACATTGCAAATTTATATTGGCCTCTGATTCCCAGTACAATATATCATCATCTACTGGCATATTAAACTAGATTTTTGCAAACTCAGCAGGCGGTAGCCTAAATTAATTAATTATCTGGAAGCACATGCTATCAATATGTATCTTGCACATTACACTGATAAACCTTTGAAAACATAGCACCATAATGGTGGTCTCTATGGGGGTGTCTTCATGAGGCTGCAATATGCTAAAACAGGTTTGGTCATCATGGTGCCTTCCATAAATTGTTGGGTTACAACTGCCATTATCTCTTGACCATGGGTCATGCTGGCCGGTTCTGATGGAAGTGGTCACCCAACATTATCAGGAGGGTAACATGTTACCTATGCCTGTGCTAAAATAAAGGATCCTATAAAACTTTTGGCTTTGCACTAGAATTTCTAGCAGTTCACAGAATCCGCTGTAATTCATTTTTATTAAAATGGTTCTATGAACTTCAACATGCTTTTATTAGAAAGAACCTACAAATGCATCTTGATTGCTGACAAATCCATATTAAGACAAAGCCAATATTTCAAACAACAGACTGGGGGAAAATACTAACTGGCAATCATCATGAGAGCATTAGAATCCTCATTCACCTTTTCCATTACCCTTTCTCCCTTCACAAATTTCTGGGTGTCTTTCTACACAAATCTATTTTGCCTTCACAAAACGTAGCCAAATGAGCAAGCAACATTCCTTGTACTTTACGCAGTTAGAAATACATTTGATAATCTGACTCCTGAAGGTTCTTGAATTTCTTTTCCCCCTCTCTAAAGGCTTTTCGGCCAAGATGGCCTCTGTGCCTCCTGCGACAAGCGGATCCGGGCCTATGAGATGACGATGCGAGTAAAAGACAAAGTGTACCACCTGGAATGCTTCAAGTGCGCCGCTTGCCAGAAACACTTTTGTGTCGGTGACAGATACCTTCTCATCAACTCAGACATAGTCTGTGAGCAGGACATCTATGAGTGGACTAAGATCAATGGGATGATATAGCTCACTTGTGCCTCATGGTCTCCAAATCCATCTCATGGGTGACACAAATACCTAGCTGTGGTGAGGAGATTATCACTCACAACATCTATGTGCTTTGTCTAAGGAAAGGGGGGAAAACAACAGAATATACAGGCACCTCATCATGTACAATTGCAGACTGGGGACTGGAACAGTAGCAGGCAGGTGGATTTCTGTTAGCAGTCATGCTTTGGTGATAAAACTGACATTCTCTGAAGTGATGGTGGAAGCTGGGGAAACAATATAAAATAACAATGGATTCTCTTGACTGGAAATATAGTAGTGACATGTAAACCGATATTATGGCTTCGACACTTGCAGACTAGGTTGTGCAACGAAATGGGTTTGGGGTATTTTTTTCCTTTCTGTTTACACTATTGAGACCATGTTCCCAACTTTAATGCAAGATGGGATAATGTCAGGCGGTGGGGAGGGGAGCAAGGAAAACAGGACTCCCATTCTTTTAAGTTCTGGATGTGGAAAAAATGCTTCTTTTTGCATGGAAACCAGTTTTTCCCATTTGAGAATGAAAAGTACAACCTTTTCTCTGCAATGCTGCATCAGATGCACTCTATTTTATACGTTTAAGTACTTGTGAGGTCAGTGGGACTTAATGGCATGTGACTAATGCCAGACTGTAGTCTTCAATGCTAAGCAATCATTTCAAGAACTTAGGATAGGCCTTTCGCTGCCATTGAGTGTGAGAAATATCACCACTCATTTCTATACAAATGTTAATTGAAAAAAATTGTCCAGCTATTTTATTAACTTAGGCAATATTAATAATTTGTTGTGTGTAGTAAGATCCTGCAGATTTAATTAAAAAAATGACTGGTTTGATATCTGTCCTTATTTTTTATTTCATTACACTAGTGGCTTTTCCAGCCAATCAGATTTTAGTGCAACAAACACACAACCAACCAACCGTTACTAATTTCTTTTGTTGCAGGGATGCTGAACCATTGAATTTGCAATGTTTCGTACATGTTGATTTTATTGTTTTTATCTTCTGTAAGCCGCCCTGAGAAATGCAAGTGCGCTGGAAGGGTATGACATAAATCTAACCATCATCACCATAGAAAATGCTATTTCCCCCCACAGGCAGTACATCTGCTGCTTTTGTGACTGCCACATATAAGCAGTGTGATGGTATGAGTGTCAGTCAAGTGATATGAATGGTAACGAATGGGCTATTGAATATTACCTGTGATATGATTGGTAATGAGTGGCATAAATTCTCTCTCCTCCGTACTTGTGCTGCTTGAGATTTTTTTGTTGGTTTGTAATAGGTTTCAAAAAGATTTCTAAAATGAGGCAGTCACTGGAATTACTCCTGCCAATTTGAGGATGAAACCAGGGAGAGTTTGAAAGATGATCCTCTCCGCATGCACAGTAACACACTGTTATTTCAATAACCCTTTCAATGCAACCCGATACAGTGGTACCTCGGGTTAAGTACTTAATTCGTTCCGGAGGTCCGTATGTAACCCGAGGTACCACTGTACATGCTTACTTGGAAGTAAAACTGGCTATGTTTGGTAAGGCTTACTCCATAATAAGTATGTTTAGGATTTTAGTCTTAAATTTTTATTTTATATTATTTGAGTTCTTTAAAGGTTGAGTGTTATTTCCTTCAACACTGTTCCCTTCCCCTCAAAGGGTTTAATAATGCTATAGCTATCCCCTCTTATTCATTGCATGTAGAGTGTATATTGTATTTTACTGATTTCTTTATATGGGAACTTAAGGGACTAAATACAGTTCAGGCATCCATTCACTGATTATCTGGAGATGCTTTAAGGAAACTGGGTACAATCCTGCCAGCATTTATTTGCAAAGAAAGAGAACCATCTACTTGAGCTGCAAAACTCACAGATTAATCAAACACAAGGTTGGAAAGTTTATTTACAGTGGGTTTTGTTCATATACAGCACAACCAAAGGGTTGTGTGTGTGTGTTTGTGTGTGTGTGTGTGTATGGAATTGTTTTAATCCATATACCAGAACCTTCACATAATCCTGCCCAAGAACTAAAGCCTTCCACTGATATCCCTACCATAAAGTGACGATGCTCAAAAGGGCATTTTCTGTTGGTGGCCCCTTTACCTCTCGAATGTTCTACCTCAGTAGACCCAAATAGGACCTTCACAGCTTCTATTTAGGAGTGCAGTTAAAACTTTTGGTTTTAACTGAACCTTGAAGGTGAAGGGACCCCTGACCATTAGGTCCAGTCGTGGCCGACTCCGGGGTCATGGCGCTCATCTCACTTTATTGGCCGAGGGAGCCGGCGTACAGCTTCTGGGTCATGTGGCCAGCATGGCTAAGCTGCTTCTGGCAAACCAGAGCAGCACACGGAAACGCCGTTTACCTTCCCGCCGGAGCGGTACCTATTTATCTACTTGCACTTTGACGTGCTTTCGAACTGCTAGGTTGGTAGGAGCTGGGACTGAGCAACGGGAGCTCGTTCCATCGCGGGGATTCAAACCGCCGACCTTCTGACTGGCAAGTCCTAGGCTCTGTGGTTTAAGCCACAGCACCACCCGCATCCTCTAGTTCTAACTGAACCTTAGAGCCCCCTTAATGTTGGGGGGTGGCATGAGTTCTATGATTGTTAGTGGATGCTGCTCTGTGTCTTTAGTAATGAAGAGCAGGCTATAAATGATTTGAAATAAATCCAGTGTAGCAAGCAGAAGTCTGATGGGTTTTGAGAAAATGCTTGTGATAAGAGGACGCTGAGCAGGCAAGTGAAATTTTGGCACAGCTGTTTAAGCTGTAGTAACTGCCTCCCCTCCTCAGGATTGGATAGGAGTCCCTCAGACAGGACTTCCATATTAATCTCTGTGTTATACGTCAACCTAATACAGATACCGGTAATCTATAATTAGCACATATTACATACATGGTGCCTAGAATGGACAAAAACATTATGCACAACTGCAAAATCTGCTGTTTTCTAATAGTAGTTCTGGCTGCCAAATCTAGTTGTATACCTGTCAGTACCAATTTAAACCCTTTCATTTCTACTCTAAAAACATCTGTCAATTGTCATGGGTGTTGTGGTATTGATAATTGTTCTAATATGAAGACAGGCAGATAGCCTTGCTGAACTGTCGGCTTACCACCAAATTTGTGCAGACAGACTCCTCACAAATCAGACTTTATGCCTCTCATCTCACTTCTTCTGCCTTCTCCTGCCTGGCTCATGGTTGATTTGTTGTTGTTGCTTGTTCATTTTTATTATTTATTTCCCAATTGGCCTCGCAAGCATTGTAGGCAGCATGATCCTACATTTTTTGCAGTCCTGTTCCTATATACAGTGCTGCTCCTATATAAATGCACAATAGCTCAACTATTCGTTGACCTTTTAAAATCTAAGAGTGTCTGCCAGGCAATCTTGCCCACACATCTCTAAAGAAAGCCCAGATATCCCAACATATGTGCCCCAGAGAAAAATAAAATATAGGTTAGATAAGGAAGGATGGCAAGGGATGAGATCACACAAGGCAAATTGTACTGTCAAGTTTGGCGAACAAAATCACCCGTCCTCCATTGCAGAAATATGAGGTGTCGTGGCTACTCTCTGAACAAGACGCATGAATGGGACCATTGTTAAGGTTCAAGTGATGAAGTATGAGGTTATGGTGAGCAAATAATTTTTTCTGGAGAAAATTTGGCCTTTCTCAGACTACCTTGAGAAAGAAGTGATCACCTCCTGGGGTGTTTCATGTGGGGCAGGAGAACAATTTAAGGACATACTAGGCCATCCTGAGGGTTTATGAGGTTGTGGGCACACAAGAGTCAACCCCTTGAGCTACAGGCTGAGGCGGGCTCTGAGGTATCCATAGTGATGGACAAGTACACTAGAGTGAAAACTTTGCTGTGGGGCCATGATGAATATGCTCAGCCTCCACATACCTCAAGGCTCACCAGACAAAGCTGGGGAAATACAGCCAATTTTTGGCTAGAAAGCTACTGTATGCAGCAGTGGACATGCCCAGGGGAAGTGAGTGGAGTGTTCCTCCCTTTATACTGTTGGGAGGTTGCGGAGACAATCTGTATTATGCCTGAGTCCCTTCTAATTCCTACTCAGCAGCCCCCGCTTAATAATTGGCTCTTGATTTGCAGATCTCATGCTATATTTCAATAAATATAACCATTCCACCAACATGCTGTCTCTTGAGTCTTCTTCAGTGGTGTGGAGGAGAAAGCAGCAGGGAATGATGGGATGGTGATTGCTTCGAAAACAGCACCTCACTATTTAACATACGTTTTTATTACAAAATAGAGTGTGAATTATTGGAGAAGTTGTTTTGAAACGTGAAAAAAAGAGATAGCAGATCTCCTTTTGTAAAAAGACCAGAAAAGCAATGAAGAAATTAGAGGAAAATGTTACTTTCTTCCAGTCCTTTTAAAAAAGTCTTTAAAAATGTCACATCATCAGAGCATCCCATCATGATCCACAAAAATAAAACTGGAAAACTGGGACATTTGATACTGAATTATATTGTTCTTTGGATGTGTTCAGCAACAGCATTATTTGGAAAGTACATCATTATTCAATATTTTTTTCCATTATTCAATGTCATGGTTGGAAAATGAGAGTATTACCGGCAGTATCACTTTTTAATTCTGTGCCCTTGGAAAAAAGGGGTAATATCATGTCAGCTTAATGGACTTTTTGGTGACATGAGTAAAACAGGAAGCTGCTGTTAATGCAATATCTTTATTGAAAGCTGGGTACAGCTGTCTCTCCTGCCTCTTTTCTCAAGCTAATACTATGCTCCCAATCCTGTCATACCCAGGAATCAAATTATTTGAATTCTGGACACATCAGCACAAAACTGAAGACACTCTGCCAGATCCATAGTATGCTTGGAAAAGAACATCGTACAGCATCACTCATTTATACGACTGTCAGTCTGGCGCTGTAAATTCACAAGATATGGAGGCCTCGGGTGCCACACTTTTTGTCTTTCTGCTCCTCAATCACCTTCCTTCAATATCTCTACCCTATGTAAGCTAACATTTCATCGCTGAGCCATGTAGCTTTCAAATATCTGCCAGGATACTCAGAGGTTGTCCATGCTGTAAATTTGAATGGAAAGCTATGCATTAAGGTGACTAGTTGATTACAGTCACCCAGAAAGATTCATGCCAGTTCTGAGATATGCCTTTGGAGAAGAATCTGCAAAAAGTTTGGTAGATCTAAACTAGAATATAGATGGCACCTACTGACTACATCTACGGCAGGTTTACCCCCTGCTCTTCTTTTATTAAATGGTTCATTTGTAGGCACAGAAAATTCAATAGGACAACTCATTTTCTCTTCTGCTCTTTGCCAAAAAGAAAATACAGTGCAATACTTAACAAAAATTCAAGACACAGATTGTTTAATTAACATTCATATTCAGTAACCACCTAGATTAAGGTGAGGCTCACATAAGATTAAGCCTTCACATAAACAACGTGTATCAACTTTTGTGACATTGGAAAAAGGAATCTATCTAATAAATATCTAAACAAATCAGCAAGTTACTTAATTAGAATAGAACAGAATAGAACAGAACAGAATAGTTGGAAGATATCACAGGGGTCATCTAGTCCAACCCCCTGCAATGCACGACTCACAGATTAAAAGAGTAATCTGTTTTAGCGGTGGATGCTGGGGGGTTGAGGGACAGAACAGCATGTCATATAGTTTTCCCTGGGTGCCCTACACTAGCCTGCTGTCCTCAGGTGTGATAGAAAACGATGTTCCACCATCAGTGTTGGAAGTACTTCTTAATCAGCTTTCCAGTTGGCTTCCGCACATGAAAATTGTGGAGGCACCATCTTGCCCTTTGACTCTGGCAGCAAAATTCTTGGAATGGTTCTTAATTTTCTCACTAAACTATCAGCAAGATCATATGTGTGCAGTAAGTTGTGAGCCAGCTTTCACATCAGTGAGTTGTGTTTGGTGTTCTCGACATGATAAATGTGTGTGTGTGAAACTAGGCACCAAGGCAGTTAAAACAAAAGTAATATACAAATACAATATAAAAGTCGATGTAATGCAACAAATTAAACACACAAAAACCACAGGAAATAAAAATAAGAGCAGGTTAAGGACAGTTGCCAGCAACAATGCAACTAGCCGTCTCTTTCCTTATTTGGATGGTGGGTGCATTTGGCTTACCATGAGGTTCTATTCCCTGTACGTGGGAAGTTTGGACACTTGTGGCTACAGGGGTAAGTATGCTGAAGAATTGCCTTTGGAGGGGTACAGACTAGATTGACACTGAACATTTATTGGTGTTTAGCACACATGGGAAATGTGACATTGTGTCTGATCAATGACAGGGGAGTTGCTAGGGATGCTGTGGGGGCTGCTGCCAATGTTGCTATGTTAGTAAAATAAAAAAAGTAAATTATAAGTAAAATAAGTAAAATTAAAAAGTAGAAACAAATGCTATTTCCTTTGCTGTTGGGAGTACAGTCATACCTTGGGTTAAATATGCTTCAGGTTGAGCATTTTCAGGTTACGCTCCGTGGCGACCTGGAAGTAACGGAACGCATTACTTCCGGGTTTCACCGCTCGCGCATGCGCAGACATGGCAAATCGCCGCTTCAGGATGCGAATGGGGCTCCGGAACAGATCCCATTTGCATCCAGAGGTACCACTGTATATAAATTCATACACTCGTGTTAGCCTTGGCACAACAAACAGCCCAGCACAGCTGAACCACAGGACCAGCCTATGTTTAGCATTGCAACTAAAGCAAAAGATTTGGGGATGTAAATATGACCTCTGCCAGGCACATACTGTTGATTTAGAAAGCCAAACGATCAACATGCAGTTTGTTTACACCTTAGTCTTGACTTGACTATCTCTAAAAGAAAAAAGGCAACATGTGTTACATAGTTATGAGCTCACAGAAAACAGACACGGCATCAGTGAACTTCAAAGGAGAATTTCTAGCTCACTCACTTGGGAGTTACAGTAGTTACACTGAACTCAGTGGGACTGACTTTTGAGTTAACATGCTCTTAGAATAGAAATGGATGGAATTGTGGTTTGTTAATAAGATGTACACAGTAATTACTTTCCATAATAAAAGATACTAGGGCTAAAATATGTCTAGATATCTCATCCTACATTTCTGGAAATCCTGCTCCAAATCAGATGCATCTGGGAATCAGTAGTGAGGAAGGTTATTTATGACAACATATGTAAGGGCAATCTGCCCATTATTATTTCATGTATTCCACGGCTGAACCAACATTATGAAAAACATATTCTGGTACTCAGCCCTGACTGCAAGACCACTTTAAAAAATAGCATAAACAAAAGTTATCATAACCATTCAATAGCAACTTTTTTATTAATTCTGCCCAAATTAGATGAAGTGGTCTGTGTTCTATGGAAGGCAACAAATTTTGGGATTTCCATTTTATTTAACCCTTACATTAAAGCTCTTCAGCTGTAAAACATCTTCTTTTTACATAATCCAAGTTGTTACCCAGGTTTCTGAGAAGTGCAGCACACTGAATGTGCATTTCATAGATTAGACTTATCAGCTACTTCATTACACAGTTACAGGCTCCCTCCTAAAACAGCTGAGTTTTTCTTGAAGGAATGGAATTGGTGTCTTGGGCAAATCTGACACAAGCTCAGGGCTGGATTAAGATATTTAGAGGTCCTAAGCAATGAAAAGATTATGGTGCCCCCCTCCCCAATAATTCAAAATAAAATCCAGATCAGTAATTCAAAATAAAATCCAAGAGCTTTAGGAGGAAACCGATTTTCTAGATCCATCTCAATCTGGGTTTAGGCCCGGTTTTGGCACAGAAACTGCTTTGGTTGCCCTGTATGATGACCTCTGTTGGCAGAGAGACAGGGGGAATATGTCCCTGTTAATTCTCATCGAACTCTCAGGAGTTTTTGATATTACTGACCATGGTTTCCTTCTAGAGCAGCTGTCTGAGTTAGGGGTGGGTGGCAGTGGGGGAGCTTCATGCTCCTGCATTGGGGGCAGGATAGCAGGCGGGGCTGGTGCGCATCCCGGGGGCATGGTGCGCCACCCACAGGGGCGGGGCGTGCATCCTGGGGGCAGGGCATGCAATCTGCAGGGGCGTGGCGCCCAGCGCAGGGGCAGGGACAGTCACGATGGCACATAGCTGTCAACTTTCAGATTTGAAAATAAGGGATCAGCAGCCTCGAAAATAAGGGATCAGCAGCCTCACCTGTCTTGGGGACAGTCTACGGGATATCTAACAATCCGAGATAGCAGCGGGAAACGGTGCTGGAATAAGGGACTTTCCCGCAAAAAAAGGGAAGGTTGACAGCCATGCGATGGCACCCTACTGGGATCGCGCTGCCGGGGGCGGTGCGCATCCCCCCCCCCGCACTCCTCTTCCTCTGCCAGTGGTGGGGGGCATCACTTTGCGGTAGTTCAGGTCCTACTTGGATTGGTTCTACTCGGATTGTACACAGCTTGGCGGTACTTCTGCATCCTATTGCTGTCGCTTGAAGCTCAGGTGGCCTAGAGTGGAGTTACCGGAGTAGGGTGCGAAGAAGTCTAATAAAGCCCCGCCCTGCCCCCAGTGATGCCTACTAGTTGATAGTTCTTTTTTAAATAAAATTTTAAATTAATTTAATTAAATAATTAAAATCAAATAAATGATTATAAATAAATAAATAAATAAACCTCAAATTCAACCTGCTTCGCTGGTGCCCTAACTAAGCACGTGCGTCGCCTTGCCTACTGCGCGTGCTCGAAAGTCAAATCTTGCAGACCCAAAATTGGGAAACGGGAAAGCTACACCTGTTGCATTTCTACCTGCTGCAGTGCAGCTGTTCAAAGGAGCCCTCGCGCCCACAAGAAGCGTTTTGTGAGATCGAGGCTTTGAATGCAGCAGCGCGTCCCTTGAGCCCAGCCCAGCCCAGCCCTGTGTGTTTGATAACAAACCAGCGTGAGGGGCGGGAGATGCCTGCCAGGCGGGCAGGAACAAGCCGTAGGCCGCGCTTCGCCCTCGCCCAGCCCAGCCCGGCCCCAGCTGAGCGGGGAGGAGGAGGAGGAGGAGGAGCCTCCCACTCCGGAGCCGAGGCCCGACCAGAGAGGCGTCAAGATGGCGGCGTCCGTTGAGCTGGACTTGCAGCCCCTGAGCCTGGAGTCGCTGCCCACGGACCCGCTGCTGCTCGTCCTCAGCTTCCTGGATTACAGGGACCTCATGAGGTGCGGGGAGCCCGGCGCCCGGCGGGGCTTAATGCGGGGAGCTGGCGGGGCAGGGCGGCGCTCTCGGGGCTGGGTTCCCTTGGCGGCGCCAACCATGGGGAAATGGGGAGGAAGAGGAGGAGGGTGGCGGCTGCTGCTGCTGCTGCTGCCGCCTTCTCGGAGGAAGAGAGGGCCATGGCGATCCGTCTCCTTTCACCACAACCACCACCCAAAAAACCCATCAATGGCGGGGCTGCGCGTGCAGGAAACATCTCCATGGAGAAGCTCCCGAATGGGAAGGAAGAGTAGGGGATGCGAGGCTTGGGTTGAGCCGAGTGGGGAAATGGGGCGAGGGATAGCCCAATACCCTGGGTATGGGAGCTGGGTCGATGGCCCTGTCTGTGGGGAAGCAGCCCCCAACCCATCTCTTCCCCCCCCCCCATCCCCCTGCAAGAGCTCCTGGTGCTATGAGCTGCTCTGCATTGCACATTTCTGGAGAGGCTCCTGCCGTGGGTCCCAAGTGGCTTCCAAGCTGGCCCTGCGCTGATAGACAGGTTTTCTTTCACCACAGCGCGGCTGTCTCAACAGGTGCTTGCTCTGGGCAACGTGCTCGAAGCGAGCCCTGCCCTAGTGACACCACATGGTGGATGCTTAAAATCCTCTCGGTGGCAGAGAAATAGATTGATAAGGTTTATGATGTGAGGTGTGTGTCTTCCTTTGTGCAAGGTAGCAGGGGGCTGGACTTGATTGAGCGCCACAAGTTTAGGGCCAACTAGGTGATATGTGAGTGTAACCAATGGCTTGTGGAGTGTCCCTAAATTTCCAATTATTTGTAATTTTTTGTGTTTAATGTTATAGATATTATGGTGTCTGCCTCAGTTTGTCTCTATACACTATGATCTAATCTGATGGTGGTGGTAAATATATTCTGCTGTATGTACTGTGCACCCAAATGACAATTCATAGTTTTTCAGTGTTAATGGAAATCCTGTTGGACTCGATGGCCCTTGTGGTCTCTTCCAACTCTATGATTCTATGATTCTGTAGAACCTGTAGGGAGGTGTGTACTCCATTCTATTACGATATCTTGTTTAATGTGCTGAGTTTGACATCTGTTAAAGCCAAAGTTAAGCACAGATAATTGGTGTGCTTTATAAGCAGCCCAACAAAGGCTTGGCAGAATTCCCAACGGTTGGAAGATGGGACTTAAGTATCCCCTTTCCTTTCCTATGGCAATGATTCCACATTCCCTGACATTTATTTCATCTGTCCAAAATCTATATGCTGAGCCCACCTTAATACCATTTAGTCCTTTCCAAAAGGTGCAACAATCAAAGCTGAGAAGCTTAAACACTTGGCAAAATAGCAAATACATACAAATGTGCAACATTACTGGGTTTATGTTACCATGATGTTGCCTCCCATATATGTCACAAGCAGTACAATTCAAATAATTTATACCAAATAGGTTTCTGAACATAGTTGAACAAACTCTAATTTAACTTGCTCTTTCTGAAGTAGTGATTATGACATGAATAGAATCTCCTGCCTAGAGAGGTATCTCTGATGAGAATAGATGAAAAACCAAAGCTAATTTCTTTTAGCTTTTAAGATTAATTTTCTCCCTTGTCCTCTACAGAGGGGCTAGGGTATTTTTGGTTTTTTTAGCTCTTGCTCTCTACTTTTCTCATATTCATCATAACAAGTTGGAAGCTAATGCCCTAACTTGGAGAACTCCGGTTATTTGAAAATTAGGTCCGTATCCAGCCCATTACCAAATCCAAGCACCAGTCTAGTTCCTGAACAGTCTCACTTGATTCTGATGAAATAAACAAAGCTGAATGTCATCAACATACTGATGACTCCTCACTCTAAATCGTCTTCTGATCTCACCCAGCAGCTTCATACAGATGTTAAAGAGCATGGGGTGGGGCACAAAATGAAAGTGCCCAGAATTCCACAACACAGCTGCTATGGAGAAAATGTACAAAAGTGTGGGTTAATTTAGAGAATTGAGTCTTAAAGATAAGTGTGAAATCATGTGTCAAATTTAACTTTAAAAACAGGAAATTCTCCAGCATTTCTGTACAGAGTACAAGTGCAATCATTACTGAACCTGCTTTTAGTCTGACTTGTAGAGAAATTTAAACTGACTTTGTATTTGCAGCTGCTGTTGCGTAAGCCGTAGATTAAATCAGTTTTCAAGTCATGATCCACTGTGGAGGAGGCACTGCAAGAAATATTGGCTTTTGTCTGAGTAAGTATGGCTAGTGCTTAATTTACATAAAATGAGAAAATTATTCACTTGTGTTACCAGCTTTCTGTCTGGTAAATTTACAATTTTTTGTAGACTACTTCTTGGATTAAAAGTTGTGTGCATTAAAAAATAAATTTTGAAAAAGCTGAAAAAGTTTGCAAGCATCAGCTCAATATAAAATAATCTGTTGGTAAATAATAGCTTCCTCATGCAAAGATGCTAGGTGGTGCTGATTCTCCAGTAGATATACTAGAACAGCTTAGCTTGTCTAAGTTGTAGGGTACTTCTGTGACAAATGATGCAATAGTTCTATCCCATAGGTTTTAATTGGAATCTAATTGGATAGCAGAAAATGGGGTGTTGGTGTTTGAGTTTGAAACTTGGATTAATTGCTGCTCATTTTGACACACAGTCACTTTTACAGGTTTCCTTGTTAAAGCATACGTGAAAATTCACATGGCACTACCCCTCCCACCCCCTTTATGCTGGCCACCCTATGTTTCTTATGCATAAGGATTCTTTATTCACACCTGTGGCAAAGCCTTGACTGTTTTTGTGACATCCTCTAGAATGATTTCATAAATCATTAGCCAATTATCAGAATGGTATTTTGCTTTCCCTTTTGTACAATCTTATTTCTGTTGTTTCTGTACAATATTACACAATTATGAGGCTTATTCTTGCTTCCTGCTTTTTGTGTGCAGATTATTCAAAATTAAATACAAGTCCAGTTGAATTTTTTTAATGGGATAGTTAAACACTTATGCAAATCCTGCCCATTGAACTGTAATCCAAACTTCTGAACTGGAATTTACCTTAAAAAATTGAAAATTAGCAAATGGGGGGGTGCTAAGAGTGCAAAAAATATATATGCATATATGCAATATTCTTACTACTTATTGCTGCTTAGATATTGTTTTTTATCTTTTTAGAGCTGAGAAATCTCGGAGCTGGAAAGCAATCTTTATAGATACGTATGCTGATCTCGGAAGGTATATTCAAATTTATGCTACACTTAAAAAGGCCTGGGATGATTTAGAAAAATATCTGTTTCAGCGTTGTCCTCGGATGATTACTTCTTTGAAAGGTATTGTTTATAAGTTTGCTGTTTTATTCAACTTCAGTTGTACTTGCATTTTCTCTCTCTAAAGTTATCGTTTTAGATCAGTGTCAAGTGCCACTTTATGAACACCCTAGATTATTTAACTATTGCCAACATGCTTGTTAAGCTGAAAACAGTACTGTCCTCCGCCTTTTTTATTTTAGCCTTCTTTGTGTGTGTGAAACACAATAAATTGTGCTTAGCTGTCAATCTGGCATAGTGATCTAGAACAGGAAAAGGAAAACCAAATGGACCTCGATTGCATAATATAGTAATGAGTGTGGTACTTTTCACAAACTGTTAAATAATGTATCTGTAAACATGATGAAATTAAGGAAAGCTTAAGGACCTGATTTGTAGTGGGTTTTCTGACTTTGAATCGGTGCTAGCCTGTCCAGTGTGGACAGGCAAAACACTATTGAATTTTGCATTTTTATTTTTGTTAATTCTAATTCCCAGTTTTGTACAAAGGCAAAAGTGCAGCAACAATAGTTAATTTTGAAGAAGTAGATACGAAAAGCACACACTGTGAGATTTGAGGAATGGTTTGAACAAGATGTTCTTAGCCCTGAATGCTGCATCTTTCCATTAATCATTCAGCTACTGGTTTGTTGAGGGTGGGGGTAAAGATGCTCCTTAAAACACCAAAATGGGGTCCATGTGTGTAGATCTTTTCCCAGAGGTCTCACTGCTTTTCTGGAAATCTGAGAAGATTATGGGGGGAAAGGAGAATCCCTTTCAGCTGCACTGAATTTCAAAGAGGTTTGCAAAGCAGCTCTATGTCTCCATCTTGCAGGCTTCTAGACAATGCGGGGCAACAGGAAGCCTTAACCCTAAATTCAAAGTTTTTTAAAAGCTCAACAAAATTTTTTTTTTTTTAAAGCATTTCATTGTACTTTTGCATACTAATGAAGTGCAGAAATGTTTTTCAAAGCCTCAGGATCAGCTCTTCCTCCCCCACTTCTCAGAGGAGCTTCTTCAAATGACACCCACCCCCCGAGTCTGGAACACGCCCTGCCCTTTTCCTGCCTTTCTTCTTGTGGGGGAAAAAACAATAATACAATAATACATGCTTTTAAAAGTTTAATCAGTGTGCTAGAGCAGATGTGCATTCATATCAAGCAAAACCAACCATATATTGCAAGTGGTCTCTTATTTTTCTTTAGCAGCCAGTTTTGGAGCAGCCGTTTTGTTGTTCCTCTTTCCTTCACTATAGAGACATGCAAGGGGAATGTAACTCTCTAGTGCCATTTTAATTTCACTTGCAGCTGATAGTGTCTCAGCATTACTAAAAACCCTAGAATGGAAGCAGCCATACTAGGTGAGAATGATTGTTACTGTAGGCTTTGGAATACATGAATCTCTTTTGGGGTTACAAAGAGTTTGACATGACTAAATGACTAAACAACAAACATTAACACATGCCATTTCCTCTCTTATATGGCCCTTGAAAATTATTTGTTCTCCTCCTGAGTAATAGTTGGCAAATGTTTTAGCCACAAATTGCATAGGGCAGAAGAATCAGACAAAAACTGCTTCTGAGTCTACAGACTACTAGTTGGCCTTCCTTGTTTTACAGCAGTGTGTCCCTATTCAAATTATATGCTGTGGCTTGAATTAAGACAGACTTCTATCTATGGTTTGTCTTAAAAAGAAGCCCACCACTTTGGAGTACATAGGTTTTTTCCAAAAGCAAAAGACATTATGCTTTTCGTGTAGTGTTTCTGACATAAGTATTGATGTCTGTTTCAGAAAAAGTAAACTGAAGAATCCCTAGGAAAATATATGATTCTAAACACAGTTGTCACACCTGCTGACTTGAATGGGGCTTGCTAAAGAGGTTTTAACATCATGTCTTAAATAACGTACTGCAAAATGCATTGTTTATATTGTCTGAAGATAATCTGCTAAATGGTACAGTTTTTGAATGCTCACAGAGAGTGTTCGGGAGGAAGATCTGGATGCTGTGGAAGCACAAATTGGTTGCAAACTCCCCGATGACTATCGATGTTCATTTCGGATCCATAATGGACAGAAGCTAGTCGTTCCAGGGTGAGAAGCTAACGTTAACTGTCATTGCTAATTGGCAGTCGGCTGCTACGTAAGCTTGCACATACTTGAAATTTGTTTCTTCCAATGGTTAATAATGTCTCCCCCCCTTTTCTTTCTGTCTTTCCAAAGGTTGATGGGAAGCATGGCCCTTTCCAACCACTATCGCTCTGAAGATTTGCTGGACATTGACACAGCAGCCGGTGGCTTTCAGCAGCGGCTAGGACTGAAACAGTGCCTCCCCTTAACCTTTTGCATCCACACTGGATTGAGTCAGTACATGGCTCTGGAAAGCGTGGAGGGCCGCAATAGTTACGAGATCTTCTACCAATGCCCAGTAAGAAAGACTTGTAAATAGACACTTTAGACAACACTAATGCTACTCATTATCTTCAGTAGATGAAACTGATGCAGTATATGTGTGTAGAATGTTTTTAAAAAATCTAAAATCAGCTGTCTTTCATCTCTGAGCTACTTCCCACCATCCACAAAAGGCCACATAAATGTTCAAACGCTCTAACTTGTGAAGGAGAGGGGCTTTTAAATGGCAGCAATTGCTATAATTGCCATGAGAGAAGTGAAGGCTGATCATTAGGACCTGGAGCTGAGAGACAGGCAAAGCAGGGCTACTAGTGAAGAAGCTGGGGATGTGATGATGGGGAAGGAGGATCTTGCAAGTTGATTAGAAGTTTGCCTCCAAAAAAATGGGCTTCATACAAATGTGTCTAGTGCATAAAAATCAAACTTCACACTTTGAAATAATAGTAAGTTATTGATTAACAGTGCATTGAGGGGATCAAAGCACCCTATTGTTATAGTGGTACATAAAACACAAATTGGTTTTTAGCTACAGGAAGGGCCATAACTAAATAGAAGAACTTCTGAAAGCTATTTAATAATAAAAAAGAACATAATGACTGTTTCATTGATACTATAATTTCAAAGAAATAAATCTTAAGTTTTCAAGTTGAGTTTTCTACCAAATGTTCACAGACGAGATGGGAACATAAAGTGACTTGCACAGATGAAACACTTAATTTTGTTTTCTTTTTTACTACTGGTTACAGACTAATATTTTCCTGCAGTATTATATGGTACAAATGTCACCTGTAAATCCAGTTTTTAAGGACACAAATAAACTTTTTCCTTTTTCCTTTAAAGGATCAAATGGCCCGCAATCCATCTGCAATTGATATGTTTATTACAGGTAAAAGTATTTTGGAACTTAAATGGGAAACAATTTAGAGAAGTCAATATGAATTGGAATATGTCTAGAACTTTATCCACTTACCTCAACATGCAGCATTTTCTCATTCTAGATCTTTTGCACATTAGAGGACAAACTATCTGTTAAACTGTGATCACGTGTAATATTGCAAGATGTTGGGAGAGTGCATTTATAAGCAGAGAATGAAAGTAAGCGTAACTCGTCAGGTGCTAGAACCCAAATCATATCTCTTGAAATCTACCCCCACAAGTTCTGTATTTGCAAGATAAGTTTGGGCACTAGCATTGTATCTAAAAGCAGCCAGGTGGTAGAAGATAAGAGCACATCCTTTCACTTCACTTCCATTCTTTGGCTTGGAGTGCCCTCTCTCGAGAGGGAGGAGGAAAAAGCAAATCTTGGTTGCATTTGTCCGGCATTGCAATATGAAGTTTTGCTTGTTAAATTTTGCTGATACTCTGGGCTTCCGCAATATTTTTTTTTTTTTACAGTTTTAGAGGGGTAGCAAAACATTAAAAGGTGGGTGCATGCTCACAAAAAAATTGAGAAGCATAGTGCCTGTACTTTTTGCTTATTGTTTCTAGAAAGGAAATATAGTTACTTCCAATTGTTTTAAATGAAAGATGGGAAGCTAGGGATTATAGTTCAATGTGATGGTGGTGGGGGCTCTGAATTAGAGTAACAGCAAGTCTAGGAATGCTGGATGTCACACCTCCACTGCAAAGTGATGGGATGATGTGCAAGGAAGAAGTAGGTGTTAGAGGAGTGCTTAAGTCGTCTTCCTCCTGGGTCTCCCAGATTCATGTTTGCTGCATCAGCTGGGGAAAGCACTTGGTGAGAGGATTATGCAGCCCCTACCAGCCAGCTCACGCAAATTGCCTTTCATCCCATCTTTCTGCTTTGTCTTAGAGAAGTAGCAATCAGGGTTTCTCAAGCTTGCTTTTTCTGCAGTTCTTATAGTTTGGTTTTTGAAGAAAGCAACTGCAGTAACACCATCAGACCCTCTTTTCATAGACCTGTGATATGTAATTGAGGCATAATTACCTTTCAAAGGTTATGGCAAATCAAAAATAGCATGCTCAGAGGATCAAAGATGGGAACAGCTTTGGGAAGGGAAGTTTAACAAATGGAACCATCTATGCACACACATCTCTCAAAGCTTTTTATTTGTGCTTTGCATTGGGAGGAATGATGGTTTATTTGTATTTTAAAAAACAAGAGCCAGATTCAATTAAATAGTTGTACCAGCATAGTTGTACCAAATAGGGACCCAGTGTGATGTGTCCCCTAGCACAACAAGGCTCCTCCTTTCTTCTTCCCCTGTGCTCTCCCAGTTGACTCTGGGGGAGGGGAGTCAGGGGGGGAAATCCCAGAACAATTTGTGGGACAAGAAGGGGGGAAATCACTCCATCTGGTAAGAGGAAATGTTTGCTGATACCAAGATACTGAATTCTTCCTACTATCTTGCTAAACGTAACAATGCATTTATTGCCATCTATAGTGAAATGAAGCTTCATAGTAAAATGGAATGAGGCAAGCTGATCTGTAAGGAAGCATGGGTAGGGGACAAACAAGTGGGAACTTCCTCTTTCTCCCCTGCCCCAGTTTCATTCAGATTTCTGAGTTCTGGTCTTAGATGAATGAGCAGCTTCCGCTTGCCTAGTCCTAAACCTCAGCACTCTAGTGCTATAGTGCCTTACCATGTACTTGAGACTGCTAATGGTCAGAGCTAGGTGACCACCACCTGGGAGGTCTGAACTGTTCTTTTGTTTTGTTTTGTTTTGTTTTGTTTTTAGTCATAGCATATGTAATCGGCATACTGGCCTTTTTATGACCTTGTGAAATGTTTCTCCCCCTTTGCCATTAGGTAGCTCCTATTTGGAATGGTTCACCTCCTATGTAAACAATGTAGTAACAGGTGGCTATCCCATCATCAGAGACCAGATTTTCAGGTATTATGCCTTTGGTTTACAATCTGTGGTATCTTATTATGACAAAATGTAATAATCTTAAACTTGTAACAAAAATAAATTATCATCTTATAATATTTGTTAGACATGTATGTGAGCATGAGGTAGTAAAGCAAAGCACACTTATTATTTACAATAATAACATTGTATGCTGGCAATACATTTGCACTATGTTCTGCAGAAATAGATATAGTCTAAATGGCATTAAGCGGGTGCAGAGAATGCCTTTTCTTATTAGGGAGAGAAATAGATTCTTAATGCACAAATTGTAAGGTGAAAGTTGGTTTTATACAAATGAATTTTTCAGTATTTGTTTATTCTTTAAAATAATGCCTTTTTCTTTATTTGCTAGATACGTTCATGACAAGAGTTGCGTAGCAACAACAGGAGATATTACTGTCTCTGTGTCCACATCTTTTCTACCTGAACTCAGTTCTGTACATCCACCTCACTATTTCTTTACTTACAGAATCAGGTAGGAGCAGTAAACGAATGCTGATTTTATCAATGTGTTACTGACACATCTTGAAGCTTTCTTTGCTTACTGGCAAAATTCTAAACGACCTAAAATATAAACTAGTCCTTCCAAAATCACAATTTATCAGTGAGAGATAAAAAGTAAGAACGGGGAAATGTTGAATGCTTTTTACAAGACTGCACTGAAGTTTCTTCTTTGCTTTTGACTTCCTTTTCTGTAGTGTTCTATAGAACATATTCTTTCTTCTAACATCTGTTCAATTATTATTTTTCCTGTGTAATAATTACAGGATCTAGATCTTCCCCCTTAGGGTAGTATTTCTTGGACAGTCAAATTGCTACATTGTGTCAGAGAAAAACATGACTCTTATGCCCCTGCTAATGAGTGTTGTTTGTAATGTGGTCAGACGAGTGTCACAACTATTTCCTTCCACCTCTCAAGGCCCTAAAACAGTTAAAATATTCTGGATAGTATTTTAAGGAAGGTAATAGTTTTTGGCTAGTGCTTTTGCTCTCTCTCTAAAATGAGTATCTTGCATAATTTTTTAGAATTGAGATGTCCAAAGATGCTCTTCCAGAGAAGGCTTGTCAGCTAGACAGTCGGTACTGGAGAATAACCAATGCCAAAGGTGATGTGGAGGAGGTGCAAGGTCCTGGAGTAGTAGGTAAGGAATATTTAAAGAATGTAACTGTTTTAAAAACAACAACAACAAATGCAGAGTGCAGTTAGAGGAACCTTAATCCTTTTCTTCCCAGCCATGATCCCAATCTAAGCAACCATTGGTGCCCCCGCTGTGTGTCAATTACACTTAAAAAAAGGGTTTCTTTGTTGCAAGTGCACCATCACTGAGGAAGGACTGAGAAAGAAGCCTGCAACAGTGGGATGAAGACGAAAGAGACATTCTCTCCTTTGCTTCCCTGCAACAGCACATGGAGAGGGAATGAAGGAGGGGAAGGCTTTCTACCCTTTTCCCTGCTGCTGCTGCTGCTGCTGCTGCTGCTGCTGCTGCTTCCTTCAGCAAGGAGCGGGGAGAAGGAAGGGGAGAAACATGTGAGGTGGGCAGTGGCATCAGAGCAAGATGATTTCTTGGGAGCTGCCCCAACCTGTCCTGCCTGTTGCTCTGTGGCTTATCTGAGGTGGCTGCCACACTTACTCACCTGCTTGCTTGGGCTGCCTGCTCACTCACTCTGTCTTCCTGCCTGTCTGGGCCTCACACCAGCTGCCTATCAACAAGCCATGCAAACTGCAGCATGGCAGCACCCTTACAATTTTATACTAAGATTAAAATCTATAATAGTATAGATTGCTCGCTCTTTGTTTCTTCAAAGTCTGTGGCACAGTTCTAAGGGCCAAACTACACATTACAATAAACATGCTGTTTAAAAAAGCGTGCTTAAACTGGCCAATTTTATTGGGGCGAAGGGGAGTAGCTTTGAGGCCCTGCACTGAAACTTGTTCTCAGTCTAAATTGGAGCCCAGTTTTTGGTGAAAAACACTCCCCCATGACCATGGCTGATAAACTGCCCCCATATATGCTGTTTGCTGTATAAATATCACATTTGAGGGCAAATAGCAGTCAGGAGGGTGGGTTTGTTTGTTTTTGTTTTGTCAAGAAACTGGTATGGGGCCTGTATTGGAAGCAGTCTTGTGGCTGTATTTCTTTTAGAAATAAAAGTGACTAGTTGTAAGCACACTTTTTTAAAAAGTTCATTGCAATGTTAAGTTTGATCCTAATTGAAGTATTTTTGGTTCCAGAGGTTGAAGTCCTCTGTTAACTTTGTTTCTACAGGAGAATTTCCCATAATCAGCCCTGGTCGGGTTTATGAATATACCAGCTGTACAACATTTGCCACTACTTCAGGGTACATGGAAGGATACTATACATTCCATTGTCTCTACTATAAAGACAGATTTTTTAATGTTACCATTCCTAGATTTCATATGGTTTGCCCAACGTTCAAAGTATCTACAGCACGCATGGTAAGTTAAAATTGATGTTTTTAGGCCTTAACTCTTCTCTTTGGTTTCCAGAAAACAATTGGATTTTGTGTTTAAATATAAATAGTGATCTCCTTTTTGCATAAAACTAGGTTAATAGTTTTTAGAAGCTGTAAGATGAGTAAAGTAAAAAAAAACTTTACCTAGTTTAAAAATGTGTGTGCTCGAGTATCATACTTGCTTCTTTATCAATTATGAGCAAAAATGCAGTGAGGGGATTGATAACAACTTTCTCATATATGGGATTATGAAATGTGTATAAAGGTCCTGGAACATTTGGGAAAAGCCCAAGTAGTAAAATGTCTTTTTTGACTGCTTGTTTTGTTGTTTTTTGCTTTGCTTTGCTTTGTTTTTTGAATAATGCTCAGTTTGGGGAAGATTAAATATATTAGATATATTAACAATTTGATATTGCCTACATATTATATAACTGCACTGCTGTTTATGTGCTAAATGAATAACATAAAATAAGTGGGAACTTATTGTTGGATAGAAACATTATTTTGTCTTATATTTAGTTACAGCAGATCATTTGTTCTGCTTTGCTTGTTCAACCTCTGTCCATGTTGTCAACAGACACATTATGTGCCTTGTCTTGAAAATAGTTTTAACATTGTTTTCCACAAATGACAGGGGATAGGACATTTTTAAGCATTCCAGGAAAGCTATTGTCAGAATACATGTTTTTATAGAAGAGTGTTTGGATGGGCATTCTACTTTTTAAAACGCACTGTCTACTTGGATATCTTATTTTAAAACAGAGCCTTCGACTGCTTTTACTGAAATAAACTGTAGATGGAACACGGGACTTACTTTTAATTAGAAATATTTACAGACTGCCTTTATGAGTAGAACTTTTTGGCTTACACAAAAGTAAAAAGTTTTCAGTGGTAATATGATAAAATACCATTTGTACTGGATTCAAATTCAGTTTGTCCAAAATACACTTAGCAGACAAATCATGTTATATCTTGGCTCCTTTTCTGTAAAATGAGAGTAGCATGGCCTTCCTATAGAGTGTTACAAAGTCCAATGATATAAGGCTGTTAAGCACTTTACACAATTGGAATAGGCACGTTTAGTACATTCTCCCAAGTGTTGTGTGTGCTACAATTTGCTAAGAATGGGTGAAATCCAAGAGTGTCAGTGCACTTGCACAAACTCCCCTTCCTTTTCTTTCCTGCTGCTGCTCCCTGCATGCCCCCAGAATCTGTTGTGTCCACTGGCATTGTTTTGGATCTTGCCCAATGCCTACTAAAGAACCAAAGAAGTGTCCTACTGTCTAGTGTCTAATATATAGCATAATGCTATCTTGAATGGCTGTGACAGGAATTTCAGCCCAGTCCCAGGCTTTCTGTTGGGTAACACTTTGGCAAGCTGTTGGAAACCAGACGTAGTTGTATAAATGCCATAACAATTACAAGAGATGTTAAAGTATTTTACTTTTTCTGTGGTACTCATTGATCCTTTTGTTTGTTTAATGCAGCTTGATAAACATGATCACATTCAGTTGGGGTAGTTTTGCAAAGAAACTTTGTCAAAGAGCTTACCTATATTACTTCTGTTCCTGCATTTAGGAAACCAATCATAACGAATGCGCGATGGATGAAGACGAAGACTCAACAGATACTGATGAATATGAAGACAGACGCAGAATTCTGGACATCCCTGTTCCTTCTGGACGTGGACGTTGTCCGCGTCAAACCTGAGCAAACTTCCAGAAAAACAAAACAAAGACCTATTGATTCTGCAGAAAATATTTCTGTGGAAGATACCATGTAAAAATATTTCTGAATATTAAGTCATTATTTGGCAGAGGAACAACTAGCATGAGTGCTGGTTCTGGCTTGCATCTGAGCAGATTATACAAACAGGGTTCTCTTTTGTCATGTGTTTGCTTCTCGAGAGAGAATATGTTGGGTAGAGGTGGGAATACAGTAGTGTGGTGAGCTTTATTCTTCCAAACAGCTTTGCAGTTGAAGGTAATCATTGTACATTTAAACTTCCTTAAAACCAGAATGGTGCTGCCCATTTTTCTTTCCGTTCCTTTTTTTAATTAAAGCAGCAAACAAAATGGAAAATTAGGCATGCCATTTTCACAATGATTTTGTATTACTATTTCATCTCTTGACATATGTGAATGAAATAACTGAAGTTAAATCTGTATAGCCATTGGGACGAATATGTATGTTTTTAATGGGACACTCTGAAATGTTTGAAAGGGAGCTGGTCTAATGTTTTAAATCCTGCATCATGCGCCTTTTTGAACATGAAATATGCATATTGCCTACTGCATTTCTTCATTTATTATATAATATAAATATGTAAATAGCTTGATTTTCCTCTTCAACTGCCATTTAACTATTGTGATACGTGTTTAGAATTTTAAGTATAAACATGTTTTCTTGAACACTAAATGGTTTTCTTTATAACTGTCTCACTAAAAATGAAGAGAACTTGAAATAAGTCTTAACTGGAACATTTACATTGATGGGTATTAATATATATATATAGCAAAGGACAGGTGAGATGTAGTTTCGTACAGCAGTTGCAACATTCTATAAAGTAGTGGGGGGCTTTAGGCTGCAATCACATACAGTGGTACCTCGGGTTACATACGCTTTAGGTTACACACTCCACTAACCCAGAAATAGTTCTTCAGGTTAAGAACTTTGCTTCAGGATAAGAACAGAAATTGGGCTCCGGCGGCGCAGCAGCAGCAGGAGGCCCCATTAGCTAAAGTGGTGCTTCAGGTTAAGAACAGTTGCAGGTTAAGAACGGACCTCCAGAACGAATTAAGTACTTAACCTGAGGTACCACTGTACACACATACCTGGGAGTAAATCCTATTCTCCCAAGTAGACATGTCTAGGACTGTACTGTTAAGCAGCAGCGGTAGAAAGGATTCACCTGTAATAAAACTGGAAAATCTGTCATAGACGTCTGTGCCAGGGTAGGGACCTGTAGGGACCTCCAGATGTTGTTGGGACTACAACTCCCATCATCCCTGGAAATGCTGCGGATTGAACCTTGGGCCTTCTTCCCGCAGTGCAGACGATATACAAATAAGCTGTAGCCCTTCACTGATAGTGTGGCCCAGATGTTCCTCCGAATGATATATAAATAGGTTTTACCAACTTGTCACTTGGTACACAAGTTTGGGCGGGGGGGGGGAGTAAAAAGAAAAGTAAAATTCATAATTAAGAAAATATCAAATTGATACTCCTAGCTGAAGTAAACTGCAACTATAATTTCCAAAAAGAGTGAACTTGTTACATTGTGGAAAACGTTTGAATTTTCTCAATGCCATAGTTGTATAATAATTTATTGTAGGGTTTGTATTATACATTTACAGCATAAGCTACAGCAAAGGGAATCCAGGTAAAGTCAGGGTGCAAACAGTTTTTTAAAGTATTCACTTACGATTCTGAAAATATTTTAATTAGCTTCTAAACTTGTTTTTTCTTCTTCCTTTGGCTAGAACAAAAACAGTACTTATCTCAGATGGTGATTTGGGAAAGGGGGTTGAACCAGCATCTCTGATTTGTTTCCCCCCTTGTGATTACAGGAAGGAGCAAAACAGCAATGATCAGTTTATGATGACGTTTACCATGACATGTAAGGCCTATCAGACCCCTTTATCCTATGAGATGATAACTTTTACTGAGGCTAGATAACCTCAGTGTAAAAAAAAAAAAAATCCTCATTCCAGGAGGTTTAAGATATTCCCCTATATATGTTTGTTTACATGTCAGTTTAAACTTCAGGAGGAAGTAAGCTCTACAGAAACTTTCACTGTATGTAGTAAACCTGACAATGCTGAAGTCCATACTATTCCCAGTTCCCATAACTGCATACAGCCAACTTGAGAAGGGTTTGAAGTTTATATGTTCAGGCACCTTTTTATATACTTTAGACTACCTCATGTCATCCTTATCTTCCTTATCCCAGTAGGTAACTGTTCTTGAAGTTCTTTGAATATCAGAAGCTAGCATCCCATTTGATATACAGTGGTACCTCAGGTTAAGAACTTAATTCGTTCTGGAGGTCCATTCTTATCTGAAACTGTTCTTAACCTGAAGCACCACTTTAGCTAATGGGGGCCTCCTGCTGCCGCCGCACGATTTCTGTTCTCATCCTGAAGCAAAGTTCTTAACCCAAGGTAATATTTCTGGGTTAGTGGAGTCTGTAAGCTGAAGCGTATGTAACCTGAGGTACTACTGTATACCATGTGCCTTACTCTCTCTATCCTTTCTGGAAGCGAGGATAAGGGAGCTGGGCATGTTTAGCCTGGAGAAGAGGAGGTTAAGGGGTGATATGATAGCCATGTTCAAATATATAAAAGGATGTCACATAGAGGAGGGAGAAAGGTTGTTTTCTGCTGCTCCAGAGAAGCGGACACGGAGCAATGGATCCAAACTACAAGAAAGAAGATTCCACCTAAACATTAGGAAGAACTTCCTGACAGTAAGAGCTGTTCGACAGTGGAATTTGCTGCCAAGGAGTGTGGTGGAGTCTCCTTCTTTGGAGGTCTTTAAGCAGAGGCTTGACAACCATATGTCAGGAGTGCTCTGATGGTGTTTCCTGCTTGGCAGGGGGTTGGACTCGATGGCCCTTGTGGTCTCTTCCAACTCTATGATTCTATTCTATGTTAAAAACAAGCTTTCCAATCTGGATAAAAAGGTCTCTGATGTAGGTGTTGTATTGCTTTCAAATACATACAGTATTCAGAACCAGTTCTCAGTGTGGAAGCAGCGTTTAGCCTAATTAGTCTTAATTCTCAAAGCCCTTCATGTTGGAAAAAGTCCTTTTCTCTGCCTGTCCTGAATCGTCTTAACATTCAGCTTCGGTGGCTGGCCATGAGTTCTAGCCTTAGGAGGGAGAAAACCTTTTTTCTGTATCAACTTTCCTCGCACTTTTAAGCAAATTAAAACCCACCCTCGCCTTTTCCCTGAACTAAAAAGTCCCCAATGCTGCAGCCTTCCTCAAAGGGGAGCCGCTCCATCCCGTTGTTGGCTCGGGTGGCCTTTCTCCGCTCCCCAACTCTACAATATCCTTTTTGAGGGGAGGCAACAATGCCTGCGGTTTTATTCCCAAGCTCAATTTGCCACCCTGACGACGACGACGACCCCCTCAGGCCTCGCTCCTCCCGGCCAGCCGTTTATAGTTACAGGCCGAGCCCGCTCCGCTCCGCCCTCTTTTCGCTTTCCCCTCTGGCTCGCTCCCATCATTGAAGCACTTATATTTCGCTGCTTCGGCCGCTCTCCGCATTGCCGCAGACCAGCCTCGCCGCGCGGGAGGCGGAGCGTCCTGGTGCCCGAGAAGAAGCGGCGCGCTCTTCTGGGCGCGAGGGAAACCGGCGGGCCAGGATTTTGCTGCAGAGAGATTGCGGCGGAGCGTCGAGCGGCGGGCAGGAGGGTGAGCGGCGGGCCGAGCACTTGGCGCGCGAAGGGCCGGCTTCGAGGGCTTGCCCTCCGTTTTTGGCTTCAGGATTCGTCATTTAATCGCTGCAGTCCCGCTTGGAAGGTGGGAAAGGGACACCCCCAGAGCAGGCGGGTCTCCGGAGAGGAGAGGGATAGGGGCGAAATGAGCCTAGACCCAAGCAGGTTGCATTTAGGGGTTAATTTTGCGGGGTAGGATAGGAGACCAGGGGGCAGAAAGCATCCTCTCCAACTAGGCTTGGGAGAGACCCCCCTTCCCGAAAGGCTGGGGGACTGCTGCCGGCCAGTGTAGGCAATACTGCGGTAGGTGGGGGGTCGGAATTCGCAACGGCATGTGTGGTGCGTGTGGCGGGCGGGGGGCCTTGGGTGTGCATCGACTACATTGGGCCGTACTTTCTGCTGTGGGGATTCCATTCAGCGGGTGCAGCTTTCCTAACCTTTGCCTCCCCATTGGCATGAGAAGGCGATCCTACCAAACAGCCCCGCCCCAAAGCGCCCTTCCTGTCGTCCGAGACCGTCCTAACTAGGGTCTGTCCTCTTGCTGCTTTCTGCGGGTCTCAAAGAGAATTCTCTCGGGATCGTGGAAGAAGCACGTATCTAAGACTGCAGAGGCAATGCTGAGAGATAAAGGATGCTCTGCCTCCATCAAAGCCCTGGTTCTGGTCCCCTTTCCCATGATCTAAGGTCACCTGATACATTGCTGCTCCCCAATAATTCTAGCTTTGGTAACGCGCCAAATTAGGATCCCTCTTCTCTGTTTAGTATGCCTGCCATGGTGGTGCCGCATAGTGCAAATTTAATCAAGGCACTTTATGTTTTCTTCCTGTTAACTCATTGCTTTTCCTACTGTGAAAGAGTAGGTCGTTTTCTCTGAGAACATAAAATATCACTGAAACATAAAGTAATGGAATCCCCTAGAGCCATTGTTGTTAGTGTGCCAAACTGTGTGTATGTTTTTAGCATGTTAGAAGGCAGAATTCCCACCCCAAAATTTTGGTGTTCCAAGTGGGAGTTGGCAGCAGTCTGTAAAATTATTTCAAAATAACAACAACAACAAGCCCTCAGTTGTATCCACACACATGGCATGTTTGGAGCTGAGGACTTTGGCTGAGAGGGTATGTCTGATATGTTACGGCCCTGCCATGTAGTCCACTTTATTTTAGAAAATATAGTACAAATTTTATACTATTCAAAATTCAATACTGTATTCACAGAAACGTAGTAATCTAGAGTTGGAAGGGACCCCAAGAGTCATCTAGTCAACCCCCCTTGCAGTGCAGGAATCCTATCTAAATCAGTCATATGTTGAAGACAGGTTAATACTGGCATATGAAAAGATCTGTATAAAGTGCCAAATGAATATCTACCCTCAGGTTTGCAGCAGCAGCAGCAGCAGCAGCAGCTAGTAACATCTGGATCTCCAAAGCATCCAGCGTCTTCAGTACTGATCATTCAGAATATTTTCGTAGCTGTCCTTTCTTTCCATCAGGTTGTTAAAAAAATTATGTTTGGACCGCCTCACCTTTCAAAACAAGTGAGAGCATTAGCAAACCAAAATACAGAAGGCATTTTTAAAAATGAAGTCTAGGACTACTTTATTGCACATGCTTCTAAAAAGGGAATATAATTGTCAGCCACCATCAACACATGGAATGTTGTGCGAGGAACTCAAGGTGAAGCAGAAGGGCTGGACACTTGACTTGACACCATGTTCACATCACTGCTTGGATTACAGGGCAGTTGATAACACTGCATATTGTACTTACACTCTTATTTGTTTTGGTTTGCTTACTTGTTCAGTTAAATAATTAACAATAAAAATGGAAGAGCAACGAACAACAACAACAATAAATCACAAGTCTGTACACTTGGCCATCTTCACAGTGGAAGCAGACCAAAAACCTTTTAGAGAGCATACTCAAAGTGCCTGCTATTTCAGTACCACCAATCCCTCAATGTATTATTCTGAAACTTCAAGGGTACAAGTGCTCTGGAGGTCAGAACCAATGAATCCAAATGACAAGAAAGGAGATTCTGGCTAAACATCAGGAAGAACTTTCTGACATTAAAAGCTGTCAACAGTGCAACAGACTCCTTCAGAAGGCGGCAGACTCTCCTTCGCTGGAGGTTTTAAAGGCAAGATTGGATGGCCATCTTTCCGTGATTCCTGCACTGCAAGGGGTTGGACTAGATGACCCTCAGGGTCCCTTCCAATTCCACAATTCTATGATTCTAAGTACTATATTGCAAAATACAAACCTGGAAAAGGGATCTTGATTGCAGACCTCCATTATCCAACTTAATCGAAAGACAGGATGCTTAAGAGGAGACGTACCAAGAGAACAAGTGCACATCTGTGACAGCCACCCACATTTTGAAGAGTTAAATGCTTGTAAACTAGATCTGAAACAGATAGCTGGGTGGCTATTTGATGAAGAAGCTGTAAACCTGTCAGGAAGACATGATGGATACATGCTTTTCTTATTGAAACCATCCCTACTCTCTCCTATACTCACTGCAGGGCCATCTATTGCATGTAATGGTAGTATGAATGTATAATCTTCAAAATACACTTTAAAAGCAATACATATAGCGTCTGTGTTATATGTTTTCAGCAGAAATTTGGATTGTATGAACAAACAGAAGATGTTTGGGAGCTGAAGTTTGGAACAGTCCAGTTTTCTGGTTTCTCTGGCTGTTGTCTTAAAATTATTGCCACTATTACCACTGACCTTGAAGTATTAAACTGCCAGCCAACCATTTTCCTCCTCTCTGTCTCTTTCTGCAGTTCTCCTTTCCTGTTTCTCTTTTCAAGCTGACTCAATATTTTTGGTTGCTGAGCATACTCAGTTCTTCTTGGGCTGGGCTGGACTTGGGTTGTTTCCCCCGTATTAGGTTTTCTTTTTAAAATATTTTTGTACGTGTTTCTCCAAACCTCCTACAGGGTCCCCAGAGCATGCTGCTACCTGCTTCTTTTCCAGTGCAGCCTAAAAGCAAATAAATAAATAAATAAATAAATAAATAAATAAATAAATAGTAAAATCTTATTAAAATATATAACATAATTTAATTTGAAAACAGCACCATTATCAAACTAGAGTTCCCGGGAAGCTATGGAAGCTATGACTGCTAAACCTGATGTAATAGTGGAAGGGAGGGGTGTATTAGTGTTAAAAAAAAATATGTAAGAAGGTAACTTTGTTCATTTGCCTCCTTGTCAAGGCTCAGTTGATTTTCTCTCTCCTAGAGGCTAATAATAGCTTCGGATGGGAGGCTTTGACTAGAGCAAACAAATTATGGGCAGTCTCATGTGTGTTTCTCTTTTTAGACTCCAGGGGAGCCATGGACAAAATGAACAGCATTCTGCTTACAATATTCATTATTGTAACTGTCTCCTGCAGTTCTGGTAGGTATCCGCCTTGAAGCTCCTTGAAGGGAGTGGCTCAGTGATGTAAATTTGATGGAAACCTATAGAAAGTTTTCAGCTTCTGTTGTATTTGTTCAAGTGCTGTACAGAATACAGCAACTGATGTGAACATAGCGGTTGGCATACAGTTAACCAGAAGGGATTTTAAAGCCTGAGAGGAGAAGATGGGGAATGGTCCTGAACCACACGCAACCTTGCAAGCATTTCGTGTAGTCCTTTGGTGGAGGTGTCCACCAAATAATTGTTTTGTTGGTAAACTTTGAATTATTATATTTAATGCACAGCCTAGGAAACACAGCAGGTTAATCAGCAAAAACATAATAAATAGTGATATGATAGTGACCTATCAGGTGCTTAACACATATGCTTGGGTTTACATATCCCATGTGCAGGCACCAAAAATGGGAAATTTGCTTAGTTCCATCATACATGACAGGTGAGTTTCTTTGATGTAGTCAGTCAGGAATCAGCATGGCAGGGACAGGGAACCCATAGCTCTCCAGCTGCTTTTGGACTCCAGCTCCCATCTTCCCTGACCATTGGCCATGCTGGCTATGGCTGATAGGAGCTGGAGGCTATAAGTTCTCTGTCCCTGGAAGAGGGTTTCACAGCAATTAGGGAAGCAGGTAGAGTTGGATGGCAGTTGAGGCAAAATGTTCCACCATAGCTGCCTGGATATTCTAAATAATGAATAATTTGCTTTTAGATGTCAAACTACTATTGTCTAATTCATAATGCAGATGCACTTAAGCCTATTGTTTTCTGAAGACTGAACTCTCAACAGGAGCCAAAAGCTGCCCAGTTCAATCCTTTGTCCAGTAGGGGGCTCTTCCTCTCTATTTGTCTCATTACCTACTACTGTGTCAAAGTGATCAAACTTGGACAGGAGAGTAGATTTCCTTATTAGTTGAATCCTAGATCAATTTAAAAAACAACAACCCTGCCTTTAAAAATGTCCTGTATAAGGTCTGTAAAAGCAAAAAGTATTTTACACTTTATTATTGGAGACGGTAAAGCAACAACAAAAGCAAAAAAGAAACTTTTGGCGTAGTGATCGCAGCAGTGATGTGTCGTCAGTTTTCCTTTTACCAAAAATTGAATTGGGTTCTGAAGCGACAGCTACTCAGGTGAGCTGGAGGTCCCCAAATCTTACTCTAGCCACAAACTATTTAAGTGGCATTAGGAAAGCTGCCATCCTCTCTCCTCTCCTCCTCCAATATTCATTATGATGTGAGTAATCATATTGGCCTAATGTTTGTTTACTGTGGCAGTGTACGTAAAATACTTTAGATTATCATGCTATATAGATATTTCGTTAGTTTAACAAAATCTCCCTTTGTATCTCAGGCTATGCACTCCGATGTTACACTTGCGAACAAAGCCCCTTCCTGTGTAGGACAAACCTTACCTGTAGCTACGAAGAAGATGCTTGCTTGCAAATTAGGTTTGGTATGTATAATATGCAGCAGTATATCAGTCTCACTCTTGGTTTGAGTGTCTCTTGCAGCACAATCCTATACTACTAATAAGCCCTTTCTGAACACTTTCCAACTCTACGATCTGCTTTTTGAGATGAGGCAATCTGTACTGCACACAGTATGCAAAGTGCAGCCGCACCATAGATTTGCATAGTGGCATTATATGAGAAGCCCTTTTCTCAGAGAGCCCGTTTCATACAATCATCCTTTGGGGCCCATCCTTATCAGCCTTTCTCAACCTGTGGGTCCCCAGATGTTGTTGAACTACAGCTCCCATCACCCCTAGCTAGCAAGGCCAGAGCTCAGGGATGATGGGAGCTGTAGTCCAACAACATCTGGGGACCCACAGGTTGAGAACCGCTGCGGGCTTAGCTTATGGCAGGCTTCCTCAACCTCGGCCCTCCAGATGTTTTGAGACTACAATTCCCAGCATCTCTGAACATTGGTCCTGCTAGCTAGGGATCATGGGAGTTGTGGGCCAACAACATCTGGAGGGCCGAGGTTGAGGAAGCCTGGCTTAAGGTTATATTATATTTTTACATATCTGCTTCTTTCTTTTGCATAATTTAATTCCAATGTTTAGGGTTTCTTTTTTTAAAAAAGAAGTGGTTTGTTTTTGAGATGGAGTAGAAGCTAGGAGTGGCATGAGAATCTGACGTAGATGATTTATCTGCTTGACATGGGATGAGGGCAAAAGCTACGTAGTGCACTAAAGCAGCCCCTTCTGTGAACAGGAGTCCTTCCGTTCACAAAAGAGCAATCCAATATTCAATAGGATTATACCCTACATCTATGCAAGAGTACTGCAAAGTACTGAGACATTTGGTTATTTTTTTTAAAGCTTCCTTATTTACCATATAAACCATATTATAAGTTATGGTATCCTTATAAAGTTATCAAATTAGCAGCTTTTGTTAAACTTTAAAAAAAAAAAAATCAATGGAAAGCAAATGTATTTTAAGCTGACAAGTTTTCAATTGCTTATTTTGGGGTGTCATTTTTCTTTTTTCTTCTTTTACAGTGCATTTGAGAACCTATAGCTGCTGGAAAATGTCACAGTGTACCACAGAACAAGTTGCCAATTACTTTAACGCTGACAGTTTTAGATTCCTTTGTTGCCAAAGAGATCTCTGCAACAAAAGTTTAAACACCATGGTCAGTACAGTTCCTCTAGCCATTTCTGCAATGACTGTGATTTGGATGATGTTCCTGTGATATGGAGCTTTTAAAAATGTGTTGTCTATACACATCACACTTTTCCATCCTTTTTTTAGTTGATATGTCTGCAGCATTTGGAGAAGGGGTGCATTGTCTTAAACCAGAAAAGTATTCAGATACACAAAAGAGAAGGAGCTGCCAGGACAGGTTAAAATCCCCTTTTCAGATAACTTGGAAAACATTCCTGAATGAGAGAAACCCATTCTGTAATAAAATGTTCTCAGCCAGTGTATTCTGATGTCCTTTAGCAACTGAGCCAACTCCATGATTCTTAGGGCTGGTCAACAGCCGGGGGGGGGGAGGGGGAGGCTGCTTTAACCTGCTCCAGATGGCAGTTCTTATGTAGAAACAAACACATTCTTTCTTAGCTATCTGGAATCTTTCATATCCAACACTTGCAGAGATGAAAAGAGAACTGTATGTAAAGAGCCATCTACTTAATGGACCTAATACGTAAATCATCCCTATTTGTATGGCACATTACATTTCTAGGTGCTTGATGGCAGAACAGAGGAATTCCCAATAAAATCAAAATTAAGTCGGCAAGAAAAAATTGACACCAAGACATGACGCTTACTGGCTTAGACTAGCATCCAAACCCCCTTGGCACCAGGCTGGGGGAAATTCAGACTGGGCAGCAGTGTCTCTCTGCCTAACCCTGCCAGTGATTATTCTGCTGGACTCTCCCTATCCTTACTCCATGCCTTCCTCGAAGCTGGAATGGGTCCTTGACCTGTGATAATGCCTCCTGCTTCCTTCGTTGGAAATGATGCACATAGAAGCCTGCCCTATAAAGAAAAGGGTTGTGTCTACTGATCACTTTGGTCTCTAGCCCTGCTCACCATTGACATGCTGTCCCTGGAAGGAGAAAATTCAGCCCTTGGTCCATGGGCATAGCCAGGATTTTTGTTGGGAGGGGCAGGCCTTTTGTTGGAGGGGACAGAACCTCAGTTAGCTATGTATTTTTATTGATTTAGGGGGGCAGCTCCCCCCTCTTCGCTGAAAAGAACATACCCTGACCCTTTCTTAGACTGTAAGTCAACTAGATTCACAGGCAGCTTGTGTTGATGACAATGTTGTTGGTACTGTAGTTTGATTTGGTCAAAGTCTTATATAAACATCTGGAGTGGTGGTGAGTAATCTGCCACTGCTCAGCTTTAAAATGCTAAAACACTGCAGCAAAATGCTTGTATCATTGTTTCATTTGCAGAAGTCTTGCTGATAAACGTGTAGTAGCCTATATCTGCTGTTTGAACACTTACTTCCGGATCCTTATAGCACACTTACATGCAATTCCCTCATATAGCAATGAAGCTTACCTTCAGGAAGTGCATTTAGAATTGCAGCCTAATGACATTTCAACTTTGAGTTTAGTGTGAAGACTTTGTCCAATGTGGGGAGGCTCTTTATACTGTAATCAGATGCTCTTTCTATAGTCATTCAAGAAACAATGCACTTCTTGCCATGTTTTTTAAACTGCCAATATACTACTAGCATTGCAATAAATGCATTTACTGTGAATAATGCTTATATACTATGTATATAGCAAGGGTGGTGAATCTGTGGCCCTCTGGATGTTGTTGAATTCCGATTCCCATTAGTCCTGACCACTGGCCATGCTTGTTGGGACTGATGGTGTAACAACTTCAGGGCAGCCACAGGTTCTTGATCCCTGCTATAAAGAGCACACTGGCTTTGTTTACAATTACACCCATTGAATAGACAGTAGCTACTTTTTAGAATTCTTCTTTCTTCTGCAATAGTCTTCCATGCATTGGTCTTCCATGTTATTCGTGTGTGTGTGTGTGTGTGTGTGTGTGTGTGTATCCTTTCAGGTGGTAATGGGCTAGTTGTGGGGACAAAAAGCTCTCCCTCCCCACCCAAAAAAACCTTTAGTTGCTGTTAACCTTCACTCCAGGATAGCACACATCTAATTTTCAGCCGTTGTACGCAGATAGTGCCACATTTTCCATTTTTACACTATACATGTTTCATCAACATGGATTTGTTAAACAAACTGTTCACTCACTTGGAACATGACTGGTGATGGTTCTTTTTTAAAACAACAACTATAAAACAGTAAATAAAACACACCTCTGTGTAATGTGTGGTTGTTTGGAAATTAGGAACATAAGAAGCTGCCTTCTATGCAGCCTTAGCAATGGTCTATATAGCTCGGTACCAACTTCCCCCAACCTGAGGCCATCCAAATGTTTTAGATTACAACTCTTGTCAGTCCCATACAGCCCAGGCAAAATTCAGAAATGATGGGTGATCAAAAACATCTGGATGGACCGGGTTGGGAAAGGCTGGTTTATACTAACTGGCAAGGGAATTTCAGATAGGGCCTCTTTCTAGCCCTTCCTGGAGATTCCAGGGGTGACATCTTCTGTGTGCAAAACATATGTTCTACCAATGCTATCTTCATACCAAAGCTGTGTCCCCTTTCCAAGTTGTGTTGCATTGAAGCAATAGCCAAGATCAGGGGTAGACAATGTGATGTCCTTTGCTTGATAAGGACCCCAGCTCCCATCACCCCTGACCAATGCTGGCTGGGAATTGCCGTCCAAAACATCTGGCTGGCACCACATTGGCTACCCTTCTCCAAGACTCTTGGACAGTGAAAGCGCTTTTTAAGAAGCATAATGTATATGAATGGAAAGGTCACATTTCTGCAATCCTACATTTGGGAATCATTGTTCATATTCCCAACTCTTGTCAAATATTTCCTATAGAGTGTAGGCCACATAGAGCCTATAGCAACTTTGAATCAAAACATTATCCTGTACTGATTACATGTCTATGTTCTGTCTTGATCTTTTTTTAACAAATGTCCAGTGAAAAAAATAATACCCAGCTGGCAGCATTGTCAAACAGCAGCAAAATTACACTGAGATCAATGGTTATGTTGCACACACAAAGCATTCATGCAGTATTGACACACTGTTTGAAAGCAGCAAGTTATTTATTTCCAGAAGACTCCAACAAGTGCCTAAGGGCACAGTGAAACCCATTAGCTCACTACAATCAGTGCTTTTTTTTCTTTAGAAAAATAGCTGCTGGTATCATGAAGCTGTTATAGCAAGTGGCACACTTTTTAACAACAAAAAAGAGGTGCCAGTACTGCATACCTTTGAGTACCACCTGAAAAAAGCACTGACTACAATAATGTGTAACTATAATAATTTTTCCAATAAAGATTCCAAGTAGAAATGTTGCCAAATTTACCAAAATTTCTACCAGAGCCAGTATTGCATACAGCTTGACACAAACATGATTATGTGCATAATATATACATTTTGTGAATAATTTTGCATCTAATCAGTCTGACTTTTTAAAAGAAAAAAGTTCAAACATCTGGTGTCATCAAGTTGGCAAAGGCTGCTGCCAGGCAATATGGAAGAGGGGTGTGTGTGTGTGTGTTTTCTGGGTCAACCCCAGGCTGAAGGAGCTGAGGGGTCAGGGGGAAATCCACAGGATGAGAAAAATAAAAATCCCTTTAGGATGGCTAGGTGCAAAAGATGACAGGGGCTCCTAAACTTTTAACAGTATCTGAGGGAATTTCAGCAGATGTCGTTTGCCTGATAAGCTACACCTGCTGAAATTCCTGCTCCTGCACAGGTATTAAAGGTACAGGAATGTGTGACTTGCACGTAGCCACCCAACTTGAGACTGAGGGCTCACTACAGCCCTATTTTAAGCCCCACTTTGAACCTGACTCAGTTGCTGCTGGCAGAGCACTCCTATATACATCTGCTCAGAGTTAAGTCTCATTAAATTCAGCGGAGCTTATGCCCAGGAAAGTGTGCCTAGGATTGTAGCCTAAGCACCACAGCATCTGAGTTATATAAATTGGCATAGTTGCAACGAGTTCCCTAGCCATCAGTTTTATTTCCCCATGTTCTCCAACTTGTGCTTAACAAGCCCTGAAATGACCCTATCAGTATCCCCAAGGATTGCCCTTTTGTGAATTAATGTGAATGAAATAATCTAGTATAGATAAACAAGCAGGCATGCTTCCTGTAAGTAAAAGGGGTTGAATAAATTTTTATAAAGCCATTTTCCCAGTAAGAGAGAGAGAGAGAGAAAGAAAGCGCATCACACCAGCCAGAATAAGGAAGGACAAAGATACTGTGTGCTTTGAAAAAGATACAGATATGGATGTGGTGAAAATTGGCTGCAAGCCTGGGAATCAGTTATTGCTAACTGGTGAGAAGAAAAAAAGAAATAGAAGATTAGCAGAGCCCCAGGTCAGAAAAAGAACAGACACAACAGGATTCTGTCATGGCTGCACAAGATATCACCAAAGAGGCACGAGTAGATAGCTACCTGTGCAAGTATGAAGTGTAACTGGTAGTGTAAAAACCTGCTAAAGTTAATAACCTGTTAAAGTTAATAAAAAGGTAAAAGAAAATCAAACTGTCTAGATTCCTGCTCTTGCACAGTGGTTTTGATCACCCACAGGGCACTTTTAAGAAAATAAAAGTAGGAACACCCCCTCAGCCTCTCATGGAGAACACAGGACAATGGTATAGTGCCAAAAGAAATTAGCAGTGCTGTAGGCCAAAGGGGTAAGCAAGAGAGCCAGGGACTGAAGATATGCACCCACCCAGGTTTGATGTTTAATGGAGCAAACCTATACATGTCTTCTCAGAACCAAGTTTCACCAAGTGCAACGGGATTTACGCCCAGGTAAGTGAAATAACTCCCTCTCACAGTAACCTCAGGTGATGAGGACCAGCTGAAATGGACCCCAAACTGGGCCAGGAACAATGGTATTTAATGAATGCCTACTAAATGTCAGTGTCATATTAGACACAATATTATCCCAGCAATAAACTCCACAACATAGCTGTCAACTTTTTCCTTTTTAAGGGAAATTCCCTTATTCTGAATAGGATTCCTCACAAGAAAAGGGAAAAGTTGACAGCTATGCTCCACAACTCAGCCCCTGTAAAATGCACATATTATTAATATAAACAATTCATCAGAACATTTAAATAATAATACTCCATTAATATGTACAATAAAACATGCGGTCTGCATATTTTTAAATGTCTGAAGGTTCTCCCTCCATTTCATAATCCCCTATAACAGCACATTTATTGCGCAGATAAGCCCAGCCCACTGAACCTTCACAGGAATTTGCCAGGCTATTTATTCCATCACGCAAAATGTTGGAAGGTGTGTCTTCCTTTATGGCCACGTGGCCAGCCTTGAACTTCTCACACACCCCATCTAAAAGGGGCCGCCGCTACAATTCAGGGCTGCTCAGAACTGACTTTGTGGAGTAGCAATGCGCACATTTTAGTTTTTCCGACCTGGCACCTGTTTAAATAACGACCGAGAAACCTCTGGCTGGTGACTTTTTCCTCTGATAGCCTTTTTCTCCTTTGGATATTTGGTTTTCAGTAGGCGGGTTCCCAGCTGTGCTTCAACATAAAATACAGACGCAGAGCGTCCTTCAGCAGACTCAGATACGGATCTTAAAACTGAAACCCTACTCGGGGGAGGGAGGAAGCGGCGGGGAATCTGCTGGATTGCATAGAGAACATCCCGTTTTCTATTTCCAGGCGCTGCAGCTGAGCAATAATTAGCAGGTGATATTTGATCGAGGATCTATCAGAGTTCCGTCCTGGGCGTAGCCAGGAATTATGTTTCCGGGGGTGGGCAGGACACCCACCTGGCACCATCCTCTGGCAGATTCGGAATAGTCAATAACAGTTGTTTTGAATTACTTTCTTTTGACCCCAAGTGCTCAGAAAAAAATCTCTCAAATTCTTTCTACGGTTTCTACATTTTGTTAAATATTTTTATTGATTGACTTGATTTAGGAGGGGGGCAGTTGCTCCCCCCCCCCCCGCTATGCCCATCAGTAGCGTTTATTTACCTCTCTCTCAGCAGTGACAGAGAGGGGCTGTGTACCATGCATTTAAAGCTCATAAAGTCCCCCAGGTATCCTGGGAACTATAATTTACCTCTCGCCGAGCTACAATTTCCAGCACTTGTAACAAACTACAGTCCCCCGCCCCTTTTTTTAATGGGAGTCCTAAACTGCAAATTCCTATCAAAGACAGTTTGGGATTTATGTACTGGCAACGGAGCCGTTCCCTCTAGTTAACCCATGACGTCATCTTCCCCGCTAGCCCTTAAGCCAATCAGGAATCCCGCCCTCGGCCAATGAGGCTAAACCGAGGCTGGCTTTTGCTATATAAAAAAACAATTTCCCAGGGCCGAGCGGAGCAGCTGAGAGGCGTGTGTAGGTAGAAGCGCGGAGCAGCCGAGGAGGGGTGAGTGCAAGGGGCCTTTTCTTCCGCCAGGGTCTTCTTGAGCATCAGCGACACCCCCGCGGCTTCTCCTCCAGACTTTCCTGCGCCTTTATTCTGTCCCTTTGCGCTCCGCGTTGCAAGATGCGAGCGGCGCGAATGGGGTCGGATCCCTGGGCGGTGGGTGGGTCGTTATGGGGAAAGCGCGTGGAAGGCATTCGGGACCGAAATAGTCGCTCGCTTAGCAGGCCGGTCTCGCGGAGAAGCCGAGGCAGGCGCAGCAATGCCCGGTTTCAAGCACGGGGCTTGGAGGACGCGGCGCCGATCCCCCCCCCTCCCGCGGTACGAAGCGAAGGGAAATGCGCACCTATTGATACTAGGGGAGAGGTCCGTCATGCTGGAGAGCATTATCGTTATATAATAAATGCACGGGCTTGTCGTATATAAGGCCCTTCCAAGCTCGTTGCTCATTCCGGCGCATGGGCAGGGCCATAGGCGTAGCCTTAAATATAAATCAATAATCAATAAATCAATAAAAGTGCTTAACTGAGGCTCTGTCTTCCCCCAACAAAAGCTTGCTGCCCCCTCAAAAAAAATTCCTGGCTACGCCCATGGGCAGGGCCCTGGTGGGGAACTGGATCCACTACATTTCTGTATGATCCGGATCGGTTGCACTGGGAGTTGGGGGGAAATAATGGAAGTCTGTCTCGGTCCCTAGAGGCGGTGGCTTGTCTACTTAGCGATGGTCTCAGAGGTACTACCTGACTATTCCTTGCAGTAGGAACCTGTAATGTGCGCACCTCCTGCCATTTATTCTCCTCAGGTGGGGAAACGTTATTGTAGAGAAAATGGTATGTAAAGGTATTGGCAAATGAAATTTAACATGAGGAAAGAGGGGAGATGTAAAATAGCATCCTACATTTCACAAGGTTACACGAAGGTGCTGCAGACCCAACCTGGTGTGACCCAACCCTACTTGCTTGTGGAAAGTTTGCTGCCTACTGAGGAATATGTATGGGTGTGGCCAATGGCTGATTTTTCATCTGGGCCTCTAGAGCAGAGCTTTCCAGACTTTCCATGTTGGTGACATGGAATTAAGTTTTACTAGCATACCAGAGGTTAAACCTTTTCCAGCCCTGGCAGGAGCGCCCTGAGCATTCGCGCAACACACCTACACACTGCAGCCCACACACTAACATGTCGGAGCACCTCTTCCGTTGGAGAGGAATTCATCCTGTTTTGTTATTACTTCAAAGTGAACTGTTGTGTGGGGAAATGGCAACCAAAAAAGGGAATGAGCTGCATTGCTGAGTTCAATTCTGGTCCAGTCTGTAGGCACCGTGAAAGCAAAACTGGAGGAAGGAAACTTTGGCCAAGAAGCTTTGACTGAGGTGTCAGACAGGCAGAAATGTTTTGTTAGAAGCATAAATACTGACAAGACCGCAGTCCAGATAAGAGGGTACACCAGTTTTAAGAAGAAAAGAGCTTTGTTACTCCGTGCAGCTAGCGGTGCTGGGTGATAAGGTTTGATACCACATCAAGCCCATAAATAACGGAAACCGTTTTTGCAGTTTTCTCGTCTTGTCACTGCTACAGAATGAATTTTAGTTGAGTGTAAAAGAGAGAATTAAAGCAACAAGTCATCAAACCGGAAACGGTTTTTTGGATGTTTGGGAACAGAGTAGTCTTATTTTTATCCTCTGGATTCAATCTTAGTTTCATTGTTTTCACACAAAGTTTTTCCTGATGTCTTTTGTGCTGTGGTATATTTTGTCTACAGAGGAAAAACATCGCTTTCAGATTCCATTCTTGCTGCTAGTAAAGAAACATTTTTCTTTGATTTTCACCTGGGCTAATCCTCAGTTTTGAATTTCCTGGATCCTATATATTGGCTGTGAATCCAAGAACTAAGGAGCTTGTTTCCATTCCTGGGTTTCCATTGGTAGATACGTTCTTCTCAAGCCAGAAGGCCAAGTAGTTAGGACAACTAGGCTTATGCAATAAGCTTTTACTAGTGGTGTTTAGGTGGGGTGTTTAAACTGGTGGAGTTTAGGTGGTCCAATATAGTATTCAGCAATGGTTAAATAAGTTGTACTTGATTACAGTACATGAGATTATAATTTTGTACATAACAGCCACTTTGTATTTTCCTTACCCGAAGATTCATCCATATATGATGTGCTATTAGATTTCTTTGGTCAGAGGAGGTTGGTCCATGAGGGCAAATGGGGCACTACCCCAACTTCAGTCAACGCTCACCTGCCTCTTTACTTAGAACCAGCCCAGAGGGTGGCACTGGCTATCCATTTCCACCTCCTCAATGTTGGCATTGTAGCCTGATGAGGGTGGGGGACAAGCCAAGACTTAGTTGTCTCCACCTGTCTCTGACTCTGGCTCGAACTACAATTGGTCTCCTTACATTCTGCCCCTATGGTAACATAGGATAGTGCATATAGAAAATGGGTGACATGCCAGTCCTCATATTTTTTTTTGCACCACACATTTTCAGTGTTACCAGATTTGCGCAAGACTGCTGTTTTGGCCTTGTCATTAGTGCTGTTACTTTTTCTTGCTCCAGAACAGCTTGATTAAACTACGATTTGCCAAAAGAAATAGAATTGTGGCTGCAAATAAAGTTATTGGCACCAAAGAGGGATTGGAGTGGTTGTGCATCACTGGGTAAAGGGGTCTCATTAAGGGGTGGCAATGAGAGTTTGGTGTAGAAATTGGGAGGATTTGCCCACAATTTAAGAGATGCAAGCAAATTTCACTCTTGTGTAAGACCTCTGTTAAGCAAACAGAAATGGGTGTTGCGCCCCACAAAAAAAGCACATGCCTCCATTTTGCTCATTGTGAGGCATGTTATCAAAGGCTGGTGACATTTGCTTTTGTGGTATTGTGCAGGTTGGTTGGTTGGTTGCTGTAGTGGAAGTCTGCACAAGGTTTTCCACTAACACAATTGGGCTTGCCTCTCTTCCCCCCACAAAATGCTCTGAAATTGGCTCTGGTGGGGGTTCGGAGGATTCCAGAACAGCTCAAGGATGGGAGGAGATAGGGGATTGTTCCATCTGGCAAGTTGAAAAGATTCTGCTGACAACAGTTGCCATAGTGCTACATTGAATTGTTGCTTCAGAACATCCAGCACCAACCAAACTGTGTTTTTGCTTTATAGGCTAAGGCTGGAAAAATAATAACTGGAAGATGAAGACTCTTGTTACCACCGTTTTGATCGCCACGTTTGTTCTGACTTTGTTCAGCCACTTTGGTAAGTATGCAAGTGCACTATTAAAAATAGTGTGAACTTAGAGCAAGGCACTGAGCAGAGGAGGTGGGCTTCACAAAAAGGGGTTCAGGGGCTGGGAGAGAAATGTGGACTTGAACAGATGTTGCTGGTATTTCCCCTAAAGAGTAATAGATATGGGGGGCGGTTTCTGGTGGGCTATGATTCTAGTAGGCCAAGGAGGACTTGCTTAATTTTGACTCCTGGAGGCAAACCTACTGGGATGTGGTAGGTTCTTCCTTTGTAGGTAGGTAGTTCTTCTGAGATGCCAGCCACTGCTTATGGCTCATAGCTTAATCTATACTTGTGATATTATACTTGCGGTATTGCTGTTGAAACTGGTTTGTGCTGACTCCAGCTGTATTGTAGTCAGATCTTCTAGAATTGAATTGGGAACTCTAGAACAGACTTCTTCATATGGCTCTTTTGCATACATACTAGATTATACTTGGTTCCCTCAATGAGAAAAGCCTTGCATTAATGCCACAAACTATTTTTATTTATTTGGTTCAAATTTATAACTCCTTTTTTCCTTTCCATGGGAAACCTGTGATGACACACAATAAAATTACATAAAGTTGTTCAAAACAACATTAGAATACAATGATACAGGCAGGGATGTTCCTCCAGAGGTAGTTGGACTCCACATCTCATATATTTTGCCTATGCTGACAGGACTGATGGGTTTTGAAGTCCAGTAATCTCTGGAGAGGGATGCGGGTGGCGCTGTGGGTTAAACCACAGAGCCTAGGGCTTGCCGATCAGAAGGTCGGCGGTTCGAATCCCCCGGACGCCCATTGCTCTGTCCCAGCTCCTGCCAACCTAGCAGTTTGAAAGCACGTCAAAGTGCAAGTAGATAAATAGGTACTGCTCCGGCGGGAAGGTAAACGGTGTTTCCGTGCATTGCTCTGGTTCACCAGAAGTGGCTTAGTCATGCTGGCCACATGACCCGGAAGCTGTACGCCTGCTCCCTCAGCCAATAAAGTGAGATAGATGAGCGCTGGAAACCCCCCCCCCAGTCGGTCACAACTGGACCTAATGGTCAGGGGTCCCTTTACCTTTACCTTAATCTCTGGAGGATTGTAGCTTCCCCTGTTGGAAGGACAACAGAGATCATTCAGAGTGCAACTTAAGGATGAATTCTATTGTTACTGTTAAAGTGAACTAGGTGGTGGTGGGGAGTTTTACATAGCAACCAGGTAAGGTGGCATGATCTTTACTAAAGCAGTATGTGCTCTGATGAGCTGTGATATCTGATATGCCTTTGCAGTACGCTTAAACACTTTTAACTTATCTTTTAATTATTTCTACATCAATATTGTAGTTCAAGCTTGTTACCAGGAATCTAGTTTCATGATGGAAGCCTGCAATAAGACCATCTTCTATTCTCCTCCCCTCTTTCATTTAGGAGCTGCCTTAAAATGTTATCAGTGTCTGGATGGTATCGGTCCATGTAAAACGAACGTCACATGCTCGGGTGGTACTGATTCTTGCATATTGGTAAACTTGGGTAAGTATGCTACCTTATCTGATTCATGTGTAACTTGTGATTAAGTACAATTTTAAAAGAACTATTTTCTTTACTTCATTATGGTCAGCACTTGTATTTTATGCATTTTTTCCTCCCAAATCACTGAAGTGAGGCCTTTTCTTCAAATTACCATATTTTTCGCTCCATAGGGCGCACCTGACCATAGGGCGCACCTAGTTTTTAGAGGAGGAAAACATGAAAAAAAATATTCTGAATCAAATGTTGTACTAAACTATTTAAAGCAGCAAAGCGGGTGGCTCCTGTCCGCTTTGCTGCTTTAAAGCGAGCCTCAGAGGAGGGAAGGAAGGGGAACCATGGCTTATCTAAGTCCAGTTAATAATGCTGAGCCTGATTTTATATGCATCTCAAAGCCCTTGACATATATACATTATAATGACAAGCTGAGATAGGCCTCCTGCATAGGAGGAGGGGAGGAGAAGAGAGGGAGCCATCATAGCTCAATGGGGAGAGCATGGAGAAGATCCCAAGTTCAGTCCTTGAAAGCTTCTCCGGGTAGGGCTGAGGGTGTGTCTCCTGAAACCCAGGTGAGCCTCTGCCCATCAGTGAAGACAAAACTGAGCTCAATGGGCTCAGGGGTCCTGACGTGGTACAGGGAAGGTCCCTCTGTTCCTGTTTAAATTAGCCCTTTCTTCAGAACCATGGGGACTACAATATTAGTTTGTTTTTAAAGGGAACAGCTGTAACCTCAGTGGCTTTGCAAGCAGAACACCACACGTTCAATCCCCGGCTTCTCCAGGCCTGAAACTCTGGCAAACTGCTACCAGTCAGTGTTGACATTACTAAGCCAAATGGAGTAGTGGATCCAACTCCTTATAAGGCAGCTTCCTAGGTTCCCATTTATGCTTCAGATCTGGGCGTGAGGCCTGCTGTCACTTTTAGTGTCAAGAGGGTGGTTCTTTGCACATCTGGAAGATGACTGTGTCACCTCCCATCACCCTCTTGAAGGTGCTTTTACAGCTCAGGGGAAAGGGCAGGCAGACGCAGCATCTGTAAACTGTAGCATCCTGAATTAAGGGAGGGAGGGGAAAGAGCTGATCTTCAGCTTGAAACCAGGACTTGCTCTTTAACCATGCTGCTCCTCCAGCTGCCAATGCCATCCATGTAACCTGTGTGAATATCAAGTGTGGGTTGTGTCCAGGAACCTGGGAGGATTTCTTTCACATGAGTGCATGTTTTTGTCTTTAAATAAACAGCCCATGCAAGTTTCCAGCTCTTATGGCCATGCCTGGCTGTCTCAGTGGAAATCTGAGGAGGCTGAGGTGGACTTTCCAGTGGTCAAAGTCTTCCTGCCCGGCATCTATTTCCTGCCCTCTTTCCCCACTGAACTCCCGCACCCTGCTTCAAAGCAAGCTACGGAGGGGATTCCCTCTGCTTTGAAGCAGGAAAGTGGAAGAGGAGCTGCTTACATGAGTGTAAGCTGCTCCCCTCCCACTTTCCTGCTTCAAAGCGAGCCACGGAGGAGGGAGGGACCAACGGAATCCCCTTCCCTCCCTCCTCCCCAGCTCAGCTCAGCAGCCGCGGCTCTTGCTGGCTTTACAATGAGCCGGAAGGAGGGACAGACGGCAGTCCCTCCTCCCGCCTCCCTGTAAACCCAGCCAGAGCCGCAGACACACTCTACGCAGCTCTTGCTTTAAAGGGAGAGCTGCGCAGAGCTTGTCGGCAGCAGCGGCTCTTGCTGGCTTCGCTCCATAAGACGCACAGACATTTCCCCTTACTTTTTAAGGGGGGGGAAGTGTGTCCAATGGAGCGAAAAATACGGTATTTTAGGGATAGGTTGTTGAGGAGATTGCATTGGTTTAAATATGGCATTAGGCAAATTTAATTGTCCTGCTTCTGACTCTTCTCTCCCCATCCTCATTAACATTCTTCATTAACTGCTGGTTGTATATCTAGCATTGTACTTTTTTGGGTACATTTGATGATGTGGAAGTCTCTGGGCTGATTTAATTAGATGAAACATTAAGGGAAGGTGGTAGGGGTCCCTGAGCATTTTAAAGTTGGGCAATCCATGAGAATGGATGTAACCTAATACTTGTAAGTAAATTAGTTTATCTTTCTTGCATTGTACCACAAAAAGTAGAGCTCTCTCCCTGAGACACTGTTCTTGATATGGTGATAGATTTTTTTGGAACATGAAAGTGAATTTAAAATGTTTTCATAATAAATGCATATTAAAAACAAATGTTGAGTGATAAATCATACAAACTACATCTTTTGTACTTAAAGAAGTAAAGTAGGTCTTGGATTCAATGTGAAATTATTGTACACATTTTCATTTCCCCTTAATTTTCTCCTTTGCCCCTGTGCAGAGAAGCAAATGGGTGTTGGATGGTTACTTTGGCTTGATACTATTGCCTTTGTTACTGGAATAGGAAGCTGGCTGCTTCTTCAAATAGCTCTTGTAAAGTAAAATACCTCAAATAAGATTTGGGGGCAAACACATGGTTTATTTTTTTCTTTTTAGATGCTGTCTCTATATTTTTATGACAGTATTTTAAAAGCCACCTTGCGTGTTTTGAACAGATAGGCAATATTTTTTTAAATAACTGTAAGGAAGGTATGGAAGACTTAAATAGACATTCTTAAACTCTTCTCCCCCTCCCCCAATTTTCTTGCTCAGCAGGAAAGCAAACTACTTTCCATAAAATCTTGTCTTTGTGTTGTTGTTTTTTAAGGTACTGGAAGAAATATCTCTACGTGCTGGAAATACTCCAACTGTAAAATTGACTTTATTGAGAAAGAATTCAAGACTGGAAACTTCCATTTTCATTGCTGCCAAAAAGATTTGTGTAATGGCAGCCCAATTACAGCAGGTAGTAAGATGGTCCTTGGCTTAACTTCTGTGCTGATCGCAATCCAGATGCTCTGCTTCTGATCTGGAGTAGGAAATACTTTGAACAAAAAGAAGTCATTTCATACCTATTGACAAATAGCCTTGTAAGAGAGAGCACCACACATTGAGAACAGAGACCGAATAAATCAGGGAAAATGGAAAGTAGAATAGCAAAACTTGTTTACTACATTGTAGTCACTGCATTGTGGGTTTTTCTTTGTGGTGCTTCATTCTACTTGTAAACTTGTATCACTTTTGTACACTTAAACTTTTCATAGCAGAGTTTTTGAATCTAATGAAACTGCCAACTTATTTTTCATCTTTTCCTATCTGTAAGGCTTTTATCTCAATAATAAAAGTGTCTACTTGACATTTGAACTACATACCCTTTCATCATGGGCCTCTGTTTCCATACCACAACTTGCAACCAGTTGCACCCGTAGAAAGCATATTTTTGCTGGCTACTGTCAAATACACTTACGGTTCCTATTCTTTCTTCCCAACATGGCTATAAGGAAGTATTTCTAGTGAGGCATATTTCACATGGTGGGTAAGAGTTCAGAAGGTGGTATTTGGACAGTCCTAATCTCCACTTCATCATAAGTTTCCTCATGCCAATGCTTGCAGTAACCTTGTAGTCCAGTGACCCTGAGCAGCGTCTTGTGACATCCCATCACGGGTCCGAATGTATTATTGTACTCTAGGATTAAATGGGGCAGCATTTCAGACAATGTTTTATCTAGATCTGCAGCTCACAGATAATATAATAGACACTCACTGTCTAGTGCCAATTTTTCTGTGTGTTCTATTTAACTTGCCTGCCAACAATCCCTGGAATCTCAATTCTGCAGCACATGTTTAACTTACCCAACAAGCATGATGGGATGTTTTATAATTCGCTATGCAAACAGCAGCTTGGTTGGTGATGTTTTGTTGCTTTTATACTTGTTTATGCACAATCTTTCACATGTTTAAAATATTTCTAAAACCACAATGGCACCCTCACTCAATAAGTGGTGTGCCTTGATAAGGATTGCTAAATTAGTTGAAATGCTTTCCAACTATGAGTTCAGAGTAATGATGGGGATGTCACTGGCCATTTATTAGTGTCACTGGATAACATGAAGGTTACTTGAACATTGCCCAATAGTCCCCTGCTCCCATCTATGCCAAAGCTGCTATAGGAAACTGGTTCACCAGAGCTGTCATGTTTAAAAGTAGGGACCCATCACAAATTTTGCACGAGTGGGTAGATGGAAATGAAGGTCATTTTCAAGGTGCCGTGGATAACATGTTGCTGCCTGAGACGAAATAGGCTACCTTTAGGAAACTGCTGCAGCTTGTTTATTAACCTATTTGGATAGGCTTTAAATCAAAACGAAGGCAAGGAGATGTGCTATAAAACATAACAGAAATGGAACTCCCATGTTGAAGGCTAAGGTGTTGTAAAAGCACGCAATACCGTAATTAGGGCAGAAACATGACTCTGGACTTCAGTATACTTAACAAGGTACCTAATTTTCAATATAAAATACTATGGTTTAAATTGAAGCCCCCAATTATACATGCAAAGTTATTCAACTCCTCCATGGTGGTTGGATCTATTGCAGCTGGCAATTCCTTCCTCCTGGAAAAACAACAACATAAGATTGTGGAACCCATCACAAAGATGTAGCACAGGAGTTGCTGTCTCTGGAATATGAGTAGCCCTTTGCTTACAGATAAGTATACTTGCTTGCACAAATAGTTTTAGATCCATGCCCCCCTTTAAAATATGCCTAAAGCAACTCCTTATGGTTAATAGTACAATAATGCTCATGTATAAACAAACTATTATTAACAGCTTGGCTGGTAGCCAGATTCTACGCCCAGATTTGTAGGCACAAATCATCCTCTAGAATAAAATAGTTTACTAGGGGAAAGCTGATGTCGCCCTTGGGGCGCCTCAGGGTCAATTTTTATGGTAGCCCAAATCTCAGTTGTACGTGTATATGTACAGGTATATATCTCAATTTTAATTCAGGAGCTACTGCTGCAAACTGCTCCAATTGTACATTTTATCTTTATGAATGCTGTCATTATTGTGTTATACAGGCTGGTCTAAAAATTGTCTATTATTAATTAAATTTCTATTCCACCCTTCATCTGGAGATCACATGGAGATTTGCAATAGATTTGCAGTTGGAGTTCACTTAGAAGAGCATTGTTTTAGGCAACTGCTCTCAAAAAATACATCCATCATGCAGTTCAGTTATTCAGACATCAATGATTCAGTCATTCTCAACCATTTTTCCATGGAATGTTTAACCAAGAGTGTCTGTTAATGGTTCACTGAGAATGGCTCACTTCTGTTGGGCTGGTGGAATTCTACTGGAAATGTTTACATATTTTACTACAAAACACTTGGAATAATATAAATTCATTAATGTTTGCTGAAGTCCTGAAAAAAAATCAGAGGTATTATCAAATTTCACAAATGCATTCCCTGTGTTGCTGCTTATTGTTCATCTGGTCATCTAGTGAAAGAAAATGGTATTACCTTCGTGTTAAAAAAGCAGAGTTTTATTTATCTCCAGAAGCAAATGAACTGGCATGCATATAAAACCGGTAAAAAGCAATCAATAAATCTTTGCATGTAACCTGATCCTGAAATTAGTTATAATTGCAAGAGAAAACATCATTAAACATTATAGGCAGGTCTAAAAAAATAATTTACCTGAACAAAAAAGCCCTGGGACAACAACTGTGTCCCTTCAAAGTGAACTGCAAAGTAAGGGAGTTGTTATTGAAAAAGCCCTGTAATGGGAATCTGTCTATCTTATCCTCCAGGGTAAAGCCTGAGCAGAACCTTATCAGCTGCTCTTGAAAAGGATTAAGTGTGGGATAACCGGCCTCATACAATCATCATACTTAAGTCTGATTAATGCATGAAGGGGTAAGACCATAGAGAAAACTATCTTGCCAGGCTTACCTCACTTTGGGAGCAACTAGGCAATCAAGCCTATTGTTTTCTCCCAGTAGCTGAGAAGCTCAGTGTGTGAGGTTTCAGCTGGTTGCTCCAAGGCCAGACCGCATGGTTCCAACAAGCCACTCTTGAGTTCCTATACCAATTAAGTTAGGAATATTCACTACTTCAGAACTAAGCCAAGTTTTATTGCCTGTGCAACATTTTTTTGAATGCTGTATGGAAAAGCACATGAATCTGGCCTCTGATGAGTTTGTAAGCAAACCATTTTTAATGTGTTTATATCTTATTGAAAATATTTCAATTAAATGAAATAAAGTGAAGAAATAAAAAAAGGAATAAGTAAACCATTTTAAACTTACTGAACTTGTGGTCTTTTTGTATGCTAAGGGAAGAGGGGAACTTTGGAAGGCACTGAGCAGAGCATATTTTAAAGGTCTAACAGCCCATCTTTCCACATTTTACTTTGCTGCATATTTTGTGATTTTAAATCTCTGCTGGGGTTCTCTCACCAAAGAGTACTTGCCCCAAACCTGGATCTAGGCATCCAGAAATTCTTGAGCTCCCAGTATTTGTTGGGGCAAGCCATGACTGTTAAAGTGTATAATATGGCTTTAAATATAAGATGTAGGTGTGGCCTTTGTAGAGTCCTCCTTAACCCCTTTCTGTTTTAACATCCTGAATGTAATTTGATATCATTAGCAAACTTGGCCACCTCACTAGGTAAAGGTAAATGGACCCCTGACCATTAGGTCCAGTCGTGGCCGACTCTGGCGTTGCGGTGCTCATCTCGCTGTATTGGCCGAGGGAGCCGGCGTACAGCTTCCGGGTCATGTGGCTAGCATGACTAAACTGCTTCTGGCGAACCACAGCAGCGTACGGAAACGCCATTTACCTTCCCGCCAGAGCGGTACCTATTTATCTACTTGCACTTTGACGTGCTTTCGAACTGCTAGGTTGGCAGGAGCTGGGACCAAGCAAGGGGAGCTCACCCCGTCGCAGGGATTCGAACTGCCGACCTTCTGATCGGCAAGTCCTAGGCTCTGTGGTTTAACCCACAGCACCATCTCACTACTTAACACCAAATATAGATCATGGGGTGGCCATGGACGCAGTTTTGAAAGGTAACAGTGACAAATAGCTGGAAGCAAACAACCATTTGGGGAGGGGGTGGCTATGAACACAGCTCAAGATGACAAATGGTGTTGGAGGCAACACACAGGTTGCATTAAGAGGCTGAGAAACATAGGTGGGGTTTGGGGGGCGTTGACCACTGATGAAATTCTGAAAGGTAGTGATGACCAAGTTGGACTTGAAGCTGTAGCTTCTTGCAGGATAGCTGGGAAGCTGTTCTGCTTCTCGATACTCAGCCACACCTGTAGCTTGAGGCAGCTGCCCCAGGAACTGAAGGGGAGGCCCTGGTTTGGTTAAGGTCTTTGTAAGAAGACTTCAGCTCAAGCAAGACACTGAACACCTCCTTGTAAGGAGCACAGGATTGAGAGGAGATGCTGTTAGGTAAGGATTTCTTACCTTCAGACTGGCTGATGCTCTAGGGAAGTTTATATGGTTTCCCCCCAAAGGACCCACATGAGTCCCTATATGCTTTAGCTTACACTAAAGCTTGAGCTTGGTCTAAAATGATCTTTATCACAGAGTCCACCTTAGCTTGGCGGTGGGAGGCATGTGACCTTCTCCAGTAGTTTTTCCCCATTCAGAACTGTCAGGTGAGTTCTGGCTGTTTCTTGGCTCTTGAGGAAACATCCACCAGCTATCATGGACCACCAAGATATCTTCCTAATAAATGGCATGGACAGGCCTGCCTGCTGGGTTTGGCCAGCATTCCTGACAACATACACACACACTCTCAGAATCATCCCTCTCTGCAGGAACCTGACCTTAAAGTTGATATCTGAAGTTTTCATTGCATTTGTGTCGTAAATCTGCTGGAATAACTTCCCCATGGTAGACTGAGCTGTATTGATTGATGGCAACACAGTCTCCCTTTGTAAAGCTTCCTCAGCACTATGTATTTCTTCAGAATTAATAGAATCAATGGTAAATAATTCCTCAATGAAGAAAATCTGGGTCCAGACTAGCTGTCTCATTTTCCATTATGTTGAATCTCTGCAGATGCCACAATGGCAAGCCATACGCAATGTATTGTATTGACCTTTCTCAGGCTCTTGTTATCAAAGCTCAGTCACAACTAATTAAACCTGGCATGTGATGATTCATCCTGCATGTTTGTTTCCTTTTCTTGTGAAAACTAGGTGGTTATGAAGCATTTTCACGGCAGCTAGCATTTTAAAATCTCAAAGAGACGACTTCTTTCCCTGTCATTCTGGTCCCTGCTCCTGCTTTATGATGAAAACAATGGACAGGATGCAGTCATATCCTAACCTCACTTAGGTCCGCTTTCTACACAAACCTCTGAAAGATTCCTTTCTTGCCGTCCCACCAAGGTCTGAAGTATGTTTGGTGCCCAGGCTGTGGAACTTCCATTGCAGGGAGTACCATTTAGCCCCCTCTTTGTTGCTCTTCTGAACTAAATTTAAGACGCCTTTTTATTTAAACAGGCTTTTGACCTGTCAAACTTATATGTTCTATCTGCTGTTTTTAACAGGCTGTTTATCTTTTTGCTGTTGTTGTTCCTAGTTGTATGTTGGTTGTTGTTAGCCACATTGGCTAACACTATGTAGCAAAGGTGATGATAAAAATATTCTTCCACCTCCTAAGCAGGGCAATGTATGCTTGTACAGTGGTACCTCAGGTTAAGTACTTAATTCGTTCCGGAGGTCTGTTCTTAACCTGAAACTGTTCTTAACCTGAAGCACCACTTTAGCTAATGGGGCCTCCTGCTGCTGCTGCACCGCCGCTGCACAATTTCTGTTCTCATCCTGAAGCAAAGTTCTTAACCCGAGGTACTATTTCTGGGTTAGCAGAGTCTGTAACCTGAACCGTATGTGACCTAAAGCATATGTAACCTGAGGTACCACTGTACCCCTATTGGCAAAATCTGTGTGTGTTATATGTGAGGATAGTTAAACCTGCTTTCCCTCGTGCCATGGTCCCAATCCATATCAGGGTTCCCAGCAGCTATATTTAACCTTTTATAAATCTGAGATCCAGTCATGAATTTTCCACAACCCCATCTTTTTGTGCTGTCAGAATCATACACTGCTATGCCTCAAACAAACACCAAAAAGTGCCATTTCTCCTATTTTGTAAAAAAAAGTTACTTTGGTATTAATTAGTCTTAAGCTTCTTACATGTTTTCCCCAATATACATATTTCTGCATGGACAGTGGATAGCCCGAATAATGTGTGTATTGTTTTTAAATATTTGTTAATAACGTTTTACAAGGGGACAAGGGTGCCAGCTTGAATAAAATATTGTGGGAGCCCTGGTAAGCCCCATCCCACATAATCACATGACACATTGCACACACACCATTTGAATGGAAATCTCCATCAACTGTGGGAGGCAGCCCCTCAAATATTTTATTGTGGGAGGCAAAGCCCCCATGGCCCCTAGGATTTGGCTCCTGTGCAGGGGGATTGCAACCAACAAGTGATCTAACTGAATGCCCTTGCCCTACTTTTCCAATTGCAGGATGCCTCCGCTGTAGCCATGTTGTTGCTAAGGTTTGTTGTACTTTGTTGCAGCCCAGTTCCAAGACTGCATGCAATGTGGTCAACATGAGTGCATTGGCATTATTAGAACTCCAAAAATATAACTATGATGCAAGCTACTCTGCTAAGAGAAAATGCTCTCAATTGTCTGGACACAATAAGAAAGGCATTGTGTTTGGATTATAGAAGCTGCCCTTTGTTCTGGTTTAAAGCTTTAAGACAAATCTTTGTTTCATAACATCACTGTAAATTACTTACACTTTCAGGGTAGAATATTTATAAGGCATTTGAAGCCTCACTGGGGTTTAACTGTTCTTAGAGCATGGGGCAGCTCCACACTGGTAACATGAAAGGAACAGAGGTGGCAGAATTACAGGATATGTACAAAAAGTTTGTTCTAGAATGCCCCAGCGGAGGTCTCCATTTGCATGAATTTAAGCAGTTTTTTGGCATTACCAGCCAGAGTGAAGCATCTGAATATGCTGAGAATGCATTTAAATCCTTTGACACGAATGGGGTGAGTATAATTTTCAAAAACACTTGTAGATAACTTCTGTGTACATCCATCTAATTCAGGTTGGAATTATCCTAGAAGCACCCAGCAAAAATTATGATTGTTCTGCCATTTCTGTTTGGATAATTTTAAAAATATTGATGTTTTCAAGTGATTGCTTTTCTATTAATGTTTCAGGATAACATGATAGACTTTTTGGAATACGTAGCAATTTTAAACCTAGTACTCAGAGGGAAACTTGAGCACAAACTGAAGTGGTCATTTAAAGTGTACGACACCAACAGGAATGGCTTTCTTGATAAGGCTGAACTAAGGAAAATGGTGAAGGTAAGAAGTCCTTCTAGAGGAAGAGGGCCCCCCAGCAATGACTTGGCAGGATTACGCCAAACCATGAGAATGGTTGAACCTCTTTACCATGAATTATTGTTTATTTCACTGCATCTATATCCCACCTATTCTCCAAGGAGCTCAAGGTGGTGCTCATGATTCTCCCCGTCTTCACACAATCCCAACAACCCTGCGAAGTAGGTTAGGCTGAGAGGTGGCGTCTGGAGGAAGGCCATCCAGTGAGCTTCATGGCTGAGTGGCGATTTGAACTCTGGTCTCCCAGGTCCAACAACCTAACCACTACACTGACTTTTAGCTGAATCTAAAAGACTACTAAAAGAAATGTAAGCTGAATGGCAGGTGCGCTATACATCCCAGGTGTCAGGTGAAGAATGGGGTGGGGAGGGGGAAGAGATCAGCCTTATGGCATGATTTAAGTCAAAATTTGAATGCTGCACAATGATCATATTGAAAGGAGGAAAATGAGAGATTGTTTTCATTGGTATCATTAATATGCATACACACAGCTGCCCTTTCCAATCTGACCGGGACATGGAAAGAAAGGGACAGATCACTACTCTGGGACAAAGTCTAAAAATATATACAGTATATATACGAATTCTGGATTGAGAGTGGGGAGTAAGAAACTCCCAGGTCTCTTAGCAACTTTCTGTACTTGTCTAGAGAGGCTGCCTTAGTTTATAAGAACCCCAATTGTATTGAAAAGAATCAGTGCCATAATTTTTGACCTGAAGTTCAGGTTGCATTGTCCAGGGCTTTGTGGATGTATTTCTCAGTTTTTCTGACTTGCTGCTGCTAGTGTCTAATTTGCCGACGCTGCCATGTTTCCTTGTTATGCACACCTCACTCACTGTCTGACACAAACTGCTCCCTTATTTTGCACCCTCCTCTGTTGGGGTGTACATGGTTTGTCCCTCCATCTGCTCCGAATGAAAACAGACTCATCTGTGGGAGTTTGACAAAATAATGCCTCCACATTTAGGGCACTGAACTACAGGAATAAGCTTTATACTGGCTGCTGCATGCAGGAATCTCCCAACCTCCCCTGGGAAAATAAATGGCTAGATACATCAACTCCAAAAGTGCTGATAGCCTATAAAAAAACATATGGAGAAAACAACCTATAAAAGCAATGTCAGGAAGAATAACAGAATCTATGCCCATATTGGTCCACAGATAGTGTCTCACCCCAGAGAAGTTGCTCCAGATCTTGGCCAGTGTGTGTGTCATTAAAGCACATATAGTGGGAGCATTGATTTGTGCAAGAAGATTTATCATACATTGCTTAATACCCAAACAGTCTCTTAAGTGGTTTACAAAAGGATTTGCATGGACTGCCAGTTTGTTACCAGGCCAAGTCAAGGTTTTACTGCTGGTATATAAAACTGCTAATGGCTTGGGACAAGTTTACTTGCGACATTATCTTGCCTCATACATACCTGTTCAACCACTTTGATCAACGGAACTTGAAGTTTACAAATGCCATATAATGTTTGTTCTGCATTTCAGAGGAAGATTTTTTTTACTGCAGCAAAATCTATCCTTTACAATCCCCTGCCTACTGACAGTAGGCAAATGCTCTCACGACTGTATATTGATTTAGGTGCCTGCTGAAATCCTGTTTATTTCAGCAAGCCTACCCAGGCATGGGTTTTAGTTCGCTATGTTTGTTACTTTCTACCCCTGCCTTCGTCCCCTTCCTCTTCTATTTCCCTTGTGTGTTGACAACCAATTTATAAGTGACTTTGTAAAGTGCCATGTATGGACGGTGCCATATAAATACGTGTTTTTTTTTTAATTATTAAATTAATTTCTCCCAGAGTGTCTATAATGTCAAACAAGGATGGGCAAGAAATATGGATACTCAGATGTCAACCCTGGAGGAAGTGTGTAACAGAATATTTCAACTTATGGATGAAAATAATGACGGTAAATGTACTTTATTGTTAGAATTATCTGTGGGCTTCCAAAAAGTGGCAGTGGCTTGTAAGTGAAAGTGGGTCCAATGGCTCTGCATTTGCTGTAGAGGGGGAAGTGAGGGGCAGATTGGGCTCGTCAGCCTGGGAAAGTACCGGTAGCTCTTCTAGGAGAAGGAATCTCTGATCCCAAACTTCCACTGCTTTGTAGGGTATTTTTGAGAGAAAAATGGTTAGGGAGTAAACCCTACATAATTCCAGAGTAGAGTCCCTAACACAGGTGGCGCCTTGTACACCTCCTTCCGGCAACTCCTGCAGCCAAGCTGTTGCCAAATGTGTCACTCTGCTGTCTTTTGGACCACATCAGTGAGTCTTGTAGTCTGGGCAGCCCAGGACCTCCACACACACTGCCCAGGTTTGTGTCCTGGGGAGGTCACTTTGGTGCGGCTAACACAGTGGTTTGACTTCACCCCTGAAGACGCACTCCACTGTCTTCTGAGACAGAGAGATGCCAACAATTCCTCTTTGAACAAATATGTTGAGATATACTACCTGGGAACAATGCTGACCATTCGGAAAAAATGCACTGGCAAGTTTTAGCTTTCAGGCTCACTGCCAAAAAAGGAAAGTGCCAGGCTGTTTCTCCCCCAGCATCTGTGTCTTTTAGTGCACTTTAAGTGAATGGATGGCTTTTGTATTAGGTGCTACTCCCATATCTGCTCCAAAAGTGAAGGGTACTGTTCTGAACCCACAAAAGAGTGCTGGGCTCAACCCTAGGCTAATCATCCAAATACTCTGACCTCTGCCTCTAGGCCCTGTCAGGTACCACACTTTAAGTTCAAGAGCCTGTAAGCTCTAATATTGTTGCATAACACAGTGCCGTCAGTGCAGTCATATTTTCAGTATAACACAGAAATACTAGTTTTCAGACATATCTCTGCTCTTGACACATCATGTTTCAAGAACAGAAGACAAATATTTGAAGCCATTTGGCTCGAATGCTATTCATATCAACAGACTGTTGCATGTTATGTAGCTCACTAATTTGTGGATGAAGACCTGCATTTTGAGAATTAATCATACAGGGCTTAAACCATGCTAGCCAGGAGTGAGAGGAACTCCTCTGTCCAGAAGCTCCCACATACCCACTGCCTCTCTGTAGCTTCTAGTTTTAGCACAGCAGCCTGGTCAGTTTTATACAAAAGCTTTGCTGCTGAGAGAGAAGTGCCCCCCAGGCTCTGCCTATTGCTGGATCCTCTCTCTCCCCCCAGGGAAACACATAACAGTTTGCAAAGTATTTGCACAGCCCTCTCATTTTGCCTTCCAGTTTTTGGTTACACTGGTGTGTGACGGAGTCTTGAGCATTAGCTGTTATGGACGCTTGGTTGCTGCCAGTTATGCAAGACTGGCAAATGCCACTAACTTTACAGCTGTTTGTTCAGAGGCAAGTCCCACCTTATTCAATGGGACGTACTCCCTTGAAAGTTTGTTTAGGATTGCAGCCTAAGTTAATTATCTTTGGGGAATTTGGGAAGAATGGCCAATCATGTAGAAAAGAGGGCTAAGCTTTTCTGATAATGCCTCAGCTGTGAGCTATGATATATACACAATAGAGGCTATCGAAATAAGATGTCTCAGGACAGCTGCTCAATTGCATAACTTTTTGGCTGGCAGAACAATACAGTTCTTAGTGACTCACTTAAAAGACTCCCTGGGAAGAACCTAAGATTCACCAAAACTATACAGAAAATAATGTTTTGACTTTATTGTTTATTAAGAAGTATCCTGATTAAAAACTGAGGTCAGTGGCTTGGCTTCAGGAAACTGCAAGTACAACATGCCCCCATGGCTTCTCTTGTCCTTCCATGTCTGACCAACAGTGGCTGGGAGGAAGAAGAGCTGCAAAGCAACACTCTGCACTTGTTTCCCCTTTCTGTTGCTCAGACTCCATTTCCCCTATGTAAATGGGAATAATACTGGCCTATCGTATAATATGATGGAGCTCAGCAAATGAAGTACTTTGCATGTGAGATAATATTCATTTATGGGTAATGATAACAGATAATCTACTTTGGTCTTTCCGTGGCAGAACAAGACTCCACTCTACAGAACACTTGCTCTGAAGCAAGGATGTCAAACTCAAAGAGCTCAGAGGAACAAATTTCATGTTTAGTAGAGGACCAGGAGTGCCACAGGCATATTTTCACCAACAATGTAGTACAAACCACCAATTTCAATCCGATATACAACTAAAGGGGGGGGGGGGCTTAAGCTCTCTTTCTTTAAACATTTATAGCAGTAAAAGGGCAATAAATGAAATATTGCTGTGCCCTGGGGGCTCCTAAAGCAATTTTTTTGAGTAACCATAATTAGCGTATTTTTCGCCCTATAAGACGCACTTTTTCCCCTCCAAAAATGAAGGGGAAATGTGTGTGCGTCTTATGGGGCGAATGCAGGCTCCTTGGCTTCAGCGATAGCAACGCGAAGCCTCCGAAGCCTGCGCTCCAGAGGCTTCGCGTTGCTTCTGCTGAAGCCAGGAGAGTCTGCTCTTTGAGGCTGCGCTTCCCCCATCTCCAACCCGGCTTGGAGGCTGGCGGTGGGAGAAAGCAACGCAGCTCTTGGGGGCTTTTCCCCAAGGAGGGAGAAGGGACAGACTGTCGGAGTCCGTCCCTTCTCCCTCCTGTGGGCTTTTGTGGGAGATGGTGGAATTCCCCCACCTCCCGCAAAAGCAGGCAAAGCCGTGCGCCTTAAAGCGGCTACGTGGCTTCTGCTGGCTTTTCTAGGAGGTGGGGATTGCCCACCTCGTAGAAAGCCCGTAGGAGCCGCGCAGCCTTTAAGAGCGCGCCGCTCTTGGGGGCTTTTCCCCAAGGAGGGAGAAGGGACTGACTGGCTGTTTCAGTCTCTTCTCCCTCCTGGTCGAAAAGCCCGCAGGAGTCGCGCGCGGCTCCCGTGGGCTTTTGCGGGAGGTGGGGGAATTCCGCCACCTCCCGCAAAAGCAGGAAGAAGGTCTTGGAGTAGCGCACAGGCTGCGTGCAGCCTGTCCGCTGCTCCCAGAGCTGTGAGGGGGAAATCATATTTTTTCCCTTGATTTCCCCCCCTGAAAACTAGGTGCGTCCTATGGGCCGGTGCGTCCTATAGGGCGAAAAATACGGTACTCACCCATCTGGGATTGCACAGCAATTCTCTTTTTAGAATATACACTATAGTCCCTACACTATTCAGTAAGAGCAAATGGCAAGCCATCCCTTCCATGATACAAAAAGCGTTGGCTTCCCAGTCCCAAAGATGATTCTGACCTTTGTTGCGTACACGGGAGATTCCTTAAAGTTCTGATGTGTCTCCTAGCTTGTGTTTGATACCCTGATCTACTAGTTTAAGTTATGGCCGAACCTCTTTTAATCCATTTTTGAAATTATTCTTCCAGGAAAAATTTCACTGAAAGAGTTTGTTGATGGAGTGCAAAGAGATGAGTGGGTAAGGAAAATGTTAAACATAGATCCCACAGAATGGATCCTTGAACACCAAAGAAAAAAGAATGCAGATGAAAAGGACCAAACACTGGAGGAGAAAGACATGTCATCAGGCCTTCCCTAGCATTGGTTATTGTATGTGAAATATTTTCAGCATGATGGCCCTTTGATCCCATGAAATGAGAAGTATAAAATGGTCAAAGGCATTTTAGCTATTATATAATCTAAGGAGTAGTTATGAAGTTGAGTACTATCTCTTGATCATTTTCCAGAATAACATCTTTCAGATAACAAAGCAGAAAAAATAGGTTCCAAGGGTATGTGATATCCTAACATATCAGAGATATTAACCTGAACATATTTCCAGAATATTTCTGTCTGAGAACAATTCCAAAATACATGTCTGTAATCTGCTTTATTTAATCCACATCACCAACATTTATCAGATCCTAATTTATATATTCAATTCATAAATGCCATATACAGAGGGTTTTTAAATAGTTCTCCTTTAGGAAGAAATTATAATAGAATGGAAGTTGTCCCAAATCCAGTTCCATTGTTTCCTGGTTATTCTTTGACCCAAATCTTGCACCCATTTTCTCATATATGCATCCTAGTTCTGATCAAAGCATAACCAAAGGTCATAGAATCTTGCAATTATGCCTTCATTCAAATAAGAGAGAAAAAGAATACTTTTTGAGCACTTGTCACAGTGGGAGATGAAACTCATTTCCAAGGAGTATGTACAGTGGTGCCTCGCAAGACGAAATTAATCCGTTCCGCGAGAGTCTTCGTCTAGCGGTTTTTTCGTCTTGCGAAGCAAGCCCATTGACGGATTAGCGCTATTAGCGCTATTAGCGGTTTAGCGGCTATTAAAGGCTTAAAGGCTTAGGGGATTAGCTGCTAAAAGGCTATTAAAGGCTATTAAAGGCTTAGCAGATTAGATAAAGGGGGGGGAAAGCGAAAAAAAAATCTCAAGACTCGCAAGATATTTTCGTCTTGCGAAGCTAGCCCATAGGAGAATTCGTCCTGCGAAGCAACTTCAAAACGGAAAACCCTTTCGTCTAGCGGTTTTTCCGTCTTGCGAGGCATTCGTCTTGCGGGGCACCACTGTACAAGGAAACCAAAAGACAGCCGACTGAATCTTGCTAGAGAACTAGTTTAATATTTCAGAGTGCTGGCATGGTTTGGGGACTAGTACTGCATACATATGAGCTTGCATTTACACTCTCATAAAGTCTGTTCAACTCAATCATTTTTTCAATAAATACAAATTCATTTTAAAAATTCAAATGCTTGTGCCTCTAAAGGAGCGTCAACTTATAAAGCTGTGCTGAACTTCATTTTGCTTCAGAAAGTCAGAATGAAACAATACATACTCATATAACTAGCTAAATACAGCATTGTGTGTGCGTGCATCAAGGCAAGCAACTGCTGTGCCTGAACAGCATTTCCAGCCACCAAAAAAGAAAGATGCATCAGAACAAACTGACTCAAGGCTGAGCCAGGCTATTTTAAGCAATGAGCTGTCAAGCAACTACTGCTATCTCCTCCACCCCTCCCAAGCTTAGGCTTAACTTGTATGGATGTTCAGCAGTACTTAGCTCTGGAATCTCTTTTAATTAATAAGAGGAGCCACATAAAGTGATAATAAAAAAAAAGTACAAGTTGAATTCTTTTGAATGACCCCTACCAGTTTTCACACATAAGAAAAATGCTTTTCCGGGAAGAGAAATACCCTGGCTCGAGAAGCAGTTCACTTAAAATATAATGCACTTCTGCAAGTGCTTGAGGACAGCAACTACCGTATTTTTCGCCCCATAGGGCGCACCGGCCCATAGGACGCACCTAAGTTTTTTTTGGGGGGGGGGGATAAAGAAAAAAAAAATTATTTCCCCCCCAGGTGTGGGGCTGGGGCGGGGGAAGCCCGAGCTTCCCCCGACCCCAGAACAGGCAGCTCTCCACAAGCCTTGGGAGACCGGCGCGACTTCCCGCCGGGCTCCCACGCCTTGCGGATATCTGCCTGAAGCCCAAACCAGGTCAGGGGACAGCGGGATGGCGGCGCTCCGCCTCCCCACTGTCCCCCGAGCTTGTGGGGCTGGTGGTGGGGAGAAGTGAGCTTCTCCTCGCCGCCAGCCTCCAAACCAGGTCGGGGGACAGCGGGATGGCGGCGTTCCGCCTCCCCGCTGTCCCCCAAGCTTGTGGGGCTGGCGGCAGGGAGAAGCGCGCTTCTCCCCGCCGCCAGCCTCCAAACCAGGTCGGGGGACAGCGGGAAGGCACGCTGTGCGCGCCCCTGGCTTCGAGATGCAGGCTGCTATCCGCAAGCCTAAGGAGCCCGACGGGAACTCCTGCGGGCTCCCAAGGCTTGCGGAGAGCTTCCTGAAGCCTGGAGAGCGAGAGGGGTCGGTGCGCACCAACCCCTCTCGCTCTCCAGGCTTCAGTGAAAGCCTGCATTCGCCCCATAGGACGCATACACATTTCCCCTTCATTTTTGGAGGGGAAAAAGTGCGTCTTATAGGGCGAAAAATACGGTATCTTTTTAGAAATTAAAATTTTCCTCCTCACACTTAAGAAGCTTCCAGGCTTTTGCTATTTTTAAGCAGGATTCAACCACATACTGTGAATTCAGGTTGCTCAATTATCGTTGTCTGGGAGGTCTTTCAAAGCAAACCAGCTTCCTTAAAAGACTGGACTTTTTGCAACAAGGAATGTGACAGAAAAATGCACTAGAAAGTATGGGATAATACTTGCTTTGCTGCAACCTCACTTAATCTCCCCACAAACAAATGTGAGTAAAATGCATATTATATTGACAATGTTGCCTGGTCTCCCTGCAAAAGTCAGGATGAATACTCAATAAACAGGATGCCTGGAAGTGTGAAAAGAAGCTGCAAATTTAAATGATAATAATAATAAATAATAAACTTTAATTTATATCCCGCCCTCCCTGGCCGAAGTCGGGCTCAGGGTGGCTAACATCAAATATATAGTAACATTAGTATAAAATCAAACAAGAATTAAATTACCTCCTAAAACCAGTTCGAAATCAAATTGAAGTCTAATTAGATGGCATTCCGCAGGGTTAGGGTTGGGAACAGTAAGTGCTCATCGGCCCAAGTGTTTACGTTGATCTTATATGGGCATGTGAGAATGCTGGGAGGCCTCTTTCATATTAGTTCTTGTATTAGTTCTTATACAAAGGGGAGGCAGGCTGAGCCCTGACCAAAGGCCTGGTGGAACAACTCCATCTTGCAGGCCCTACGGAAAGATGTCAAATCCCCCAGGGCCCTGATCTCTTGTGGCAGAATGTTCCACCAGGCCGGGGTCAAGGCCAAGGCCAAAAAGGCCCTAGCCCTGGTCGAGGCCAGCCTAATCTCTCTGAGGCCTGTGATCTCCAAGGCGTTATTATTTGTAGACCGTAAGGTCCTCCGCGGGGCGTACCAGGAGAGGTGGTCCCGTGGGTACGAGGCTCCTAGGCTGTATAGGGCTTTAAAGGTTAAAACCAGCACCTTAAACTTGATCCTGTATTCCACCGGGAGCCTGTGCAGCTGGTATAGCACCGGGTGAATGTGATCCTGCGGAGAAGACCCCGTAAGGAGTCTCGCCGCGGCATTCTGCACCTGCTGGAGTTTCTGGGTCAGTTTCAAGGGCAGCCCTATGTAGAATGAATTACAAGAATCAAGCCTGGAGGTGGCCGTTGCATGGATCTCAGTGGCGAGATCAGGGCGGGAGAGGTAAGGGACCTTTGGGGAGGAAGGAGGAGAGGGGATGAAAATGACAAGTGTTTCTATTACTGAGTGTTTTGAAATCATGAGCTTTTCCTGGGCTACTCATTCTGAATGAGTGAGAGGACCTCTAGTGGTGGTTCTAGAATCCATGGAAAGGAAAGAAAAAGCGAGCTAAACAGAAGAGAGTTGGGAATTACCAGTGCTTTGGGGGGCGGTTACGCAGGGGTACGCATATCCCTAAACATGTTGTGAATCTTTGTACATACTTTTGTCCATTTACTGTATTTATTTTCCCCTATTCGAACTATAAAATGGTGGTTTTCTTGAGTCAAAATGAGAGCACAGCTAACCTTTTTTTTAAGAAGAAGAAAAAAGCACTGGGTATTACCATATTTGTTGAAAGAACAAATTTGAACATGGCCTTAGAATGGTAAAAAGTATAGGCTGAACATATGAGAAACCGAGGAACCAACCAAACCTATTTTCTTAATAAAAGATCCGTTGTTGGCAAAGCCTCGCAGCCAGCACCACCCCATACACTGCTGTAGCCAAGAGAGTAACTTATTAAAGAGCATAGTCCTCTTTTTCGAAAACGCACGTGCATTTCGAGATCCTCTGAGCAGCGCTTTCTCCACAGCCCATGCTCGGCTCAAATTCCAGGTGGGGAGCAGAAGACTCAGCTCACGACGCTCTCCACCCTTTCCACCCTCCCTTTAGCTCTCGTTTTCCGAATGCCACGCGAAGAAATGACCTGCATTAAAATCGGGATACGAGGCTTTTGCATCCCGCCCCCTCCCGCCTGCCATGACACCTACCGGCAGGTGGATGGAAAGAGTTGGCCCAACACCGCAAGGGAGGGGGAAAGTGGCCGGACGGGTTTGGGAAACCCTGCTCGCCGATTGGCTGCGCTCGACGCCTCTGCGCACGCACGCCAGGTTCGCGCACGCACGCACTCACGCACGCACAACACTGCCGTCACGCCGAAAAGCGACCCGGTCCCGGCCAGCGGCCTTCGCTGGTGTGTCGGGATGACTCTCCCGGCTGGCTCTCCACCTGGAGGAGGCCGAGGAGGAAGAAGAGGAGCAGCGGCGGCGGCGGCCTATAAGCTCCGGCCTGCGCCCGCTCGGGTCCCGCTGAGGAGACGGTGAGCGCGTCGCTCCCGGCCGACACTCTTCCTTCCCTCAGGTGAGTTCGGGGCGCTGCCGGCCCCTCCCCCCCACCCTACATCCGGGCTTCTGCAGCGAGAGAGAGCGAGGGTCGCCTGCCCAACGGAACCGAAGGGAGGCCTCGCCCCCTTCGCCCTTGGGGTTCTTACCTGGAACTCCAGGGAGGCAGGACCGTTGTCCAGGAGTCCAGTCCGTTGGATGCCTTCGAGAGACACGGCTGTCCGTCCTTTGAGATCCTTCTCGAAACCGGACTATTTCTTGTCGAGAGAGAGAGAGAGAGAGAGAGAGAGAGAGAGAGATTGATTTACCGGGGCGGGGGGAGTTACTCCCCCCCCGCAAGTGCGACTGTGTCGCTCAGCAGTTTCTCGAGGAGCCGAGGTCCTTCGCCCCACAACCCTTCGCGGGGAATGGAGGGGCAAAGGAAAGTCTCCTTAGCTTGGTTAGTCATTTGAGTTCTTTAGGGAGCTGCTTCCTTGTTTTGGTGGTGTTTGGGATTCACCTGAGAAGTCAGGAACTGCTCCTTTCTCAGTAGCTGCTCATTGGGTGCAGCGGGTGGGGAGTTCCTGTCGCGACTGCTTAGGTAATAATAATAATAAAATTTTATTTATACCCCGCCCTCCCGAGCCAAGACCGGGCTCAGGTCGGCTAGAGACATAGGAACCTCGCTGTCTTGGAGTAAGTTCTGTTGGACCCAGTAGGACAGACCTCTGAGTGGATATAGGACTGAGAGTCAGTTTTCTGTACCCTGATGTGGTCTATGGAAGAAGCATTGGGTTGGTGACATCAAGTCAGGGCTGAAATACACTAGTGGCCAAAATTGTGGAAACCTTTTGGGGAAAGTGTATTTCCGAGGTTTGATGGCTAATAACACCACTTTTATTTTGAGCAATACCATAAAATTATATATCAATGGAAAGGTAATTTAATGATGAATGTAATGCAATAAGGTTTGTTCAATTATCTGTATTCTATCAAAAGTTACAGCCAAATAACCAGAAAAAGGAGTGTTTAGAGCAGGGGTCAGCAAACTTTTTCAGCAGGGGGCCAGTCCATTGTCCCTCAGACCTTGGGGGGACGGGACTATATTTTTTTGGGGGGTGGGATGAACAAATTCCTATGCCCCACAAATAACCCAGAGATGCATTCTAAATAAAAGCACACATTCTACTCATGTAAAAACACGCTGATTCCCGGACTGTCCGCGGGCTGGATTTAGAAGTTGGTTGGCCTGGATCCGGCCCCTGGGCCTTAGCTTGCCTACCCATGGTTTAGAGAGCCAATCAGGTGTCATCTTCTTTTGGCAATGATGACTCATCACACCACTTTTTTTGGAGTAATACCATAAAATTATATATCAATGGAAAGATAATTTAATGAAGAATGTTTAAGTCTTCAAGTCTGGATGTGGAATTTTATCCATATACACCCATTTGGAAGTATTCTGCAAGAGAACACTTCATGTAAAACAACACAGTATTCTATTCAAGTAATGCACACCTAGGCTTCTGAGTGATCTTCTCACTACCTTTGTGGAAGCATTTTAATGTAAAAATATTCCCCAGTAAATATAAACCAGCTTCTAGCGTGCCCTTTTCATTTGTGGATGAACGTGTTGTGCAATCAACCAACCAACCTGTGCTTATAAAACTGTCAATATGTAGTACGTTTGAAGAACAGCCCCTAAAGTTATGGATAACATTGTATCAGATTTTATTCATACAACAGTAACTTTAAGGCAAGCAGAGCATCTTGCCACAAGGTACAACAGCACTGGGGAATCTATTTGTAATGATAGAATCAAAAGAATTAGTAATACAGCAAACTTATAGCTGTTAATGCATTTTTCATTGTCCTAAAAGAGTACAAAATATTGAAATAAAATGTACTTTTTAAAGTACAAAAGCTTCATAGCCTGATCAGGTTATAAAGTATTTTGCACTTTTTAAAGCATATATTATTTCAATATTCTGTGCTCTTTTTAGGACAAAGAAAAATGCTTTGAGTTGCTTCAAATTTCCTATATGGATAGCACTTCTGGATAGGTGCATGTGCACATAAAAATGACAAATGCTCTTTGTGCCATGGAGCATCTTCTTGAAGTTTAGGTTGCTATGCCAGCTATGACCCTACTTACAGCCTTTCTTCAGTGATCTATGCCTGGTAACCTTTCATTCTGATCATTGCAGTGCATTGTTTGTGGGGCTGCGTTTACAAACTCTGGATATTTCAGTTGGTACAGAATATAGATGCAAGATAGATAATAGAACTGAGTATTGCACAAATATTATGCCGGTACTCTGTTATCTTCACTGGCTCCCAGTCCATTTCTGGGCCCAATTCAAAGCACTGCTTTTGATCTGTAAGACCTTCCATAGCTTGGAAACTTCTTCCCACATGTAGCTACTTACCTCTTCATCTGAGGCCTTAAGGACATAAGAACAATCCTGCTGGATTGGGCAAATGGGCCATCTGGTCCAGCATCCTGTCCTCACAGTGGTCGGCTATGCATTTGAGTAGCCCCAAAGCAGGACCTGTGTGCAGCAGCACTCTTCCCACCTGTGATTCCCAGCAGTTCAGAGGTATGCCTCTTATCCTTCCCTGCCAAGTGAAGTTTAGGAGGTGGGTATGAATGAGCAGGCCTTTTCAGTGGTAGTTCCAGGGTTGTGGAATGTCTTCCAAATAGAGCTGAGCCTGGCATTGTCTTTAATGTCTCTCCAGTGCCAGACATACTCCTGTCCAGCTCTGTTTATTTGTTTTAAAATCTTCTCCCCTTTCTCTTTTATTTGTTTTTGCACTTATTTGGTGTTTTGCTGCTGTGTTATATCTTACTGAATTTTCATTATGTTGCTTTTTAAGATTTATTCTTATTGTGAGAGCTGCTTAGAGAACTTTTTGTGTGTAAATAAAGTAATTTTAATGTTGCTACTGTCGAAGAAGGTTATTTTCTCTTCCCTTAGCTTCACCAGTGGTTCAAAACAGTGTATGCACTTGAAGCTGCTTCAACCACTCATGAAACCTGGGGCCCAAAAATACTTTTTCCATAGGTTAGCACAGCACATACACTTTTTAAAATACCGTATTTTTCGGACTATAGGACGCACCGGCCCATAGGACGCACCTAGTTTTCAGGGGGGGAAATCAAGGAAAAAAATATGATTTCCCCCCCGCAGCTCTGGGAGCAGCGGACAGGCGGCACGCAGCCGGTCCGCTACTCCAAGACCGTCTCCCAGCGTTTGCGGGAGGTGGCGGAATTACCCCACCCCCCCCAAAAGCCCACAGGAGCCCCGCGCGACTCCTGCGGGCTTTTCGACCAGGAGGAGAAGGGACTGAAACGGCCAGTCAGTCCCTTCTCCCTCCTCGGAAAAAGCCCCCAAGAGCGGCGCGCTCTTTAAAGGTGCGCGGCTCCTGCAGGCTTTTCTAGGAGGTGGGGAATTCCCCTCGTAGAAAAGCCCGCAGAAGCCGCGGAGCCCCTTAAAAGAGCACGAGGCTTGTGCGGGAGGTGGGGGAATTCCCCCATCTCCCCCAAAAGCCCGCAGGAGGGAGAAGGGACTGACTCGGCCAGTCAGTCCCTTCTCCCTTCTTGGGAAAAGCCCGCAGGAGTCGCGCTGGGCTCCTGTGGGCTTTTGCGGAGGTGGGGAATTCCCCCCCTCGTAGAAAAGCCAGCAGAAGCCGCGGAGCTCCTTTAAAGAGCACGAGGCTTTTGCGGGCTTTTGCGCGACGTGGGGGAATTCCCCCATCTCCCCAAAAGCCCACAGGAGGGAGAAGGGACTGACTCGGCCAGTCAGTCCCTTCTCCCTCCTTGGGGAAAAGCCCCCAAGAGCCGCTCGCTCTTTAAGGGTGTGCGGCTCCTGCGGGCTTTTCTAGGAGGTGGGGAATTCCCCACCTTCCTAGAAAAGCCGCGGAGCCCCTTTAAAGAGCGCGCGGCTTTTGCCTGCTTTTGCGGGAGGTGGGGGAATTCCCCCATCTCCCGCAAAAGCCCAAAGGAGGGTTGGAGAGTAGCGGGAGGGCGTCGCGTGCCTTCCGGCTGCCCCCATCCTCTGGGGCTGGCGATGGGGAAGCGCTGCTTTCCCACCGCCAGCCTCGAGCCGGGTTGGAGGGTAGCGGCAAGGCGTCGCGCGCCTTCCCGCTGCCCCCATCCTCTGGGGCTGGCGATGGGGAAGCGCTGCTTCCCCACCGCCAGCCTCGAGCCGGGTTGGAGGGTAGCGGCAAGGCGTCGCGCGCCTTCCCGCTGCCCCCATCCTCTGGGGCTGGCGATGGGGAAGCGCTGCTTTCCCCACCGCCAGCCTCGAGCCGGGTTGGAGGGTAGCGGCAAGGCGTCGCGCGCCTTCCCGCTGCCCCCATCCTCTGGGGCTGGCGATGGGGAAGCGCTGCTTTCCCACCGCCAGCCTCGAGCCGGGTTGGAGGGTAGCGGCAAGGCGTCGCGCGCCTTCCCGCTGCCCCCATCCTCTGGGGCTGGCGATGGGGAAGCGCTGCTTCCCCACCGCCAGCCTCGAGCCGGGTTGGAGGGTAGCGGCAAGGCGTCGCGCGCCTTCCCGCTGCCCCCATCCTCTGGGGCTGGCGATGGGGAAGCGCTGCTTCCCCACCGCCAGCCTCGAGCCGGGTTGGAGGGTAGCGGCAAGGCGTCGCGCGCCTTCCCGCTGCCCCCATCCTCTGGGGCTGGCGATGGGGAAGCGCTGCTTCCCCACCGCCAGCCTCGGCCGGGTTGGAGGGTAGCGGCAAGGCGTCGCGCGCCTTCCCGCTGCCCCCATCCTCTGGGGCTGGCGATGGGGAAGCGCTGCTTCCCCACCGCCAGCCTCGGCCGGGTTGGAGGGTAGCGGCAAGGCGTCGCGCGCCTTCCCGCTGCCCCCATCCTCTGGGGCTGGCGATGGGGAAGCGCTGCTTCCCCACCGCCAGCCTCGAGCCGGGTTGGAGGGTAGCGGCAAGGCGTCGCGCGCCTTCCCGCTGCCCCCATCCTCTGGGGCTGGCGATGGGGAAGCGCTGCTTCCCCACCGCCAGCCTCGGCCGGGTTGGAGGGCAGCGGCAAGGCGTCGCGCGCCTTCCCGCTGCCCCCATCCTCTGGGGCTGGCGATGGGGGAAGCGCTGCTTTCCCCACCGCCAGCCTCGAAGCCGGGTTGGAGGGTAGCGGCAAGGCGTCGCGCGCCTTCCCGCTGCCCCCCATCCTCTGGGGCTGGCGATGGGGGAAGCGCTGCTTCCCCACCGCCAGCCTCGAAGCCGGGTTGGAGGGTAGCGGCAAGGCGACGCGCGCCTACCCGCGGCCCCCATCCTCTGGGGCTGGCGATGGGGAAGCGCTGCTTTCCCCACCGCCAGCCTCGAGCCGGGTTGGAGGGTAGCGGCAAGGCGTCGCGCGCCTTCCCGCTGCCCCCATCCTCTGGGGCTGGCGATGGGGAAGCGCTGCTTCCCCACCGCCAGCCTCGGCCGGGTTGGAGGGTAGCGGCAAGGCGTCGCGCGCCTTCCCGCTGCCCCCCATCCTCTGGGGCTGGCGATGGGGGAAGCGCTGCTTTCCCCACCGCCAGCCTCGAGCCGGGTTGGAGGGTAGCGGCAAGGCGTCGCGCGCCTTCCCGCTGCCCCCATCCTCTGGGGCTGGCGATGGGGAAGCGCTGCTTCCCCACCGCCAGCCTCGGCCGGGTTGGAGGGTAGCGGCAAGGCGTCGCGCGCCTTCCGCTGCCCCCATCCTCTGGGGCTGGCGATGGGGAAGCGCTGCTTCCCCATCGCCAGCCCCAAAGAGCAGACTCTCCTGGCTTCAGCGGAAGCAACGCGAAGCCTCCGGAGCGCAGGCTTCGGAGGCTTCACATTGCTATCGCTGAAGCCGAGGAGTCTGCATTCGCTCCATAGGACGCACACACATTTCCCCTTCATTTTTGGAGGGGAAAAAGTGCGTCCTATGGTCCGAAAAATACGGTAAAAGCCTTTATGGTACAATTGTGATATCGAGTATTAGTAATTCCAGTATTGCTTTTAAAGAAGCAGTTGCCTATCCCAAGCCTTTGGGTGTTTTAATCATGCTAAAACACCATTGATGGTTGGTAAAAAGTAAAACTTGTTTTGCTAAAATAACTCCACGTACACTGAGTGAGTAGGGAGCTTCTTGGTGTGCTGTAAAAACTTGTTTAGTGACATTTGTGAGTCCTGAACAGTAACTTTCATTATTAAGATTCCTAATGCAATTACTAAAACTCAAGTGATTGACTAGAGAGTTTTAGCTGCAGAAGTAATGGGCTCTGATCCAAAGTTAGATGTAATACTATCTATGCCTGCTATGATGTGTTAAACTTTCCCCTTTTAAATAGCAGCTTCCTGGTACTGAATCAAAATCTGTTTCCAAAACTGTTGGAAGCAGCATTCCATGAAAGATGGGAGAGCTGCTGTTTACAACGGAAAGCTTAAAATGCTGCTGTACTCATCTAAGCCTATATACAAGTTTAATAGGCCTCGGATTATGGCCATTGTGAGAAATCAAGCCCCACTGAAATCAATGGGACTTAATTCCATGTAATTGTATCAAGAGTCTAGGCATAAGGGTGTGTACAGACATGTATAAACAGGAGTCCGTTCAGTTTTTTTCTTCTTTATGAGGCTTCTCTTTGCCTTCTTAGACAACACACATATTTATTTCCAAATCAGGTGCTGATTTCCACTGCCTTTTTGGCTATTCTGCTATGCGTCATGTGGGGCTGTCCTTCTTTTAAAACTTTTAAAGCACCTTACAAGTTTTGTGACGATTTTAAACTGCTCTGATGGTGGAAGCGCTAGTCAGTCATTAGCTATATGCACCCCCTCTTTTCCCAGTAGCCTGCACAACCCTTCACACCATAGCCCACCTTATGTCCTCTGACCCCTAACAGAGGTTGAGGGGTGCTTCTGGAGGGGGAAAATCAGTTCCTTCCTGCAAGTTTTTCTCTGAATCCAATCAACAGTCAACTTCTGCTGGAAACTAGCAGAACTAGTTTCTCCTGACTTTGAATATGCTGCACCCTGATCACTCTAATTATGCATGTCTGTATATAGTTGAGGAGAGAGAGAGAGAGAGAGAGAGAGAGTGTGTGTGTGTGTGTGTGTGTGTGTTTGTGTGTTTTGATAATGTGAAGATTGCTAGCATTTTAGGATAGGTGGAGCTGTTTCCTTCAAAGTCAGGCAAATAAAAAGCAGTGAACAAATAGTAGTGAATAATAGTAGCCCACATTGAGGGCAGAAGGCAGACACTTTATTCTTCCTGCTCCAGCCTATTTTTAACAGCAACCTGGGTTACTTTCCCTTGAAACTCAGGAAACATGTGTCCAGAAACCCACGTGACAGAAAAGCAGCTGCAGATATGGGATTGCAGGGGGAACAGCATGTACAGAATGGGATTGATGTACCCACTTAAAAGTCTTGTTGAAAATGAAGTTCTCAATAACTGCCAAAAAGAAAGGTGGAAGTTCCAATAAGAAGGTGCCTCCAGCCTAAAGGCCTGATTCCTATGTTGTATGCAACAAATTTTCTGATAAGATGGTATCACCAGGAGGATCCTTTCCTGTATACGTCAGTGATCAGTTGGCGTGAGGTTATATATATGCTATCCTGGTCTGAAGCTGTATACAGATTTGTACACCTAGAACTTAGCTGAAGGTAATAGTTGGCACTGAAATTACTGGTGTAAACTAATTTCTCTTTGCTTTTCTATAGCTATTTTAAAACTATGCTGAAATGGGGCAGCGGTGATATTTCAGCTACTAAATCCGGAGTAAGTACTTTGGGGGGAAAAATTGACTGAATTTTATACACTGTACTTGATGATACATTTATTCTAAACACCTTTACAAAGAACCTTTGTACTGATTATTTTAGATTCTTAAGTATCAAATATTAAATATTTATTTAGTATTCAGCATTGAAGCTGCATTGGGCTACTTTTGTTTGCATATTTTAGTTTTTAAAAACTCACTCCAAGCAGGGGCAGGGTTAGACGTGGGGGGGCAGGCTTCCATTCATGTTTGGTTTATCTTTAAAGGAAGCTGAAATCCAGTTGACTGGCTGTTTGGGTGTAGGGACTGGGTTCAAACAACTGAATGCTGTGCTTTCAGCTTTAATAAAACAAAGTAAGGGCAACCCAGCACATTCTTTGTTTTCAAGACTCAAATTGCCTAAAGATAAATTGTACAGAATACCAAGACTTCTGTTTTAATACATTGACAGTGCAATCTTTTACATGTCTGCTTAGAGATGAGCTCCATGGAGTTAATGAGCTTACTTCCAAGTATGTATGCATATGATTGCAAGTTGAATCTAGGTCATGGGTGGGGAAACTTCAGTCCAAGAGTCCAGAGTTGCATGCTTTTGGGGGAGATGGGTGGAGCAACATTCATTCATTTGTGAATCCCTTTCTACATGTACATCCGGGCCATTTACAAACATAGAATAAAACAGCTAAAAATAATTTAGAAAACAATACAAAACCCCCGCTTAAGATAGATTTTAAAACAGTATAACATGAAGATCTATGGCAGAAACCTTTTCATCCAGCTGTAAAAGCTTGTAAAAAAATAAAGTATTCAGTTGTTTCCAGAAAGTATAAATAGTGGATGCCTGCAGTGTCTTGGCAGGAATGCCGGTCGTCTGAACAGGGGCAGCCACATGGACATGGACAGTGCCAAGTTGCTCTAGGGTGGGCATCAACTACTTTTGGAACTTAAAGAGAAACTGTAGTGCAGAATGTAGTGATCAACTGCATACGTAACCAATAAAGAAGTCTCTGAGACTCTGAAGTAAGTTGGTCTTGGGATGTATAGGGCCTTAAGTGTTAGTACGAAGATGTTGAACAGATGTCGCTCTTACTTTTGTACTATGGGCTACATTCCAGCCACACTAAAGCCAGGGTTTTTAAATCCCAATTTTATCTCCATCCAGGGAAGCAAAAGGCACCATCACATTTCAATTACACATTCTAGACAGTCCAAGGCACTCAAGGAATGCATGGAACAGGATCAAAAGCATTAAGGCCTGGGGATCGCTCCAAGGGCCTTATAGAGAGGTCTAGAGGGTTACATTCACCCCACTGGTTGGAGGTTCCCCATTCCTGGTCTGGGTAGAATAATAGTGATCAATTCTAAAAACTGTTTCATTGCCTTTTGCTTCTGTGGAAGGGAAGCTCTGCCTCCAGAAAGGCATTCTTTCTCCATTGAAGTGAATGGTGCAGTTCTTGCTGCAGGGAATTTCAGTGTGTGCTGCAAGTGGTCTCCTTCAATAAATAGCAGGTATGGCAATTAGCTTTAAATTATTTAAGAGTTTTTCTGTATCTCTCTTCTTATACCGAAATATGGGAAATATTATATTCCAATAATGTATTGAAATTGTCTTGCCTGCATCATTTTGTTGTTGCAAACTTAACTCCTCTATCTTTAGGCTCATGGCCCATTTCAAGCAGCAAGCATGTCTGTGACAGATTTGACAGAACAACTGGTCCAAAATGAACAGCTGGTAGCACAACTCAAAGAACTTGTCAGGGACAAGGATAATGAGTTATGCCTTAAAGAACAACAGTTAAAGGTATTGTATATGTACATAAAGTTTGTTTATTATTATAGAAATGAAAATGAACTCAGTTGTCTCACGAGCAAGTTGCTCTAAATATTAGCTAAAAGTTGCATTTCAAAATGGTGTCTCAACAGTGATGTTAATTAGCAGGTACAGATTCCATCTAGTTTAAGTTTTGATAACTTGCCAGACTTGTTTGTCACTCAAAATGCAAATGTATTCCAAGTATGAACAGATGCTGTTAATAAACCCAGGGTTAAGATTATCCATTCCAAATTGCTAATGGTAACTGTAATGTATAACTCCACTTAAGGCCTAAAGCCACCTGGTTCTGCTGTTCTTTCAGTGGAAAAATTGGCTTTGTATTTTGTTATTTTCATATATGTAGATCTCTCTCTAATGCTTGTAAGTTATTTGTTTGAGCAGATTGCATTTTGTCTAAAAAAATAAACTGTTAATAATCTTCAGGCACAAAAAGAAGCTTCTGAAGCCAAGATTTCCAAATTAAAGCTGCAGAACAAAGCCAAAGTAACATCCTTAACAGCACAATTAGAGGAACTCAAAAATCAATTATCAGGAGACGAAACCCAAGAAGGAAATTCTGAGCAAAAGAGAGTGAGTTCTATCCTTAAAAAAATATCAAATAGGCATTGGTAATGTCTTGGTTTGATCTCTCAATATCTGTTTTTATAAACCTGGTTACACATACACAATGTGTGCATATGCAGATTTGGGTAAGTGAGTGATACCATGCATCTGTCTGGTGCTTGGTTTATTGCTTTTGCTGAAGTGGTTACTGCAAGTTGCTTCTTAAGGTAATCAGTGACATCTTTGCAGCAGTTGAAAGTTTGTGACGAAAACAGCAAGCAAAGCTCTAGCTGTGTGTACATGTTACTGGTTATGATCCAGGTTTTAACTGTGCAATCCTATCCATGCTCACTCAAAAGTTAGTCCCATTGTGTTCAATTAGACTAAGGCTACAATCCTAACCCCATTTTCCCAGGAGTAAGTCCCACTGAATTCAGTAAGACTTAACTTCTGAATAGACATGCCTAGAGTTATTCCCTAATAAGTGTGTATGTATTATGTCTAATGGAGAAAAATAGTCTTCTTATAGTACCCCTGTTTTTGATAATAGCCCAAATAATTCTCCTTTTCTTTTATTTGAGGCTGCAAGTCGTGGAAAAATCTTGGTACTTAAAAAGAAAGTTGAGGAACTAGAAACAAAGAATGCCCAAAAAAATGAAGAGCTGCAGAAAAAGGTAGTTGTTTGTTCAAGGTTGTAATGATTTTGTTTATCTAGGGTGTTTGCATTATGTCTAAAAACTGAGCAGCTATTTTTATGTTTTAAATTAGATTTCTATACTGTACCAGTGTTCATTTGAGGATCGCAGGGCAGTTTTGTGAAGCTAGCCCATATTCATTCAAACTGGCTTGTAGTATGTTTATTGGCTCTAAAATATTAAGAATTCCTGAAGTTGATAATATTTAAATTCCAGAGAAGGAGTGGATTTTTCAGTAGTCATCCATATCAGGCTTCCAGTTGAGAGCAAGGGTTTGGACCAGATGATCCTCAGAGACCCTTTCAACTCTTACGATTCTATAATTCTCTGCCCATTCAACCCACAATGTTACCAGCTGTGGAATCAGTATTGGTGATGTTGGTGTTTTTGAAGTAATACCAGTAGCAGAAATCCTTGTTAGTAACATTCCAGTACCACACAGAAATGAAAGAGACAAATTTGCCCATCTTGGCCAACCTAGCTATTGAGTATTTTGTGGGTGGGAAAAGCTGAAAACAGGGAATGATACTTAGAGGAGAGAAAGTAATAGAAAACAAAGAAGATAAATGAAGCTGATTTTAGTGGGTAGATATCTAGTGTGACCAGCAACAACATTTCTGATTGTTTCTAGATTGATGAGTTGGATGCTGCACACCAGCGTGGTGCTGAAATGGATGCTATGCTTGCTGAGAAGCAAAAAAAATTAATGGAAAAAGAAGCCTTCATAATTGATTTACAGCTAGCCTGTGGATCAGCTGATGCCAAAGAAGTACTAATCCAAAACAGTGAATTAAAGGTATATTTAAGCTGTGAACCTATATAAAAAGTGCCATCTTTCCCGTTACCTAGGGTGTTCCTCTGCTGATGCGGCAACTTCTCAGCATGCTGAGCATTATTCACGAAAGTATAAGCATCCAATTGTCTCAAGTATAAAGTACCGTATTTTTCGCCCTATAGGACTCACCGGCCCATAGGACGCACCTAGATTTTTTTGGGGGGGGGAAATAAAGGGGGAAAAAAATATTCCCCCCCCCAGGGGCGGGGCTGGGGCGGGGAAAGCCCGAGCTTTCCACGACCCCAGCCCCCAGAACGGGAGCCAGAGCGATGCTGAAGCTGAGCGCAGTTTCGGCATCGCTCTGGGAGCTTGCGCGGCTGCGGGCGGGGGAAGCCCGAGCTTCCCCCAACCCCAGCCCCCAGAACGGGAGCCAAAGCGATGCCGAAGCTGAGCGCAGCTTCGGCATCGCTCTGGGATCTTGTGGGGCTGGGGGGATAGCTTCCTGAAGCCTGGAGAGCGAGAGGGGTCGGTGCGCACCGACCCCTCTCGCTCTCCAGGCTGCAGCGAAAGCCTGCATTCGCCCCATAGGATGCACACACATTTCCCCTTCATTTTTGGAGGGGGAAAAGTGCACCCTATAAGCGAAAAATACAGTAATTGCTGCTACTTATAAATACTTGTTTGTCCATGCTGTTAATCTGATCTGGATGATTCTCATCCTAGTCCTCTAACTGTCATTTCTTGTGAACTTCAAAGAACCAACTATCCACAAAGGAGGCTTCATTGCAGAGTATGCAACTTCTGGTTCAGAACCTTAGCAAGAAAGTTGAAGACAATGAACAAAGATGCAGCTGCCTCCTGGAAGAAAATGAAAACCTTAAAAGCATTCAGATTAAAGAGAGGGAGCATTTCCAGGAAAGAGAAGCAATGTATACACAAAATGTAAGCTTGCCTTTGGCAAAAACAATTAATTCTTCGATGTTTGGGATTTGGCTCCTGACTATAGGGCAAAGTATTGCAAAATTTTCATATACTGCTTTCTGTGTTTGAAGCAGACAACGCACATGTGACACAAAAAAAGCTTGCATGCTTTGTGTTGGTTGTGGCTAGAACTGTAATTACACAAAATTAGAAAACTTCTATAGCATTGTCCATGGATTGTTGATACAGTCAGCCAAGGGTGTGGAAACTGGATCCACCAGTTCCTTCCTCCTCTCACTCCCTACGGGCCTATTTTTGACAGGTGGATTGGGTTGCCCACCTGTCAATCACTTGATAAATACAGAACAATTGTAAACAGACTTCAGAGGGGTTTTAGGTGTCCATAAGCTTATCGGTGCTGAGGACTGTAAAGGCTGCACTAGTGAATTTCTGATGGGGAACTTCCTAGAGCAGTTGATCCCTGTGGGACTCCCTGTCAGCACCAGTTAGCTGATCTGTACTAAGGGGAGGCCTGCTTGTCAAGGAAGAATCAGGAGCACACTTGAAGTTCCTGATTGTTCCCTGGTGGCTGCTTCTTTACCTGCTCACACCTGCTGACACAATGCTGTCAAATGTAGTGCAGGTTGGAATGGGTTGGTGAAAATGGCTTTTGGGGGCCAAAGTAGGAACCCTGCTGGGCCTAATTAGGTGTGCTGGCTGGAGATACCCTGATGCTGTAGTAGTGTTTGGAAGGCAGCTGTATCCGAGAAGCTTTACCTGTGAGATACGTAGGTTCAAAAGTATAATGAATCCAGAATAATATTTTGCTATGTGAAATGAGTTAATTTTTCACACTATGAAAAATAGACTGCCCCTTAAAAATTCATTTAAATTTGGAAATATCAATAGTGGGCAAAGTCACTAATTCACATTCTGAAGATTGGTGTTGACATATACTGGTACTGGTATCATTAGCACTATAATTTCTTAGTGCTGGAAAATGGGAAAGGATCTTCTGTTGAATCTGTAACTTTAAAAAAGTGATGTCATTTTGTTGTTGAGCTGTTCGCTATTTATTGTTTTGTATTCTAAAGTTTCTTAATGAAAAAGAAAAGGAAAAGTTGAAGGAGCCCTGAAGAAACTTGGTTAGTGAACATAATGGAAATCAAGAATATTTTTGCAGTATGTTAAATGATACTAATGTGGGATTCTGTGTCTTTTTAGACACAGAGTGATTTTTTTTGCACAACATTTGTGCCGTTGTTTCTCAGTTCCTACAGCACAAATAATCTATATGTCGTTCTTCAAGGTAGGACTTCAAGGAGTTTCCTGAGCTAACTTCTTTTAATCCAAAATTGTTCTAATTTTAGGGGAATATTAGTAGTCACGTAATGATAAAGTTGAAAATTCAAGTTTTGATGATGTTGTTATGTATACAGTGGTACCTTGGTTCCTGAACGGCTTGGCTCCTGAACGCCGCAAACCCAGAAGTGAGTGTTCTGGTTTGCAAATGTTTTTGGGAAGCTGAATGTCCATTTCAGCTGCCAGCATTGTTTCCCGGGCCAGTCAGCCAATCAGAAGCCGCACCTTGGTTTGCGAATGTTTTGGAAGTCAAACGGACTTCCAGAACAGATTGAGTTCAGGAACCAAGGTACCGCTGTAGATCAGTTGTATAGAAACTTTTTTGTTCTGCTTTTAAGATCCACGTGTTTCAGAATATGATCTTGGAAAAGGAAAAAGAGCTCATGGGAGTGGCCCAGAAACATGAGCAGGAACTCTTTAAGCTGGCTGCCAAATCAGATGCTAGTGCTGATCTAGAACAGGTAGGTGAAAGGGTGTTTTAGTCAACAGTCTATAATCTATGTGTCGTTTTGTATCTATAGTCAGTACACTCATGGATGTGCATAACCTCTCAGTTAAATCATTTCTGTCTCCAGAGAGCAGAGCAGAAGAACACACCCTATTTCTCTTATTTAGGCAAACAAAACCAGTCCAATATTCCTTCTGTTTTCTTTTCCCGTCCTTTGTAACCAGCCTTCAGTTTTGAGTTATGGGCTCTGTCTTGGGACATTCTCTGATATTTCTCCTGCAGTCACTAAGCCCTCACTGTAGGTACCAATAACTTGTTTAGTTTGTTTAAAACTCCACTGTTGTTACTTGTTGTCCTATAAACAGAGTTGTAGCAAAGTGAAACAAAATTTATAGTGATGTAGGGAGAATTGTAGAGGACTTGGTGGGAAATGTAGAGATACATTTTCATAGTTTTAGGGATTGAGTTTCTCCGCCTTTGATACCCTTAAGAACTGTTGGTGTTTATAGTTAATACTTCTGAAATAGATTACTCCTATAATTGCATACATCCTACAAAAGTGAAATTTAGTTATATTAAGTGGATAGAGTTGGCAGGGATGCAAGTAGACAGTTCTTGAGAAACTCTGTTTTCTCCCATTCCATAAAATAAAATCCTTTCATCCGCGACAGCTACTGAAAGCCTTGAAACAGAAGCTACATGAAAAAGAAGAGGTTATGCAAGGAAGGACACAGGTGATATTCATGTTGCAAAAAGAACTGGATGGAAAGGACCAGCAGCTAAAAGTAAGGAACAGGGGACAAGGATTGAAAAGTTACAAGCAATTTGGTTGCCAACCTTATTTAGGCTAATAGAAAATAAAGTATTTGCATGCATTTGACTATATTCATGGGTAGCTTTAGTAGTAGTAGTAGTAGTAGTAGTAGTAGTATTGATTATACTTAGGAGACCTGTTGGGTGATAAACAACATAGAAGTTGAAAATAAATAAATAAATGTTATAAACAAGAAAAAAAATCATAAGGAAAAGACAACACATAATTTAAAAATCACCTTTGCCAAAGAAAAATGCAGTGGTTATACTTTTTCATTATTTTAATTATTTCACATTGGATATGGTTCCTGCTTGAGTGTTGAGATAATTCTGAAAAGAAAGGAAAAAACCCCTAAGCAAATAGTCAAGTAATTATATATCTGACATAATGTTTGGAAGAGCAGCTTAGTCTCATGTGAGTTGCTTGCTGTTTCTTCCAGAACATTTTTGCAGACAGCAGATTCAATCTGATTCTCTCTTCTAGAAAACTTCAGGGCAGGTTGTACAATCTGATGTGAAATCCAGAATCCATTCCAGGCATTTGCAGAGTTTGTGCATTATCTCAGGCCTCTGATAAAGTGAATGGAAGGTGGTATCTCCTCTCCAAATTAGAAGCATGTGGCCTGTGGACATGGGGCTTTCTGCACTGGGAGTTTCTAGTCATTTGTGGACTGGAACATGCTGCAGAGGGACCAGGGCCTTCCATTCAAGAAAGGATTCCACATCAGTCAGCAGCTGGAATTAGGGTCTGAATGCTTGTTAAAATGAAGTGTGGTGGCATCTCTAAATGCTGCTCCTACTTCAGAAAATAGGATCTGGTTACTTTTATGGCAGATGTAGTATTAGACAGATTTGAGATATATACAAAAGTGTGTATGTATGCACAATAAATGCATTTCCCAAATTATAAAAAGGGAATTGTGTTTCTGTTTAAAATATTATTGTTTTTTAATTCAGGAAATTAATGAATACCTGAATCACCTCCAGTTAGAGAAAAACAACCTCCAGTCCAAACTAGATGCTGAAAAGCATATAATGCGAGCCCAGCTAAGAGACATGATGGAGAAACATGAGACTGAACTGCGAAAAGTCAGAGAGAAATATGATGCTGACATGCAGGAGATCCGAGAGAAGCATGAAACAGAGCTGCAGGAGAAAGACCAAACCCTGATTCAGCTTCAGAAGCAATTGGAACAATTAAGTTCCGGTGACAAAAGTAATTTAGATGTTGCAATGAAACAAACATTGGCGAACCTAGAAGGTAAACTACAGTAGCTCTTACAATGACTTGCTCAATGCATTGAATTCATACTAAGTCTTCTGATCACACACTCATCCTGTGTAGCCTTTTTCATAGACCAGGGGATGGGGGAAGAATGCAGCCATGAGGCTTGCTTCTTTGTACTGCAATGTATCTAATCTATCACAGTGATATGCACAACATGGTAAGTCAAACTACAGCCTAGCAAAATAGCAGAAATATGTTTCCTGGATGGGAGCTCACAGCCACTTTGCTCCTCCCTGATGCTTTTTACTGCTGTGCTGTGCTGTGCTGTGCTAAGACAACATTTGGCATAGTGTGTCATCTGAACTGGGGCTCATGGTTAAACTCTCTACTTACTAACCATGATCTGTAGCCAGGAACAAACCCACATGTCCATGCTGTTTTGCAAAGCCATAGTTCATCTTACTGGGCTGTGCAAACCTGGTCAGTGTAAAGCAACTCTTAGTAATTCTGAAAAGTCACATTTGAATATGGCTTATTAATTTCTTTTTTTAAACTCGTACTGTTGATACTTAAGTAATCCTAGCTAAACCTATATAATCCTGGCTAAACCATTACCACATTTTTATAGTGATAGTTTTGCAATAACTCTGAATAATAACTGAGGTTTTTGTTTGTTTAAGCTCAAGCGAAACTAAAATCAGAAGAGGCCAGCAAATCTGAAGCTAAGTTCCTCAAGATGAAAGCTTTGTACAAATCCAGAATTACAAAGCTTGAAGATGAGCTTAAAAATGTATGTAAAACTTCAAAACAAATGTGCCAGAGTGTCAAGAAAAATAAATACATTTCTCCTGAAGTATACCAAAATATGTTATTAGTTGAACAGTTAGTGTATTATTGGGTCATTCGGCTACAAACTAATTTTATCAATGTGTTTATAGAAAAATTGATACTTTGGATTGATACAGATGTGGCAGAGATGTTATTAGAAGAGTCTGAGGTTCAATTTAATGTTTTGTTTAAACATACCTATGTATTGGGGGAAAATTAACAAAGAAACCAAATTTTTTTGGGATAGGCTACATCATCAAATAAGAGTGTAACTGCCTTGCATGACCGGATTTCAGAACTGGAACAGGAAAAGGAAGAGCTGCAGTCTGCACTACAAGCTTTTTCTGAACTTAAAGCTCAGAATGGTAAGAAGTGACAAAATTTCTCGGTCTTTCTGATAATGTTGAACAGGTGTCTCTTAAGATAATATCAGAAGATAGTGTTTAGAGTTTCAGTCCCCCCCCCTTCCACTTACTAAATTGCAAACAATAATTAGCCTTAGAAGTAAGCAAATAAAGATCAACAAGATATATGGAACTGGATTTTAAACCATTGTCAGCCTGGTATGCAGGTTTATTGTGTGAGATATAACCAGTTGGGCTTCCTGGCTCAATTTTACTTCTTCTTTGGTATTTATATGTTGTGTGATCAAAACCATGTAAGTGAGACTTACATCCAAGTAAATATTGATTTATGATTGCAGTCTATTTTTTTCTTTTTTAAAAATGTAAAGACATCTGAGAGGCCCTCATCCAGAGAAGCTTTAGCAAGATAGCCAGCCACACATGCAGTGGAGGCTCGGAGGTTAAAAACAGTTTGTGATTACTCAGCAAAAGATTGGCAGTCCAGCTGGGGCCAGTGGATCACAGAAAGCAACCATTGATCGCACTGAGATTATTTACTAGGATACAGAGAAATTATTTGGACAAATTTTTCAATACTGCACTTCTTTGTCTGTAGAAATCATTCTTACACTAAATATTTCTGTGATTGTAGCTTGAATATAATTTTTTTCAACTAAATATTTTCCCCGGTAAATAATTGTCTTTAATAATAATTGTCTTTACAGAAGAATTGCTGGATAAGCTGGAAGTATACGAACAGCAGCAGCAAAAATTGCAAGCAGACCTTGAACAAGTTACAAAGAGGGCAGCTTCGCAGGTCTGCTACTGTTGGGGTGTACTGAATTTAGTTGAATTGCTATTAGTAGAAATAGTGAAGTATAGTTATGTAGAGAACTGGAAAACTGTTAAAAAATGGTGTACCAAAAATCTGGTGAATCGTTAGCATAGGTTTCTGTATTGTTATGTTTACCATATTGGTTTGTTTGCCTATTGCATCTAAAGAAAGCCTGTTGCTGTTTTTTATTTCAACCTATTTTATAGCCTGTGAATGGGCCAGTCTTTCCACTTTTCTGTGCTGGTCAGGCCTGATTCCAAGGATGGTCTCAATTAGCCTTCATTCTCCCACCCCTATACTATCGCTCCCACTGGACAAAAATAGGCCCCCATCAAAGGACATGGAGCCCACCTTCCCAATGCAATATTAAAATTTCAGTTTTTATTTCCCCCCTAAACTGGATATTTACTTACACTCACAGAACCATAGAATTGTATTTTGTTGATCTGTTAGGTTTGTGTGAAGGAAAACTTGATTTATATGGCGTTTCTGATGGTCAGGTTATTCAGCTCCTCATATTTCTTGAATTGGTTGTATTATTTCCATATCCTGTCTTCACTTGCTGCAGGCTAGTGAATCTGATAGTGTGGATGAGCTGCAGAGTCAGCTTTTGGAATGGCAAGAAATTGTAACTGAGTCTGAAGATGCACACAATCAAATCAGAGAGGAGAAATCTGCTATGGCTCTAAGAATGTCACAGATTGAAGAGGAGAGAGAAGGTGATTTTGATTTGACATTAGGTCATTTTGTTAGGTTGGAAAATATTGAAAGCAAATTGACAGTGTCACCCAAAATTTATATCTGTCTTCTATGGATCACTGTTGTAGTGAGAATTATGCAGCTGGACATATAGTAGTATCTGACTGCTGCTGCTGTTGTCCAGTTTATTGAACTAGCCTGATCCTAAGAGTTAGATTTAGCTCCAGAATTGCCTACTACTGCAGCTAATTTTTAATTGTAATTTAATTGTATTTTTATTTTGTATTATTACTATTCTGTTCACTGATTTGTGGGGCTTTGGGCTAAAAAGTGCTATATAAATAAGCCATAAAATAAATACAAATAAATAAAATGTCTGAAATGTTGTAAATGGGGCAAAGTTGTTCAGTCTGCTTGCAGGGCCATCAAAAGGTAGTGAAATTAGACTAAATTTTTGCAAGAGTGCAGGAAGTTCAGAATAACTTCAACCTTTGGATCCAGCTATAAAGGGTTCTTTTGGCAATCTCTTTATGACAGCTTTGCTCTGAATAAGTCCATTGTGTGTACTATGCAGATTCTGGAAAAGGAGCACTGCAACAGGGCTACTGTCATCTAGTCTCATGATCAGGCTGCAGGATTTAATCTGGTTTTAGAACTATAAAGGGGGAATATCCTTTGAATTTCCACAATTGCACATAATTCTTTATCTGTGGGCAATGGACAACTCTTGATAATGGAGCAGAGAGTTGCCCAACAAAATTCATGAGTCCTAGAGTTTCTTATCACATGTTTCTGTTAACTAGACAGATGTATAAATGATGTAAAAAGACCTAATCAAAGTGACACTTGTCACTTTGAGCAACAAGTAACATCGCCATTCCCATGAAGTGTCTACAGTATTAAACTAACAGGAGCAATCTATGCAAGGGCAAATCTTAGCATTCATAGGAATGTTGTACAAAGACTCATGATTGTCGTATTTCTGAATGCCTTACCTTGGGCATTAGTTAAATTAGCGATTAGTTGTGTATTTTTTCCTTTCGTGCCGATTATTTGGACCCAAGAGCCCCAAACTTATACAAATGCAATACCAAATTAAGGGAGCGTGGGGGCTCAAATATTTTGTTATGTTTAAGCCCTTATGCATTAATATGGTCAAATGTTGATCTCTTTGTGTGTCTGATCAGTATTTAATTTTGCATTTCCCCCCTGGGTTAAGCATGATGTTTCTGTTTTGTTTCCCTCCCCCTCTTTGCGGTTAAACCTGATGAGCACTTGGTGTCCCTTCCCCCTCCACTCCTAACCTACACTGCGATTTGGTCAGCCACTGAGAACATAGTTTCCCATCAGTTTTGTGCATGCAGGATTCTGCAGCCACAACAGCTTATGGTGTACTGTTGCTGATTTTCCTCTGTAAACAGTCTTTCGTGGGAAATCTTCAATAGTGTGGTATAACAGTTGTTTGTGGTGGCATGTGTCCCCCCCCCCTTTTATTAAGATAAATAACAAATGCCGTTTTAAACTCTATTTTCTTCTCCTTTGCAATGCTTATTTCTTCATTTATGTTAACAAAATCATCTTCATTCTTTGTTGTACTAATAGCTGACTCCATATTTACCAGACAAATTGCACAATTTATAATAAGTCATACTTTCAGTATTAAAAAGTATGCCTGTAGGGGTTTTTAATTAACATTTTTGGAGGGCCAGAAATATGAATAGATACTACACTAAATATTTCAAAAGAATATTCAAATAGTAAATGCAGCAGTCATATTTTTTTATTAACAAATCAAGCTTTCATTTGAAGACATAGCCCTGTAATGATGTTACTAGTATGGGCCACTGCAAAGCATCATGAACAGGACTTACATAGGTGTAAATGTCACTGCTCTCAAGGCATTAGAACACAATCCCATGAAAGTATTCTTTCAGGGAGTTTTAAGGCTAGAAACAGATGGTCAGTTTTCCCCACCCCAGTAATGTTGATCATGGTTTAAAGAGTGATATCTTCTTGCTATATGTGCAATTTTCTTACCACCCTTGCCTCTGGTAAAGGATGTTTGGTAGACATCTTATTATTTCCAACACCTGTCTATCTAGAGCTAACAGTGGGAGAAAAGAAATGTGTGTATACCAGAAGAACCAGAGCTTTTCTAAAATCACATTCAAGTGGCTTGAAAACTATTTTATATCTCCAGCCCTAGCTTAGATTTCTTAGTGAAATCAAAAGTTCTGATTTTTTTGTGAGATCATGCTCAAAGTTTGTAACAGCATGGCACTGCTAGACAGACAGGTATTGCCTGCTTCATCTATTTGTAGCCCTAAGTCTGATAACTTGAAAAAAAAAATCAGAAAAAAATCAGGTTTCCCCCCCTAAGCTGCAGAGCTTGACTAATAGTACCAAATACTTCTAAATTGTTTTGAGCAATTTGTAATGAGATTCTTTCATTGGTCCTTAGCTCTTGTGGGTTGGTGTGTTGACTTGCAGGTGCTGAAACTTCATTATAACTAATCTTTATTGACACATAACTAAAATGTATATAGTTGTATTGGAAAGTTCACATTGTGTCTTAAGTTGGAAAGCATATTGGTATCAAATATCGAAAGTAAACTGCCCTTTTATAGCTCTACCTGCTATAATCAGCAGTGGAAGCTATACAGTATTCAACTCTGGGTTGTATCACATTTGTGTCACACACTGTATCAAACCATTCCATAGCTACCTGGGTGCTCTTAGGCACTCACAGAATTTCCATGACTCCTCCAAAGTGCCTAGTTCAAACAGAGAGCACATCTACCTGTGTGAGATTGGCCTTTCTGCTTCCACTACTTTATGCTATGGCCTGCACCATTTCCCAACTCTGAGTGTCTTTAAGGAGGAGTACGGAGGTGCATTATTGAGGAGGAATGGGTTGGGGAAACCCTGTTGCATGAGCAGAGTTCTGGGTTTCTTTAGAGTCAAGCTCGAGTGTGAGAGATTCCTGGCTATTTCGATTTTTGCTTTTTTATGCTTCTGTGTGAGCCATCTTGAGCTGTGAGAAACCTACATATATATATATATGTTAATTAACTAAATATTCCCTTCAGTAATGCGGGCAGATCATACATTCAAGGAATACAGAAATTTCAGCACTAGCAAGTCAAACATAAACTACATAAGAATGAATGAAACTACTGATCATGAAAAATGAACCTGACAGTGCCATTAAAGTTAATTTGCACACATGGGACTTCCTGTGTGTACAAGAGAGAGGTAGACAGATTCTAGCAGCAGTGGTTGGTGAGGAAGGCCGTAGTTAATGCACAAACTTTCTGCCAGTGGAGTTGCTGTCGCTTACCTAGAGGAGAAGGGCTGAGGTGATTGGGGAGTGATGCTCAGGTGCATCAGCAGAGCCAATCCTATGCTCCAGCCAGTGCAGCCACACAGTACCAACCTCCTTGCCGCCTTGCTACTCTGCCTCCTAGTACGTGGCAGTGACTGTGCTGTTAGAAGGCTAGGGGCACAACTCTGACCCTCCTCACTGACTACTCCTGGAGTCTAGAAATTGAAAATATTTAACTTTTGGAGCCAAGTTTATTGGCATTCCTTTAGTACCAGCCATTATTTTCTAGAAATTTTCTTGAAATGCCTGAGAAAATAAATGTGGAGTTTTAATTGACAAATTGTGATAGAGGCTGTGTTGCAGTTTTTCCAGAACCTAATTTAATTCTTGGCCATGGGACATTTCTCATACTACACAACAAATAGAGAACAACAACCAGCCCATGCCCCTGATGAGTGTACCTCCATGTAACTAAAAACATGCTGCACATCTGAAAAGACTTGATTAGTCTATGATCAACATATGGAAAGTAGACCAAATTGCTCTATTCTTATACAGATTCCTGTACAGTTTATTAAATCTAGACTGGGACATAGTTTGTACCAAATTTATTCAGGTGTTAATCTTGAATAAAAATACTAATTTGCTGTAGATGATTAGTTGCGATTGAGTTCTTGTTTTAGCAATGGATAAAGTATGGAGCCAACTTTTGCCTTCATTCCTTTATGCTGACTTTTGTCTGCTTTATATGAAACATCTATCACATACATGTACCGCGTTGATCACGCAAAACAGATGGGAATGTCCTTAAAATAAAATAAAATATATAAAAATAATCTTTCAGAATAGATTGCATTAATTTTAGCTATTGAAATTACTGTCTGAAATTATTGTGTGCTATTGACAAATTAATTGATATGGCTTGATGCCAGTTTGCAGTGTATGATGCAGACTTGTGACTTCCTCATATTACCTGGAACGAGAGCTTTCTTTAATATTAATGTATAAGCAAGGCTTGCTTCCTTTTCATAAAGTGAAAGCATAGCTGAATAATATATGCATAGGTGATGCATTTTACCACATATCAGCTATATCTGAACACTGAAAACCTGTAGGCCTAATTTGGTTATATAAGTGGCTGCCCTCTTTGCTGGTATCCATATACAAATTATTTTTCTTCGGATGGGGAAATTGCCTTTGAGATTTTGTATCCTCTATGGCTTCTATTAAAAAGAATGGCATTCAAATTGTCCCCATGTGCTGTGTAGAGAGGGAAATCACAAGGTGAATGATGATATGGAGTGTGTCTATTCCTGCCAATCCTTCATAAGCCTCTGTCTGTATCACTGATCCCCTTTTGTGAATGTGTACAGTATGTTTGTCTGATGTATGATTGCTTTCTTGTGGCACAAAACTGATTGAGGATGACTGGTTCTTTCCTGGCTGCTCTGATCCAGCCATAGTCTCAGGGCAGCAGGAGTTGGAGGAGGAACTGGCCGCAGGTCAAGGGATTGGAAGAATGCAGCCGGAGGGAAGGATGACTGCCCAGTCGAGCAGGAAACTCCAGGTAAGGTTGTTTGCATTTTTGTATGCACATTTATTTGATGGTGTAATCAGTAGAAAGACTTTTCCTATTGTGCTCCAAGCATATGTGATTCCTTAATATGTGGAGTGGGAGATTGAAAATGGATATGGTGACTTTGGTACTGGTACTATTGAAACATTGCCTCCTTTAATCTATTATTGAAACTCTCCTTAGTGTGGTGTTGGCCGTGGATGTTACAATGTGCATTTGACTGGTTGTTAATTTCACAATTTTCTTTCTCACCCTTGCCCCCCGCATGTAGGACGACTATGGCTTCAATGGAAAACATTGCTATGAAGAGCTGAATGTCACCATGGATAGTACAGATTCAGCTGAAGGAGAGAACATGGGAGGTTGGTGGCCAGAGTACACTTCCCCTAATGCAGGTGTGACAACCACTAGACAGTTTATTAAAGCATGCACAGCGTCTGTTTTGTCCCATTTTTGTTTCTCAAATTCAACTAACAAACCATGTTGTGTTGTGTTTGTATCTAAGTTGAAAATTTTTTTTGGCTTGCTTTTTTGTTTCATTTTGAAGCATGTGCGTGCTGGATGAACTGTCTAGTTTTGGTTCAAAACTAGAACTCAAATCGTGGTTTAATACCTTGGTCTCTCACTTGTGAATAAAGATTATTGTCATTAATGGTAAGATTTTTTTTTTAAGTTCTAGTTCTTTGTTCTTGTGAAAATGCTTCCACTCTTTTAGTCCACTTGTAGTCTTTGTTTCCCAATTCTGTTTCATGTTCCAGTTCAGAGGTCAGCAAACTTATTTGGGAGGGGGCCGGTTCACCATCCCCCAGACCTTGTGGCGGGCTGGACTGTGCGCATGTGTGTGCGCGCATGCAGCGGAAGGGGATTCTCTCTCCCCCCCTCTCCCCCAGCCCCTCCCTCTGCCTACCTATGGTGCTGTCGGCTGGTTCCAGAGAGGCGCTGCCTAAAATGGCGCTCAGCCAGCTCAGCCCAGCCCCCTTCCTCCGCTACGCAGGGCGGGGAGAAGGGCAGGGAGAAGCCAGGAGGAGGTGCCGCGGTATGTGTGGGGGGGAAATGGCGCCCCCAAAAAATGGCGCAGAAAAAAAATTAACAAAATTTTTTTTACGAATAGAATCCACATAATCCACGGACTGTCCGCGGGCCGGATCTTGAGGGCAATTGGGCTGGATCTGGCCCACAGACTGTAGTTTGCTGACCCCTGTTCCAGTTCTTAAGATAGCTCTATTTGTATCTCAGTGATAGTTACGTTGAACAACCTATACATTTTAGATGTTAATAATGAAGCAAACTTTCAGAAAGTAGGGTTGTTCTGCCAAGATCTACTAATGTTATGAGTTACATTAAAAATAGGAAAATTTCACAGGAGATTCCTCTCCAGTTTGCTACTGACCTTACAAATTGGGTAAATAATGGGTAAATAATGGGTAAATAATCTGTGCCTCTTGAAATGAAATAAAGGACAGAACAAAGTATTTGCTTTTTAAATTAAATATACAGAAAACTATTTTCAAGAGCTTGATTAAACTAAAAGCTAATTGTTTATACTAAGAAGCTCCCCCCAGTTTCTAAAAAATACCCCAAACCAGTGAGATACTTAATGGTTTGGGCTTCAGTTGATAAATCAGGTTTTACTTGTTTAATCATTGGGAAGAATTCCACTAAACTGAGCTCCTATTTGCATGTTAAGCTTGAGGGCATAGTCATTTACGTTAGTGAAGCTTAAAATAGAATGGATTGATTTCCAGAAGAATTCTGCATGAAATGTATAATATTGGACAGTAAAATTAGAGCTGCAGTGTTTTGTCAATTGAATTAAAATATCAGGGGAATATCAGACAGTAGATTTCTGTTTTCTGTTTTTAACAAAATAAAATTATTTCAAAAAATTAATAGCAGATGCAACCTTAGAGGCACTCTTCTGTTTCTAGAGATGTACCTGATGCAACCCATGTGGTTGTTGTATAAAAACAAAATACAGTGTACCCTCCGGATACGAATTAAATTCGTTCTGGGGGTCCGTTGGCAACCTGAAAAGTCCATAGGCAGAGGTACTGCTTATGCACACGTGTGCGGCGCGCAGAGCGCTTCTGCGCATGCGCGTGCAGCGAAACCTGGAAGTATACACTTCCGGCTTTGCCATGTTCATAACCCAAAAGTTACGTATCCAGAGCTGTACGTAACTAGAGGGTCCACTGTAGTTCTTCAGAATTATTGTTAATATGCACATTTAAAAAGCTTTAATTAAGCAACTAATGGATTAGATCATACTATGAGTTAAGTAAAATGTCTTTAAATTGGTGGCAGTTCAAATAAAATGTGTGTTTCACATTAAAAAGGTTTGCGGACTGTCGTGGAAGAATTAGAATTGGAAAGAAATCAGTTGCAAGAACAAATTCTCTTCTTGGAGGAACGTTGCCAGGACTTGGAAGATAGATTGCAGCTACAGAGCAGACTGGAAGCTCTACAGGTACATGCTAGAATGGGAAATAATGTGAGGAAGGGCATTTAGATGCTTGCTACTATTATAGGGTGTCTTTTTTTTAAGAAAAGAGGGAGATATGCAACCATAGCAATATTTTAACTTTATAAAAGCAAAACCTTTATTTTACCTTATTTTCTCTTACTTTATTCAATCTAAGTAATGCTTAAATCTGTATCCATTTTGTTTACCAAAATGCAATTTAAATAATAATGCCTGGATTTCTGCCTCTTAAATCCGTGAGATAGGGGATTACTCATTACATGAAAAGGAGTGCAGAGGAGAGGTGATCATTTCTACCCTCCCTCATTGCGCTTTGTTTCTTTAAGTTGTTTTCTACTAGCCAGCCTTGAAAGTTAATTGGACTGCAACAAAACTGTGTAAAGGAACACAATGCAGAAGGATAAAGCGGGGATAAGCATTAGCCAGTTGTTCCTCCAATGCACCATTTTATGTAACAAATATACTCTTCTCTGCCACTTCAGATGTGAATTGGGCAGACATAGATAAAATGCATATGGTTGCTGTTTGACATCGAGTTTTGCGCTCAAAACTGTCTTGAGAAGCTACTCAATATTGCTTTTAAGTCACCAGCTGTTTCATATTTTAAATCAAATTTTATTTAAAAGGGTAAAACATATAATCTACATATGTGTTATACAGGAATAGAATCCATATGGTTTAACTTTCACTCCTTTATTCCTGTTACAATTACTCCTAAGCAGGCAGTCAAAGAAGTTTCTATTGGTGACTACTACATGACTTTGTGGAAACTACATTGTGGTGTTTTACTCTGTCACTAGTAACTGATTAAGGTGTACATGAACTCACTAAGAGAGAGACCATCCAAAGCGATTGGTGTGCAGTGTCTCCAACAAGCTGAGGACACCTAGTTCTGTTCTGCCCACCATTAGATATTATGTCCAGGTGCAGTAGGGCAAATCCTTAATTAGTGTTGGAGTGCAGAAAGGATTTGATGAAGGCCAACAAATTGAAGTTGAAGCCAAACAAGACAGATTGCATCAGGGGCCACTTGTGACCTAGGAAGGTGGGTTTACTTGCAGTAAAAAGGACCATACTCTCCCCATCTGAAAAAGCAGATTTGCAGACTAGAGTTTGCTACTGCTTCTTGTTCTATTCCTGGATCCTCGAGTGACAGCAGGAATAAAGAGTACTTTTGATCAGTTACATCTAATCAATTGGCTGATACTCTTTTCTATTACTCCCTAGCTAATGTTTGCAAGTGCAATGACTTCACTTTATTAAAATAAGCCTTCCCCGTTCATTGGCTGAACTACTGTGAAGTCATGGAATGCTCAAAGATATTCTGATAGCTAATGAGTTAAACTGCCAGTACAAAGTCCTTGGAAAAGAAGGACTGTGTGTTGTTGGTTGAAGAAAATGCAGAAGCAGCATAATGGGTAGCGCAGAGCAGTTGCTCTAGCTTCTTGGAAAATGGGTTACTGTTGTTTCCTGGGTGGTGCAAATGCACCAGGAGGTGCGCTAGATTGGCTTCACTCATGTGTCCCCATGCCAACTTCTCTGCCACCTGTTCCGCCCCATTCCTGTATGTGTTTGTGGCCAGGACATTTGTGCATCAGCTCCATCTCACCCAACAAGATGCTTCTGGTGAGAGCCAAGTACTATTACAGCAGGAATAAATTACCCAGGTGTGTGTGTAAATGAATGGAGAATGTGCAGTGTTGTTGACAATACACTGTACCCCCAAAACAGACCCATGAAAGTCATAAGTCTTCATGAAAAACAAGAAAAACATACAATGAACATAGTTTTCTAAGTTTTATACAAACAGTGTGCAATTTTAAATATTAATATGTTCGTCTAAAGGTTCGACTAATAGCTTCCTTAACATACTAAAATGCATGTGTGTAATGAGGGGTCACTCAAAATATTTTTCTCATGCAGCAGAATGTCAATGTATATTGCATTGTAACAGAGCATTTCAATACAGGTGGCATTTGGTGTAGAGGAAGAAGGGCAGCTATTGAGGGCTGTACAGGTGTGTCCTGCCCATTCCCAAGTGATAGTTTATTTTACATAGAAGTGATATTTTGTGTCTAACCTACCCAGCATTTAATTACAATTTTGGATTTTTCTGAGCTTCTTCTGGTTTTGGATGGTGTGTTTTTGCAGTTTAATCTTGTGTGTTAGTTTTGTGAAGCTGGGTAGACTAACATATTTAGATGCCATAATAAATTGACTGTGTCAGTGGAGCTTGCTTCATTCCCTGTGGATTACATTCCAGAATTTATTTTATACCTTGCTACTTCACACACTGGTTGATTTTTGGACAAGTGCAAAGAAAAACAAATATAATTCAGTTAATTCTGTGTGGATCAGTTATGCTAAAATTAAAATTCTGTTAGGCATCACTGGAGCTTCTTAAAAACATGCCTTTTTTTTAGCAACATCTGTTAAAAGTAAGCTTCTCCCACACATTGCATGTTTGCATGGTGTGCTTTTATATGAAATCAATATTATAGGATGTCTCTTTCCATGTTGATTGTCACAGGATAAGATCACCAGAAATGAGGCATTTCGAACAGAATCTCACTGTTTCTACTGGGAACAAAGATTTCTGATGACATTTTGCTGGTAGTAAATGAGCTATAATGGTAGAATCTAACTCACGTAGTTCAAAGATAACCCTGTTTTATAGTCAGTGCAAATACCAGCTGTGTAAATGATTTTCTTACAGAATGAAAATGACCGTTTACAGTCCCAGCTAACACAGCTGCGCAACCAGCAAGCACGTGATGCAGAAAAACACCAAGTTCTTGTTTCCAGTTTGAATGAACAACTGAAAGGGTAAAATAGAACATTTATAGTCCCTCCCCAGCCTCTCTACCTTATATCCCATATGTTATTCAGATCTGAACGTTGGTGTATATGTTGTCAAATGTTTTTAAACTTTTACCTGCTGCAGATAATTGAAGGGGGGAAACCCTTTCATAAAGATTATTTTCATTCTTAGTTTTTTTTCTTGCAATTAATGGAATAGTTGATCTTGCTTTTAGATATAGACAGGGAGCTATGTCTCCAAATGTTTCCCATAGTACAATTGATGTCCACATATATTTGAGAATGTTTATCATAATATATTTGATCATTTATTTTATTGGTAGATTAAATGAAAGAAATGGCTTGCTTGAAACTTTGCTTGGGGAAAAGGAGCAAAAGCTTTCAAGTACAAATGAAAAGCTAGAACAGGCAGAAGACATGAGAAAGTCAATTCATGAGAGAGACCTTCTAAACAAAGAACTAAGTGAAAAGCTTTTGCAGAGGGAACAAAAGGTGAGTTGTTTACAGTTCTGAGTCAGTCAAGTTGTACAGTGGTACCTCGGGTTAAGTACTTAATTCATTCCGGAGGTCTGCTCTTAACCTGGAACTGTTCTTAACCTGAAGCACCACTTTAGCTAAAGGGGCCTCCCACTGCTGCCGTGCCGCCAGAGCACGATTTCTGTTCTCATCCTGAAGCAAAGTTCTTAACCCCAGGTACTATTTCTGGGTTAGCGGAGTCTGTAACCTGAAGCATATGTAACCTGAAGTGTATGTAACCTGAGGTGCCACTGTATTGTGTTCTGGGTCAAGCAGTTTGCCATCTTTGGTAAATACTCAGTAGTTCTTTTTTTTTTTTTACTCAGTAGTTCTTTGAACATTTAATTGCTCCCTCCCCTGGCATTTTGGAAATCCTTACAATCCCCCATGTGTGAACCAACAATCGAAGCATGTTATAAACACTGGCAAAGTTAAGTAAATTAGTTAAGTAAATTTCCATAGATTGTACCCTGAACTAAATAAATGTCAGTATACTTATATAATGGACAATATTGTCCTTTTGTCACAATTGAATTGAATTGTCACAATTGAAAACAGTGAATAATGTTTCCCCCCCTGAAACTAGCTGGAAGATGTCCAGAAGAAGTGCAGTGCTTATGGAGAAGAGTGTGCAGAACAGAAAGCAGTTATTACTGCATTAACAGAAAAAATAACCGCCTTTCAAGAAAAGGTAAAAAAGGGCAAACTTTTGTTGTGGCTTCTTACATAAATAGGTTGGATTCAATGAAGTTGTCTGGTTTGTGCAAGGATTTCTGCTTTGGCAACATAATTCACCCTCCCCTCTTTCTTCCCCCCTCCCAATTTGTTCCAGACCCTCCCGGAACAGGTTTGAAGTGGAGGCATGCAGGGGTAGTAGAGAAAGGGCAAGTTGTGCAAGTGGAAGTCCTTGGGTAAACAGAGCAACTTCATTAGATACAATCCATTGTCTGTTTAGTGATATATGTAATATATGAGCAATAAAATAACAAATAGCTATAAACAGAACTGTAAAAGTAGTTTCATTAGCCCAAGGAAACTTAGAGGCTCATTTTTCCTGAAAAGCAGCTCCTTATGCATCATATCAAAATGTAGTTGAAACAAAGTAAGATGGCAACAGTATATGGTATACACATCATATCATGTATATATGATATGGTATACAATAAGATACGACAACAGTTAAAAGAAAAAGTATATGGCAACAGTATATTATATGGAAATAGGAGGTGGCCACTCATCCAGTTGGGGGGGGGGAGAAAAGGAAAATTAAATTGCGTTAGCACCATCCCTTTGCTACTTCCTCAAAATTATGGCTTTCTGGGTGAACCTAAACATCTTTTTGGATTCCAACTACAAATAGTACTGTTGAGTTAATATTAAATTTTGGACACTTAGACATTTCCCCCCCTTTATTTTTGTTTTCAGACCATGAAACAGGATGCTGCCATAGAATTAATGCAACTGGATCTTGAACAGACAAATGAAGAACTTGATAGATTAAACACAAGTCATTTAGAAGAGAGGTCTCAACTAATTCAAGACCTCCAGAGGCGTGAAAGAGAATTTGACAACCTCAGAGAGGTTTTAGCTGAAAAAGACAAAGAAATTTCTGCTATTACTTCAAATATAAATGCATATTCTGAGCAGATTAATATTCTGAAATGCCAGATCAAGTGCAAAGAGGATGAAATGCGAGACATGGAAGAAGCACTGTTCAAGGCTGAAAGGGAAGCCCAGTTGCTGAAAGATGTACAAACCGAAGATGTGAACAGTGCAGGCAGAAAGCTTTCAGAACTTTCTGAGCAGTTAAGTGCAATAAAATCAGAACTGGCAGAGGTGAAAACTGAAAACGCTATTAAAACAAAAGAGAATGAAGAATTTGTTAGGCAAATCAAAGAGACTAGCCAAACAGTTAAAGATCTTCATTCTGCAATCAAGACTCGTGATGTTACTTACAACAACAAACTCATGGAGTGTGAGTCACAAATTAAATTGCTTAAAGAACAAATAAGTAAATCAGCTAAAAAATTGCAAGAAACAGAAATAAAATGTAAGGAGGAAACAGACCATCTTAAATCCCAGGTCGATGAACATATCTCTGCAAAGGAGAAATTGAACAAATTACTAAAAGAAAAAGAAAACAAAGAACAAAGTTTTGTGAATGAGCTGAAATCAGTGAAAGATTCACACAACCAGCTCACTTTAGAAAATGCTAAAAAAGATGAAGATTTAGCTAATTTATCCAGACAACTTGCTGAACATACTGAGCATCTAGAAATTGTCAAAAAGTCACTGCAAGAAAAAGCAGAGATTGTGATATCCCTAAAAGACAAGCTCAAAGTTGTGGAGCAGCAAAATGAACAGGAAAAGCTTAAGTTAGTTAGAGAACTGAATAGCAAGGAAATGCAGTGGAGAGAAGTTAATAATGAGCTGCATGAAAAACATGAAATAATTAATAAGATGGAAACCGAAAGACAAACTGTCATCATGACTAACAAGCAGTTACAAGCAGCTCTTGAGGAGAAAGAAAAAGGTTTTGCAGATCAGCTTAAAGCCAGTGAAAAGCTTAGAAATGAGATACGTACTATGGAGAAAGAGAAGCAACAGCTGATTAGTGAGAATGAGAGTTTGTCAAAATTACTGGATGTGAAAGAGTGTGAACTGTTAATGCGTGTTCAATCCATGGCTGAGTTGGAGAGTAAGTTGTGTGCCAATGCCACAGAACACCAGAAAATGCTTTCAGAGGTCAGTCACGATAAAGAGACTTTAAGAAGGAAAGTTGAAGAACTCTCAGGCCTTGTAAAGCAAAAAGAAAATTCACTTGCAGAGCGGTTACTGGGGAAAGAGAAACAGTGTGGCATTTTAGCTGATGAGCTCTCCAGAAGCAGAGAGATAACAAAGGAATTGGAGAAAGAAAGACAGTCTTATATCACTCAGTTAAAGGATGAGCAGCAAAACAAAGCATTGCTTCGGACAGAGTATGATAAGATGGTCCAACAGCTTAATCGGGAGGAGGAAAAAACCTCATCATTACAGAAACAGGTTAAAGACCTAGAAAATGAGCTTAAAATAAAAAGCAGATCTATTGAAGAAAAAACTGAGCATGGTGATGCATTACTTAAGCAAGTAAAAGAAAAGCAAGCTATCATGACTGTGTTAGAAAAAGAAGTAGAAAAGCTTAAATGTGATAACATAAAGCTATCTCAACAGCTTGAAGACAAAGACAGTACTCTATTATTTAAAGGGGTGGAGTTTGAGGATCTTTGCAGGCAGATTTCACAAAAAACAGAAGAGTGTACCAAATTAAATGATCAGCTAGCACTATTAGTGAAAGAAGTGGATGTTTTGAAACATGAAAAGGATAGTGCTTTGGCTGTTTGCAATGCTAAGTCAAATGAATGCGATGCTTTTCAGCATCAGTTAACACAGCATCAGTCTGAAATTGTGTCCACAAAACATGAAGCTCATATGCTGAAATTAGAAAATGAAAAAATGAAAGCAGATATAGAAATAGCCAGTGCTACATTAATGAAAAATTGCGAAGGACTAGTGCCCTTAAGTGCACAATTGTCTCAGCAAACTAATAATATTTTAGTTTTTATGGACCAAATTGACACCTTAGTTAGCGAAATGAAAACATTAAAAAGCAGTTTTTGTGATAAAGAGGCTCTTCTTTCCCAGAGGGAAGTTTTGATTCAGGAAATGAAAGAAAACAAAGATGTAGATGAAAAGCATAATTTGCAAATTATTTCAGATTTGCAAAGTCAAGTACAGGTTCTAGATAGTGAAGTTAGTCAACTTACTCAGGAAGTGCAAGAGAAAGAGAATAAATTTAAGAAGCAAGATCAAGAGTTAAAATTACTTAAAAGTAAATCTGACGAGTCTAATTTTCTTAGAGTTCAACTGTCTGAGAATATGGAAATAATTTCTGATCTCCAGAGTCAACTTAAAAATATGATAGAAAACAATGAAGTATTAAACAAGTCAATTACAGAGAAAAATAACTTTTTAAAACAAAAGGAGAAGGAATGTATTGATTTACAAACATGTATTTCTGAGACTTCCTCTGTGCAGCATAAACTTGTACAGTGTTTGACCTCTGAAGCAGAAATATTAAAAGCAGTCATTGTGGAGAAGGAGTTAGCAGTGAATAACATTTCACTGATTAATAGTGAACTGAAGGCTGAACTTGAAGATAAAAAGAATGAATGTGAGACTTTGAAGACGCAAGCTACTGATGCAGAAGAATCAAATCTTTGTTTGAAAAAGGAAATAAGTGATCAGAATAAATTAATAAATGACATTAGCCAGGTGCTAGCAGAAAAAGAGGCTTCTGTTTTGGATCCTACTAATCTTGTGAAAACCCTAAGAGAGGAACTAAAAATAAATGAAGAAAAGTCACAGTTAATTTCTCAACTTCATAGTCAAAGAAATGAACTGAACCAAGAAATTCAAAAGTTAAAAGAACTAGCCCAGGAAAAAGAAAACATTTTCTTAACTTTGCAGGGCAAATTTGATGCTCTGTATGAACAAAAAAATGAACTCAGTGCTTCCCTGAGTAAAAAAGAAGAGATTTTCACTGGGTTTCTTAAAGATATCGGTGTTCAACTATCAGAAAGCAATGTTCAGGCTCTTACCAATGATACTGAGCTACTTAGAGAAGAGCTAGATAAAAGTGCTGCTACACTAAAAAAGCTTTTGCAAGAGAAGGATGGAAGCATTGCCAGTAGCCAGATGAAAATTGACTCTTTGATAGTAGAAATTGAATCTGCAAAATCAGAGCACCATAAAGCATTAGAACAAGTTGAGCTGTGGAAGCAAAATATTCAAGAGAGAGAGAGAGCTCTACAGGTTGTACAGGAAAAATGCACTGAACAGGCTAATCATATTGAATATTTAAATTCTGAGGTCATAGAAAAATTGCAACAACAAATAGATTCTTTAATAAATGATAAAGCTCTTTTACAAGAGAACTTTGATAAACTGAATCTGGAAAACAAAGACTTGGTTAAGTACCAGAAGCAATTAGAGAAAAAATCTGAAGAGCTAAAAGAACTTCATGAAAAATTAGAAGCCAGTGAGAACAGATGGGTAGCAGAACATGCTAGGGCAACTCAGCAAAATGATGTTAATCTTGAGCAACTGAGTAATTTAGAAAGGAAACTGAAATCAAAAGAGGATCAAATTCAATCTTTGCATCAAGAACAGGACATTATTCAAACAGAGTTGGCCAAACATCTGTCTGCATTGTCAAGTAGTAGGTACTTCCTCAAAGACAGTGACAGTGACGCTGGTCAGCAAGTAGCTAAGACTGTATTGGAAAAATTCTCTGCTGTGATAGATACTATTATCAGCAAAGAAGCTGAAGCAATGGCACTGCAGCAGACTATTTTAGAGAGAGAGAAAGAAGTACATCACCTGAATAATCAGCTAGAAAGCATGTTGTCCTTGAAGGAAGAGAAAGAGTTGATGCAGAATGACTTTAAAAAGGCCAAAGCTGCTGACCAATCTGAGATTGAACATCTGTTAAATGAACTGAGTACTGCTAAGGATGCATTACGTAGGCAGCAATCTGTCTGTGAAGAAAAGGACATTGCATTATCAAACATGAGGAAGGAGGTGGTTTTCCTCCAGGAGAAGACAGATAAATTAGAAAAAGAGCTTGAAAGTAGTTGCAAGACACTGAACACCGAATGTCAAAAAGCAGCAAAACTTTTAGAAGAAATAGAGCATAAAAACCAGATGATAGAAAACTTTAGTTCCCAAACTAACCAACAGAAGGATTTAATTACTTCTCTAAGCCAGCAGTTAAAAGAAAAGGATTGCTCAGTTTCTCAAGTCATGGAATCCATGTCTAATGAAATGGTAAAATTCTCTGAGGAAAAAAATGTGCTTGCTATCGAATTGCAACAACTAGAAGCCATAAGGAAGAGCATGACAGAAGAGGTAAGTACATTATCACAGCAGGTAGAAGAATATAAGAAAGAACTTGAACTCAGTCAAGTTGTGTTGACCAACAAAGAAGCTACCATAAAAGACTTAGTGTGTGAGAAGGCGCAGCTAAATATTACTTTGGAAAAAATAAATCAAGAAAAAGAGAATCTGAAAAAGAAACTTCAAGCAGCTTTGCTAATAAGGAAGGACTTAATTCAGAAAAATGAGAAGCTTGATAAAAAGACAGAATGTTTTCTGGAGCAAATTGATGACTTAGTAAAGCAGGTTGAAAATGCTGAAGCTCACAACAAAGATCTCGAATCCCAACTTGAAGGACTGAAGACACAATTGTTAGAAAAAGATGTGAAGATAAATGACATGAGTGAAACCTTATCAGCCAAGGCAGAACACTTGGAGCAGCTGGAGAAAGCAGTTACAGAATTCAAAGCTGCTATAGCTGAACAAAAAAGTATGTCTGATAAGAACTTGATCCATCTTCAAGAGAAGGATTGTCTGCTTGCACAAATGGAGTCTGTGCTGAATGAGAGAGATCAAATACATAGAGAGGAACGTTCACAACTTTTCTTAACCATAGAAAATCTCAAAGGTGAAATAGCAAAGAGAGATGAAACATTCAAGGAAACGAATGGGTCGGAAGCTACCCTAAATACCGAAAGTTCCTGTAGTAACAAAACACACCAACCTAATGAAATGAATCCAGTCACTGAGCTGCAGAAAGACAAGGAAATCCTGCAAAAGAAACTTAAGGCACTGCTTGTGGTCCGCAAAGAAAGCACTAAACAAATTCAGAAGCAAAAAGAAGAACTTGCTAAGCTACGAGGAGATTTTAATGAACTAACAAAAGACTTTGAGCTCATTAAAAAAGAAAAGCAAGCACTCCAGGAGATTCATCAGAGAAAGTGTGAAGAATTTGACTCCAATTTATTGCTTTTATACTCTCTGCAGAAAAAGTTGGACACCGATACATCTCTTAGGTACAGTGAAAATGCTCAGCAGAAAACATTAGAGTCCGGGGAGCTAAATGTGAAGGCTGATGTCAGGGTTGAAAAATCAGGAAAGACGGTAAGTATGATGACAATGGAAGAGTCTGAGATGGCGAAACTTCATGAGAACTATGCTAGACTTATGGAAGAAAAAGAAAAGTTTAAGGAAGAGTTAAAAGAGAAGTCACTTGAACTTGGTAGCGTACAGCAAGAAGCAGTAAAACTGAAGATTTCTGTTGAGCAACAGGAACAGCAGTATAAACAAGAGAGAGACAATATGTTGATTGAACAAGGTCTGCTAAAGCAACAACTAGAATCATATAAAAATGAATTGCAAGCTGTTAAAACTATGGTTGAAACTCTGAATAATGAAAAGAGTCAGCTCCACAGAAAACATGAAGATCACCTAACAAGTCTGAAAGAAACTGAAAGACATCCCAGTGAAGAAAACAAGCAACTATTGATGGAATTCAATATGCTGCGTGAGAAGGTTTTGCCAGTTTCTAGTGCATACAAAAATGTGGCAGGTGTAAGAGAGGACGCAAAAACTCTGTGGCCGCATTCTGATAATGTGCTGGAGAACAGTGTTCAAGGCCAGGATTTCTGTAGTTCATTGGAAGATGTCACTTGCACAGAAAGAGAATCGCTAGATGTCACTAATACAGGAATAAAAACATTAACTGAAAGAATAGGTGATCAAGATCCTCTACCAACAGAAATGTCTCGGGAACGGATAGAAGAAAATGTAAATGGCAGAAGCTATCAACCTCAACTGCAGAAGTATGATGCTGAAGAGAAAAACAGGGAACGTCTCCAAAGAAAGCTCCAAGCTGCTTTAATATCACGTAAAGAAGCATTGAAGGAAAACAAAACTCTTAAAGATCAAATGGAGTTACTAGTTTTGGAAAACAAAGAGTTGGTTGGTAAGGTTCACACCCTTGGACAGCTGAGGTCTGAGTTGGGTAGAGAAAAACAAAACTTGAGTACTGCACTGTATAAAGAGGAGACTCTTGTGGCAGAAAATGCTAGATTGTTAATTGAAAATGAAAACCTAACTGCTGCGTGTGAGAGTCTGAAGTCTACCATGCAGACCATAGGGCAAGAGAAGGAAGCTTTTTCTTTTCAATTGAATTCCTTAAAAGATTCTCAGACAGTTGAATTAACAGGTTGGAAAGCTAAACACAGTGAATTAAAGCAAGAGTATGAGTCTCTGCTTCAGGCCTATGAGAATATTAGTAGTAAAATAGCAGAAATGAGGCACATTATTGATGTCACTAGAAAAGAAAAGCAGGAAGCTCTTCACAGAGTAAATGAGAGAGAAGCTGACACACATAAACTTAAGGAGCTGCTTCAAAAAGCAGCTGATGAAAGTGTACAACTGAAACAGCTGACTGAAGCTAAACAGAAGGAAATAAGTGAGCTAAAGATTGCAGCTGAAAAGCAAGCATCTGAGCACAAGTTGTGCTTGGAAGACTATCAAAGAAAAATTGATGAATCTGTTTTTCAGAGCAAGCAGCTAATGGAGGAAAATAAGCAATTAAAGGAAGTTTCTGAAATTTTAAAGCAAACCTTGGAGAAAACAGAGAAGGAAAATGAGGAGCTTTCTAAGGATTTTAGTCTAACAAAATCTGCTCTCGGGGACCTCCAAACACGGTTGGAATTGAACAAGTGTGATGTGCAGTCCAAGATAAGTGATTCCCTCTGTGAAAGAGAGTCGTTATTAAAACACATTCATTTGTTAAATGAGGGGATTTCAGAAAAAGAGAAAAGCATGTTGATCTTAAAGCAAGAGAACAAAACTTTGTCAGAAAGGTTGAAAGATGCTGAAAAATCTCTGCATCAGAAGGAAAGCTCTTTATTAAAGTTGGAAAACAATTGTAAAAATCTTAATCAGGAAATAGTCAGTCTTGGTGAAAGAATTAAAATATTAGAGGATGATAAATGTCTCTTACAAGAAGAATTAGAAAATGTTCAAGAAATATCTTATAAAGTAAAAAATGAGAGAGAATTTTTGGAGACAGAGTTGCTCAACCACATCAAAAAATTGGATCAAACAACAGACAGACTGAAAGCCACACAGATGCAAAACAGCCTCCTTGTAGAGCAGTTGGAAAATTTGAAAGCAGAGAAATGCAACACAATAAGAGAAAAAGAAGAACAGCAGCATCTGGTCAGAGTATTTGAAGAAAAACTGAAAACTGCTCAGAGAGACAATCATGAGACAAAAAACAAAACTAAAGAGTTGCAAGAACTTTTGAGGGGAAAACAACAGGAGATCAACCAGTTGCAAAAGGATTCTATTAAATACCAGGAGATGATATTGGACTTGGAAAAATCTGTGAAACTGTCACATTCAGAAAGTGAAAAAATTGAGAAAGATTTAAACAGTGCAGAAGGAAAGCTTGCAAAATCAAATGAAGACCTGCAGAAGCTAACTGAAAAACTCTGTTTACAGAATATCTCACTGTATGAGTCAAAGGCTGAAATAGAGCGACTTGCAAAGGACAACCTACGTAGTAAAAATGAACTTAAAAAGAAAGAAAACAGAATATCAAATCGAAAGAGAGAATTTGAGAGCCAATTGGAGTTCAGCCTTCAGCAGGTAAAAGCAGCTTGCCTCGTTTCCTCATAAGGGGATCAGGGAGCTTTTTCTGGCAGTGACACTGGAAGTATTAAGAGAAGCATGGGCAGCAAAGTGTGGATCATTAGCAAGCAGGGAGCCAACTTCATTGGCAGAGAAGGTATCCTTTGTCTTGTCCTGCCAGAGTTGTGATGAGAGGAACAGAACCTCCTGTGTGATGAGTAGATTTACTTTGTGGGATGCTGGAGCCAATGGGATGGGCTATGTCCTCATCACGTGAGGAGCAAAGAGTTGTGTGAAGCAAGCTGGACTCCTGAGTTTTTTCCTCCTGCCTGACGCAGCAGTCATTCGTCCTGGCTCTCCTTTTTCGTCAGATAAGTCTATCTTGTTTCATCTCATCTTCACCTCCTTGTCATTTTCTCTAGATTTCTGTCTTTAACAAACAAACGAACAAACAAACAAACAAACAAACAAACAAACACAAACTTCTCCTCAAAACTCTCATTTAAAGTCTTTTGGTGGCTATCACCACAGCTAGACGAGTGTCATAACTTTCTGCTCTTTTGACAGCTTGACATGTGTTTTTCATAAAGACAAGGTGGTTTTATGTATAGTTTCTTCCTTCCTTCAGTACTCTCTAGATTTCATGTTCAACAAGAACTGGTTTTACCAATCTTTTGTCCTAACGCTAAATATCCCAGGGGAAAAGCATGACATTCCTTGGACGCATGCAGAGCTCTGAAAGTATACATTCATTGGACAAAGGCTTTCCAAAAAATAGACTCTGTATTTTTATCCTTTCACCCATCGTCCTTGGGGGTTAGGGTCAGCAGTGCTACTTTGGTGAGGTGGATTAGAGCCTATATTTTCCTTGCTTATGATTCCTTCAAATTGCCCCAGCCAACTCAGGTGCTTCTGCACTCAACAAGGTCAGCTTCCACCTCTGCAGCCTTCATGGCTAACACACCCTTGCTGGATATCTGTAAAGCCTTCGCCTGGTCGTCCACCACCACTTTTAGTAAAGGTAAAGGTACCCCTGCCCGTACGGGCCAGTCGTGTCCGACTCTGGGGTTGCGCGCCCATCTCGCTTAAGAGGCCGGGGACCAGCGCTGTCCGGGTCATGTGGCCAGCGGGACAAGCTGCATCTGGCGAGCCAGCGCAGCACATGGAAATGCCGTTTACCTTCCCACTAGTAAGTGGTCCCTATTTATCTACTTGCACCCGGGGGCGCTTTCGACGCTTGATCTTAGCCAAAAGGCCGAGAAGCGATCGCTTTCGAACTGCTAGGTTGGCAGGCGCTGGGACCGAGCAACGGGAGCGCACCCCACCGCGGGGATTCGAACCGCCGACCTGACGATCGGCAAGTCCTAGGTGCTGAGGTTTTACCCACAGCGCCACCCGCGTCCCCCACCACTTTTACCAGACATTATAAACTGGACTGATTGTCTGCAGCTGAGGCAGTCTTTGGCCATACTGTTCTCCATCAGGTTTTACAACCGGTGCATCTTCAGATCTGGGACCCACCCATTTTCTGTTCATCTGTTGTGGTATGTCCCATCCTATTGGCTCCTGCATCCCACGAAGTAAATAGAACAATTGGTCTTACTTGAAGTGTGGATTTGCTGGTAGGGATGCTGGAGCCAAGGGAGATTTCCGATGCACTTTACTGAAGATATAGTCTATTGATAATAATTTCCTTGCCTTTCAGATACCTAGTACATTTCTTCCTTTAGATTTTTGAGCAGAAGTAGGCAGACCTTTTATTTCAGTGACTCCATCAGTGTTTGCCTCTTGGCAAATCCGGAAAACTGAGGAGTCCAGCCTGCTTCACACAATTCTTTGCTCCTGCCTAGCGTCACATGACGAGCCCATCCCATTGGCTCCAGCATCCCTACTCGCAAATCTACACTTCAGGTAATACCAATTGTTTTATATATCTGTGCCCCAGAGGTTTTCTGAGGCTTAGATATGTTGATCCGAGGTCCGTGAGTAGGTTGGAGTCCCCTCCCTTCTTTGCACTTAATTAGAAATAAATGCAAGAAGAAACATGTTTTGTCCTGGCTAAGAAAAAAGCCTAATTTTCCAGCCAGAATTTGCAAGAAAAATTGTTTTCAAAACAATGGAATGCAATGGAAATATAGAAGTTCCACTTAACATTACCAACTTCTGTATCATTTTTAATTATTTTGTCTAAGGGATTGGAAATGGTTGCTCTTAATTAATCTCATCAATAGTTGCTTGTTTTCTTCACTGACATGTGTTAATGTCTCTTTCATATTGAATAATTCTATATTTGCTTATGAATTCCTCTCTCTCGTCTCATATCTTCCAACACAATTTTAAAATGCTTTGCTTCTTCTTGACTTTTGATTTTTCTTGACTTTTTGGCAAACTTGGTTGTTAATTGTGAAAATTCTTTTATTATTTCCTTTCCATGATCAAACTTGCCTGGGGAGTTGTCCTACCACAAAATCCAATTTAATCAATTTCTGAGGACTATATATTGTGGGACTGCTTTTTGCTTTTTCCCCTGAAGAGATGTATCAGTGTCCAACCTTTTCTGCAGAGAGTATAAAAGCAATAAATTGGAGTCAGATTCTTCACACTTTCTCTGATGAATCTCCTGGAGTGCTTTCTTTTCTTTTTTAATGAGCTTCTCTTTTAAAGGCAAGGATGAAAGACAGCAGCACTCTCAATCCAGACTTTCTTTTGGGTTCTTGAGGAGGGGAAAAAGCAACCATAACAGTCATACCTTGGATCTCAAATGCCTTGGGTCCTGAACAAATTGGCTCCTGAACAATCGAAACCCAGAAGTGAGTGTTCCGGGTTTTAAACGATTTTTGGAAGTTGAACGTCCGGTGTGGCTTCCGCGGCTTCCTATTGGCTGCAGGAACTTCCTGCAGCCAATCAGAAGCCACACTTTGGTTTCCGAAAGTTTTGGAAACTTCCGGAATGGATTCTGTTCGACTTCCAAGGTACGACTGTATTGGCAAATGGTAGGTCAGGGGCAGACACCAGCAGAAATAGTTGTGTGTTGTTTTAGGACAGTAGTTCTCAAACTTTTTTTATCTGGGCCACAAATAGTTCTGTGTTGTTTTAGGACTTTTTTTATCTGGGCCACACTTTCAGATTAAAATTTGCTTGTGCCACTCCAATTTTTTTTTTATTCGTAAGAAATATATTGGAAAACCAAAAGAAACAGCTAGCAGTGCTTGATTTATGACATAAAACACAGCTACTTTATATTATTATTATTATTATTATTATTATTATTATTATTATTATAACTTATTGACCGCACTATACCCAGAGGTCTCAGGGCGGTTCACAGAATAAAATGTGATCATAGGACACCCAAAAAGTATAAAGCAACGCAGCTACATAAGAACATGAATCAACCTCAAAATAGAATTATAAACGAGCCCCTTACATAAGTACCTTAAGTATGTGTACAAACTCAATGAGAGGTGTGAACTTGGTTTTGCCCGGTAATCTCATTTATTTTATATTATATTATATTATATTATATTATATTATATTATATTATATTATTATATTATATTATATTATATTATATTATATTTTATATTTTTGAGACAAATTCCATATCTAACCAAATTCTGCATTTTAAAAAAATTGATATTCTACTAAACAATAGTTTCCTACACTGAAACGTTTAAATGTTTCTTTGATTGCCCTTGAATCTTCCTGCCACACTTATCATTCTTTCCTGCACCACACCCTTTGAGAAACATTGTTTTACGAGATTGATCTGTTCTCAAGTCTTCTCAGGGTACAAGAAAACTCATGAGGTTTGCCTAGTGCTGCGAACCACATTTTCTTCACACTGGTATACTGTCTTAGGTCTTGTTAACAGCTCTGCTTTCCACGGTCCAGGCTGACAGAGGTTTCCACCTTTAAGAAGGACATTCAGGTCTGCTGACAGAGATTTCCGCTCTTAAGAAAGACATTCAGGTCTGATTAAACCAGGAACCAGTTTCTTATCCAAAGTTTGCTTTCACTCCACTCCATAGTTCTTCAGAGCTATCACTTCTGTCATGCACCCAGTTTCTCCCCTGCGTTCCAGAAGTCTTCCTAACAATTGTGGGCATGCATCCTTCCTACTTTAATTATTCATTTTGGAATTAATATAAACATGGAAGTGTTTGCATACAGTACTATATTGTGAAATCACTTAACGGTACTAGACAATCTTTTGATTTTATGAAGTTTCCACATAAGCAGCATATCCCTATTGCTCTGTTTAGGGTGAGACTCAAGCAGAATTCCCTCCAGGAGCTCCTCAAGAAAGAGCTGAAGTCATTGAAATGGACAGCATGGACTTCGTTGAAATCAACGGAAGGTCAGAATTATTTCTACTCATTTGTAAAGTATGCTTTATTAACTGGTCTTAAACCTAGAGCTCATTTCTCTTGATAAGATGTAAGATTATGATATCATAAATTTTAACCACCTAAGATGAATAATTACTGTACAATAATCCAATAGGAACAAACTACTACATAAAGCAAACTAGTTTTGCTTTGCATTATTTTTTTTCCTCCTTTGGAATTTGGGTTTGTTCTAGGCTTGCACAGAGGCAAGAACCAACTTTATTGGAATTAATGGGGACTCTCTCAGAAGAGAGGAATAGACGGGAAGCTGCGGAAGAGGCCCTCGGGCTCTTGGAAGAACAAATTAAAAGGTAGCAACACGTGTGAAAGGTATTTGGGGCTGATCTCGAACTGTGCTGATATTGGTAGGCCACAAACAGGCAACCTGTAATGTGCCCATGCATGCGACCTTTGGTCACTCTCATTGCAGCCCACCAAACTCTCAGGGGACCTGGCCCCGCTTTATTCAGTGTACAGATGGTCAACTGTCAGACTGGTTCATGGGAAAGATTGCTGGCTGCATCAGGAATGCTGGGGGCAGGGTGAAGTTAAAACCTTCCTCCCCCACAGTGATCCCCATCCCCATTTATGAATATTACTGTCCTGTTTTAACCTCCCCACAACACTGTCCTGTTTTAACCTCCCCACAACACTCCAGATGCAGCCCAGGACATCAGTCTTCTTCATGAACCTGGCTGATGGTTCATCAGTAGGGCTTCCTTTGTCCACTGCAGCCAATGTCATGGCCCCACACTGCAGACCTGACCACCCAGCTAATCAGATGGGTCAATAGCAGATAGTGAAGGACTGTATCTGAGAGAAAATAGGAACTGAGCTGGGAAGAGGGGAGAATGGATGCAAGAACGGCTGTCTGAGAGCATGAATTTTGGTATGAATGAATGTGTCCGTGTGTTAAACTCACATGCTGGGGAGGCCTGGCCAGATAGGTGGGGTATAAGTAATAAATTAGTATTCTTTATTAGAGAGATGTATAGTGTGTGTGTGTGTGTGTGTGTGTGTGATAAGTATATGTGTGCTTTTCATGTTCCTGCCCACCACCAGTGCTGGCCAAGCCCAACAGCATCCCTAAACACTGATTGCATTGGAGCAATTTATCAATAAGACTCAATAAGTGCTCCATATTTGACATATACATCTCATACATCTATTGCTGTAGATTGAATGGCGTCTCCAGACCTAGGCAGAATAATCCGTCCTCTCCCCCCTGCTGTTCTTAAGGTTCTCATGGGTCCACTGAACCAATTCCATGGGGTGGGAGTGGGGAGAGTGGGGAATCCCTGTTGTGCAAGCAGGGGTCCTTGTGCAGGGCTTCCACTGAATCCTGCCCTATATATTACAGTATACCCCATCCATGTATATGCTTATGAACATGATGCAAGCAGCATGGGCTTCAAAGCCAGTTACTTGCTGTTTCCAGAATAAAGGTTACTACTCCAATAATAAAGGAGTGTTAATAAAATTGTAATGAAATTACCTATTCCATTTAACTACAGGATCTGACTCAGTTCAGATGAACCAGGTTCCTTAAAAGGGCTGATATCCCAAGTTAAAATTCAAAGAATGATCAGCATAGATAAATAGCAGTTTAAAAGTGTCCTGAATCTGATAAGCCTTTTGCATTTCTTTTTTTAGGCTTGAACTGATTGATTCCAGGTCAGCATCTGAACAATGTGCTTTTCAGGTAGAAGAAGAGGAAAGGCAGCCTTTCATCATCAACGCTAGTGAACTTACGGTAGTACGTAAGGTAAGCCTATAAATCTTAAAAGTAAATCTGATACATTATTTTCTTTAATGTGGATGACTAATACCAAATTGTAAGTCATTTATTTTCAAAAGGGTTTTCGCTGAAATACTGGTGTTAACCTTTAAAATACCTGAATATTAAAATTGTTTCCAGCAATTGAATTAGAGAGCAGTACAACTTTTTTTTAAAAAAAAAAAACCCCAGAACACTTCTCCATTAGTTTGCTAAGGCTTAAGATGTATATATTTTTGCCCTATGTAAGTGATTCTGCCCTTGTCACATCAGCAGGCAATGTTAATGGGCACAACGAAACATTCTTATCATCAAGATAAGGCTTGTGTTGATTGGTTGGTTGGCCAAACATAAAAATGTTTGTGTATGGGAAGGTGAGCTATTATGGTATCAAAGATACAGATATTAAATTGGAGCATGTTTCTGTTCTGATTCCAAATTACATAGGTTGCTATCCTATTCCTACTTCACTGTGCTCTACCGCATAAGTAGATAGAAAGTACGGTACTTTTACATGCACAGAGGTACAGGTCTGGTGGTGGCCCATTGAGTGTCATTGGGTGTTCCTCCAGAGGGCACCAAACCTTAGAGGAATCTTTTTTGAGGCCATGGGGCACTGACGCTGAAAGGAGATAATTTTAAAGCCCTCATGTGCAAGTACTCGACCACTCATGGCTCTTCAGATCACCCCCTAATACATGTCTATTTTCCCTCTGCAAATCAGGGTGGCCAAAAAAAGAGAAAGCCTTAGAAAGCTTGCTTTCCCCTTGGTGATGGGGGTGGGGTGGGGAATGGGGTGTGGGCAGATAGGAAGAGTATTCGATCATAGCTGAAGTAATTTGGAAAATCCTTCACTGTGAAATTAGGGGGTGGGAATACTAGATTTCCCCATATTTGTAATGGTAGCACACCTCAATTTTGGGAAATTTAGATTCCCAGATTGTTACTGGACCACATGCTATCTGTTCTCCTTCCCTCAGTAATGATATCTTAGAAGTGGGCCTTGCTGTGGCAGCACTGACCTTCTGGGAAGCTCTTTCTTTTGCAGTATAGGAGTCTGCAAATGTGATGAGCTTCAGATGACAACTGAAGACTCAGCTGTTCTGATAGGCTTTTCCTGGCCTATCAGATGTCTTTAAAGTGTCTGCTTTGGGGTTGTTTTGCCTTTCTAGGATTAGGGTATTTCAGTATTGTATTTATTTTATAGATTTATATCCCAAAAGAGTCTTTGAGTGTTTAACAAAAGATGTAGTTGTAATCTTTTGTAAACTGGTTAGTTAGATACTGTTTTGGTACATAACTATATGAAATATAAATAAATGCAACAGTTGCTATAGGAACTCCATGGAAAACAAATGATCCACACCTGGGCTCTTAAAAATTGAAAAGCATTTATTACACAAGATGTCAGTCATTATATATATCGGTCTCTACACCACTGCTCCACATTACAAAGTGGTTGCTGGAGAATCATCAAGGTTCATAATATGATGCTAAGTTGTTGTGTTGTAAATACTTCAGTATCTTATGGCATAGATGTGGATCACTTGCAATTGAAAGCAATAAAGACCCTACACAACATACCTATGACACACTTTTTTCTCATTTAATTCCACCTTTTGTGTTTATTTTTGTGGGTTTGATTGGAAAGCATGAATACCCAATGCTAATACGATCAAATGCTTCTTTTCTAAACAGGTAAAAAGAGGAGCCCTTTCTTTCAGGAGATGGATTCGGGGACAAAGACTTTGCCGCTCCCAATTGCTGACTTGCAGGGCAAAATCTCGCTATTTCTTTCTCAGTTACTTAGTGGCCCTGCATCTTTTTGTTTTCTTGCGTCTCACAGGCATCTTATAAATGGAAAAGCTCAGAATGACAACCTTTCCCCATATCATCAGTATGTAAATATTAGCCAAACTACTCTTTTTTGTTTAACTCCACCATCCCAAAAGGCCACATCTCTGGGCCTATTCTGGGCCAGTCTGTCCTGCAAGGAAGGATGGTCTCTCTGAGCTTCCCAGAAACTAGTCCAGGACCATGGAGTGCTTTATTCATTTTGATAGACTGAGACAAAGACAAAGTTGTTTTTATTTAATTATCCGCTGTTTGTTCATTTATTCATTTTGTATTGATAGATTGAGACAAAGCCAAAGTTGTTTTTATTTAATTATCCATTGTTTTTATTTAATTATCCGATATCCACAAACACAGTTGAAAATGTTCCTTGCATATTGAAATAAAGTGTTTATTCTGTTTGTGTCCTTGTATTATAGCATCATTCTAATATAGCATGTGGTCGATAATTTCTCAAGAGTCCAAGATCAGATAGATCTGTAGTGATCACAATACAGTGGTACCTCTGGTTAAGTACTTAATTCGTTCCGGACGTCCGTACTTAACCTGAAACTGTTCTTAACCTGAAGCACCACTTTAGCTAATGGGGCCTCCTGCTGCTGCCACGCCGCCGGAGCACGATTTCTGTTCTCATCCTGAAGCAAAGTTCTTAACCTGAGGTAATATTTCTGGGTTAGCGGAGGCTGTAACCTGAAGCGTATGTAACCTGAAGGATATGTAACCCGAGGTACCACTGTACAAAAAAATAATAATAATTACGTAGAATGGTTTTGCACCAAAATTAGTCACTGGAATAAAGCCTTGTAAAACTGAAAGTGCTTTTAGTCACTCAGCAATCTCTTCCATGTTGAAATATGTAGCAATCACAGTGAAATTATGGTTGGAAGAGGAGGTAGTTCCAAGCACCATCTCCAAAATTACAGGAATCCATTATTTTCATGAAAAGATCACTTTAAAGGCATGCAATTCCAAAACAGTGGCAGTTGTTCAAAGATCAAACATGTTTATACAATAATCACATCAGCAGTTGTTGACACTGAGAAAGAGACATGCATGCACAGATAGCTTTCCTTCGCTGTGTCCTACGTGGCAAATTAACATCTGGAAAGCAAACTTGGTGGGAAAGGCAAGTGGGCCCATAGTTATGATTGAACCAGGAAGTGTCTAAAGAGATGTGACAGCTAAAGAGCTGATTGTTAAAACGTGTCACATAAAATGAAATTGTCTGCTGAGTCCCAAAGGAAACTACTAGCAACTGAACTAGCATCTGATTAAGTTGTCAGATATGAACATTCAGAAGAAGAAAACATGCCTACTGCGAAGTCCTCAACTGCAAGTGCTTTCTGTTTGCTATTAGAATAAAAAGACTTCAGAGGGGACTATTATGCTTCTGTGAGTAGTAGTTTCCATTTGCTATTGAACTCATGCCAAATACTTAGCTGCTTTTAAAGTAAATTGAAGAGTCTAAGAAGTAGTTCAGGGATTTTGTGAAGTGATTATGTGGAGAAAATTGTGGATGCCCATGAAACCTCTGGATTGCAGTGCAAGTGTGATAGCAAGTGTGGTTTTTGAAACTTTTGCTTCTGAGCAAGAGACTTACTAGTAAATTCTTTCCTTTGAGAGTGAAGTCTTATTTAGTGGATTCCAATGCCTAGACACAAGGTGGCTGCCTCAGAGAAATTGGATTTAAGTTCTTGGATATGGACAGAGGTGGGGTACATAGGGTGTGCCAGACACCCACTCAGCTATAATAAATAGAAAAGCAGAGTGTAGCTGTCTGTTAAAAGCTAGAACTTCACTGAGAAGAGTAGATCCATACCGAGAACGCTGGAAGGTCCACATGCTGCTCTCACCTAACAGACTTCCTTGTGAGGATGAATATAATGTGAAGGGGAAGCTTTTGGGAATTTTTCCGAAGCTGGGCTAATAATGGCTGTTGCTTCAAACATGGGTAAATGGGCATATAGGAGTCAATACACAGAAAGAGAAGCTAGCTATGTTTATCAGAAAATTTCACCACCTCTTGTCATAATCATACCATCATTGAGCCCCACACAAGGCATGCTGCAGCATGTAAATATTTTTTCTGAATATATTGGTGTGGAATATATTCCAATTTGCTCTTCATTATGCTGAGGATCTGGCCTAGATGATCAACAAGAGCGGCATAGTAGACAATTTTTGAGATGCCAGGAGTGCAGAAGAAGAAGAGTAGAAGAAGAGTTTGGATTTGATATCCCACTTGATATCCGAAGGAGTCTCAAAGCGGCTAACATTCTCCTTTCCCTTCCTCCCCCACAACAAACACTCTGTGAGGTGAGCGGGGCTGAGAGACTTCAGAGAAGTGTGACTGGCCCAAGGTCACCCAGCAGCTGCATGTGGAGGAGCGGAGACGCGAACCCGGTTCCCCAGATTACGAGTCTACCGCTCTTAACCACTACACCACACTGGCTCTCCATTAAGGCACAGTGCCAATTGGTTTTCACAGTAGAATAATGGATGGGATCCATTATGTCTCATATTGGGAGTAGGGAGAGGGTGGGAATAGGGGCAGAGCTGGGACAGCCAATAGTTCTAAACCAGACTAGTCGCAGATGGAGGATCCAACTTGAGCCTCTGTGGAGCACCAGCCTGGAGGCAGTGTTAGCAAAAATGCACGGTTTCCAGGTGTCCTCTATGTTGCACCTGGGCTTAGATCTATAGATCCAATTGTATGAGTAGAAGCACTTCCATTCTCATATAGAAAATCTCCAATTGCACACATACCCCCAGTGTAAGTCTCTCACATCACCGGCATTATTTACTACCCTGACAGCCCCTTAGGCCTTTGGAGTAGCTTTTTCTGGATGTGAGGGGCCACGGTTTGCAAGACCCCTATACGTGAGTCAAACGTTCTTCTAACACAAGCATAAGTCATCTTTAAGAAGTTTTTCATGCGTGTGTCAGCTCTCTCTGAGCAGAGGAAATTCAAAAGATACTATTGAAAAGTAGGTACTGATGCCAAGCATTTATGAACAATTCTGGATTTGAAAGTTGCCTGATGGCTACAACTCTGTTGCCCCAAGTTAACCCAATGCCTGTAGAGACGGACACACAATACATTTTCCAGTGTTTGAGATACCAGATACTAAAATGTGCTGTAGGCAACACAGATCAAAAGTGCATGACACAGAACTGAAGTAACTGCAATTATCACTTTGTAAGTGACTAGTTGCTGAGTCATATCCCATTTTCAGCATAGAGTCACCTCATCTCAAGATAAGGTGGCTATTTTCTGCCTCTCTACTACAGAATCCTGATAACAACATGTACAGTTTGCTCACCACTACTGTACATGGTAAATTCTGCTTTTGAAACCAGTGCCTGTTAAGTATGAATAGAGTTATAAATAGAGCTCTATAAACATAGAGCTAGGTGCTGATGAAACAAACAAAAACCCTAGTTCTAGGCATGAGCTTAGAAATTATTTCAGCCTATGTGTAAACTGGAAAAGGAAGTGACAAAAGGGAGACTGGCAGAGTGGAGGAAGTGAGGGAAGCCATTGTCAGCACTTTAGAGTGGGAAGGCATCCAATGGCATCAGAAACCCTGCCCTAATTTATCTAGCCCTTTAAGCTGTTGCTTTGATAAGCACAAACTAGAAAAAAAAATGTTTCCAAAAATGGCATGGCAGACCTAGGCGTTCTATGAATTTCATTCCATGAGCTGGATATAAATGAAATAGAAGGTGAGATCATTTCATTTGTTCCAAGGGAGCTATTGCTGTTTTTCACCATTCCCTGGTGTGTTTGGTAAGTATCATCCATATATTGTTTCACCTTTTAGAAGATAAAACAAGACTTGATGTTACTGCAGGTGTGTGTGTGGGGGGGAGAGTATCTGGTCTTCTGAGTACAGTGGTACCTCGGGTTAAGAACTTAATTCATTCTGGAGGTCCTTTCTTAACCTGAAACTGTTCTTAACCTGAAGCACCACTTTAGCTAGTGGGCCTCCTGCTGCCGCTGCGCAGCTGCTGCACAATTTCTGTTCTCATCCTGAAGCAAAGGTCTTAATCTGAGGTAATATTTCTCGGTTAGCGGAGTCTGTAACCTGGAGTGTATGTAACCCGAGGTACCACTGTATACTTGAAGATCTTGTTCCTTGTGAGGACACAAACAATTGCATTCCCTTCTAATTCAAGTTACCCCATTGGAGTAGCATATTAAATAGTGCCTTGATTTTAGATTGACTATCATTTGGTGACTGTCAAAACCACTTGATATCTGATGGAACTGTATGAATTGCTGCTATTCCAGTGGGATACTCTGCAGGTTACTAACACTATAGGCCTAAACAAATTGAATTAGTTACCAATGTAAACCTACTCATCACCCCATACAGGGCTGATGAACTCCACACACGTCTTGAGAGCATACATCTCTCCATGGGGCAGAAGTACTAGTGTTCATGCAGGATGTGATAACATGTCACAGAAAAACGACGAGCCAAATGGTAGAATTGAAGCTTTGGAGATGATTTAAGTACTGCCTGTTTGGCCATACAGAAGTAGGCATCAGTAGAAATCAATTTGCGTCCAGCTGGCTAGCATCCTAATCCTAAATACATTTCTGTGAAACTTGCTTCCATGTAGGATATCAACCCAGACCAGATATGCACTTGGTACTGATAGTTTTGCTACTGTAGCTCCTAGCCCCAAGCTATGTTTTTACACCATCACCCCTGTTCCTTCTTGCCTCCAATTTCTTCTTCCAACTTCTTCTTCTTCCAATTTTGTCAGTCTTGCAGAATCACTTTTTTGCTCTCCTCAAAATAGATCTTTTATCTAAGCAGGAACTAACAAATTGACTTGAGCATAAATGTGGACTAAATGTGTCCATTTTTTAAAAGTGCTTGTTTTTGTGTGCTTTATTCTGTTTTGTTTGTTTGTTTGTTTTTGGCTTTATGCTGTGAAGCAATTTGTTCATTGTTTCTGTTGTTGCTGTGGGCATATGGAATGTTAGAGAAGGGGTAATACCTCTGGTGGGGGACATGTCGTGCTCCTTCTGGAGTAATTTGTCCACCTTTGTTTCCCAACCTGCATTCAGCTGTCACCTGTGGCTCCTAAAAGCTGTCAGCGTGCAACAGCAACCACACCCCAGGAATGGCTTTGTCTGGCTGGCTAAACCAGGCGAGGGTAGCTAATGGGTCTCAGTCCCTCAGTGAGTTAGTGACTTGTCCTGCATGCGAAGACAGGTTCTGGTGGATTGAACAGATGAGAACAATAGTGGGTCCAACAGTCAAGAAGGTGGTTTCTGCATGTACTGTAGTGGGAAGTGAGGAGCAGATAGGGTTCATCAGCCTGGGAAGGTAGCTCATCTAGAAGAACTCTGGTCCTAAACTTCTGCTGCCTTATGAGATACCTTCAGGAGAAGAAAAGACTAAGGAGTAAACCCTACACAAATCTGTTCCTAAGATGATTAGATGGCATCTTGTACACCTCCTTCCGGCAACTCCTGCAGCCAAGCTGGTGCCAAACGTATTGCTCTGCTTTCCTTTGGACCAGCGAGGCAGAGAAAGGAGCCTTGTCTGGGCAGCCCAGAACCTCCATACACATTGCCCAGGCTTGTACCCTGGGAAGGTCACTTTGGTGCTGCTAACACAGCAATTTGACCCCCTCCTCCGGGAGGTGCACACCATTCTCTCTCGAGAAAGACAGATGCCAACAACTGTTGATGCTAGTTGGAGGGACGCACCTATTCCCTTACAACTGAACTTGAAGAATCCCAAACAGAAGGCACATGTGCAAGTTGTCTTTGGTCAGTGGATCCAGACTTGTCTCAATGCACTTCCCAGAAGAGTCCTTTTGATAAGGAATTACAGTTCACAGATACAGAATAGTTCTTGTAAGTGAGCACTTAATGAGAACAGCTGCCATTCCAAAACATTAACCAACACTTTCCAGAGAAGGTCTATTTTTAGATCTTTGCTGCTATGACTGTTTATATCATTGGGAATAATGTAGAGATTTGGTGGTGCTTTAAATAAGATGTTTCTTTAAATCAGGGGTGGGGCTTATGGACCTATGGCCTCCAGATATTGCTGGACTACAGCTCCCATCATAAATGACTATTCGTCATCCTGGCTGGGCAAGATGGAGCCACATGTTGCCCGTCCCTGACTTAAATGGTTATTTTGAACAACGTGTGCATTTTATAATTTCTATGCTTTGAAATGTCCAAAGGTAGCACTTTTGTATTGTCAGTTTAGCAAACCAGCAGATGTGCAGTGGTCATGTGTGTACACACCTCAGCTATGTTTCTACTTGGATAGAAGCTGGTTTAAGGGACAGTTCATTAAACAGCATTGATCACGAAGTTACAGATTACCTGGATTGTGGCTAACTTCATGTGCATCAAACACCAGCCCTGGGAATGCTGGAACTGGACTAATAGTGAGCTAGGTGGACCAACAGTCTGACTCAGCAAAAAGCAGCTCCCTGTGTTCTGTCTCATCCCTGATGCTTGCTCATAATCTTACCATTCTCTCTCACCCTCCCCCCATTTGTATTGTCTACCTCTGGTTCTCTCTGTCTGTTGTCTGTCTATTTTCCATGTGCCACTTGGTTTTCTGTCCCCGCTCCCACTTTCCTTCTTGTACCACTACCCTCTTTTTGTTTTGCTTCACTTATCTTAGGACGTCTCCTCTTGCTCAAGGTCCCTGACTCTCTAAACATATTCCCTTCCACCAGAGCGCAGTGGATTCAGCAGGGTGATGCTGCCGTCTGTTATGTGGAGTGTGGGAAATTTTGGCTTCATGTGGAAACCGGGATTATTTATTTATAATAAAATTTCTAGCCCGCCTTTCCTGCCCGAGTCAACAATATGAAACAAACAAACAAAATCAAAATAATTATATAGCCAGCAATTTAAAAAGTCAAATAAATAACAGCATATCACTAAAACAGCATAAAAAGAGCACAGAGAGCAAACAACAGCTAATGACAGTCAAAAGTTGCTGGAAAATGTAAGTCATTAAATTTTGATGGAGCACAAGTAAAAAGGATCTCTTAGGAACAGATAGAAAAGGCCAAAGTCAAGACATGCCATGATAGATATTCGACGAAGAATGATCTATGATACAATTCAATCCTAAACTGAAGGCCCATATTGTTAGATTTGTACTTCTGAAGCCCATCCCTAATAATAATAATAATAATAATAATAATTTATTTGTACCCCACCCATCTGGCTGGGTTTCCCCAGCCACTCTGGGCAGCTTCCAACAAAGATTAAAAATACATTAAAATGTCACACATTAAAAACTTCCCTAAACATATAGCTGCGTTAACTGATCTTTTAATTTTTCTTATAAATTTTACTCACCCATCTATGCTTAATTAAGTATTCTATGTATATGTTTAAATCTACGTTTGGTTCTTGCTCCTATTTATTTAATAATTATATATACAATATATATTTAAAGGATTGATTCATAAATTTGCTGACTTTACCAGAGAACTTACTCTCTCTCTCTCTCTCTCTTCCATTTTTCTAACATTACATTTCTTAGTTTTAATTATTCCCAGATAATCCAGATCGGCTTTTCCCTGAACCGCTGTTTCCACAGCCTAGGACACTGAGGAGCCATGTGTGATGATGAAGAAACCACAGCCCTTGTCTGTGATAATGGCTCTGGACTTTGCAAAGCTGGATTTGCCGGAGATGATGCTCCAAGGGCTGTTTTTCCATCCATCGTTGGACGACCCCGGCACCAGGTCAGTTTTTATTTTAAGGGGAAATTGTGCCCACAATCAAGAGATGTGGGTCTCCATCTCTACATCTACCACATGCAAGACACTTTTGAAACACAGAACTTCCAAAATAGCATTGCGCATGGGAAACAGGGTTGGGGAAGTGAGGTGTCTGCTGTTCAAAGGGGAAAAGTCCCATGGCATGTTTAAGGCAGGATAAAGAAGGCCACTAAACCATGGTACATGTGCCCAATGAGATACAGGGTTCTTATTCAACGGAATATGTTGAATCGCTCACCAGCAGTAGCTTCAGAGCATCATTTTTTGCTAGAAAGAACAGTGTTAAAGAGATAACTCTTTATCTGCTCTCTATGATTCCATGTTGCCATGAAGAACCACTGCCTATCCCTGATGTGCTTCTTCCCAGACCCATTTGATTTTTGGTTTAACAAGTCTGTTTGGATTTGAGCAGCTGGAAAAAAGATTGTCAACTTTCAGAAGCATCTAGGTTATGATTGGAAACAAAATGCTGGAATAGATAGACCTTTGATCTGATTCTGCAACACAGTTCTTACATTTTTTAAAAGTCCTTAAATTTAATGCTATGTGCATACTGTTACTGAAATACATAAACCATTTTTGGAGCTGCATAAAATTTTGTGGCTGTCATGTCAAGCAACATATATGGTTGATCTTATTTTGCAGTGATGCTTATTAGTAGCTTGATTTGTAAGCATAGTTGTTAAGTAATGCCATAGGTCATCAAGAAATTAACAAGCATCTAGTAAAAATATGTATACAATGGAAAAAACTTATAATTGCCTAATTAATGCAGGCCTAAGGAAACAGAATAAGCATTGCCCATTAAATCTGTTTTTTCCAGTTGTCAGATTAATAATAATAATAATAATAATAATTTATTACGGCCGTAGGCCCATACAGATAAAAACAAGACATAAATAACAGCCTGTGCACATGGGAAAAAAACAGCCGCTAAAACAATACTATAACAATAAGCTACTATAAGATGGAATGGCATACTACGCCTTAATTAGCTTGTGGTGCTCCTTGGCGACGCTTTTGGGTAAGGACAGCGACCAGGAACCTAGCCACTTTCAGGGTCGTATGGGCATCCTTATCCTGCAAGATTTGGGCAAGGTGGAATTTTGGTGGAGTACCCTCTAATTTCTGTATGATTGATCCCAACAAGTTTGCCCGTGGCACCTTAAATAAGGGGCAAGTGAACATAATGTGCTGAAGCGACTCCGGCATCTCCTTATCACATTCGCACATGGCGGAGGTTTGGCCCTTTGAGAATCTATGTCTCAGGACATTGGAGGAAAAACATTAAACCTCGCTTTGGTGAAGGCCAGCCTATGGGCAACAGTCGAAAGGGAGGAGAGGTATGATGGAACGCAATAAGTTAAAGTGATACCAATGTTCTGGGGCGAACAAACACCTCCCCCCAGCATATAATTTTGCTGTAAATCGATGTCATCCAGTCTTTGGCGGATCAGTCTTTGAGCAGTGATTTGATCTAGTTTTAGGGAATCTAAGGGAGAGATTCCATAGCTCAGGAGTTTGGCATGAATTCTACTGGTCCAAAGGCTGGGGAATTCATCTCGCCATAAGCATTGGGCAAGGTAATGGTCTGGTAATCTATGCCACAATGATAACCAATAATTGAAGACTTGCTTCCACAGGCAGGTTTCTAAGGATGCGATCCTCAATTCTAAACGCATGGCTGCGTTGCTTACGCACAGGGGGAGCATTAGGAGCCGACGTAGGAATTGGTTTTGCAAAGTCTCAAGAGGAGCAAGGTCTGTCATCACGACCCAGAGCGGGGCAGCATAAGCAAGCACGGGAACCACTTTTGCCTTGAACACCTTTAGGGCCGAGGGAACATGCAAAGCTCCATCCGAAAAGAAAAATCGGAGGAGCGCATATGACAGAGTTTTGGCCTTATTAAGTAGGTGTTGAATATGTGCTTTCCACCCCAAATTGTATTGAAAAATAACTCCTAGGTATTGAAATTTTAGGACTTGCTCTATTTTTGCTCCACCAAGCTTCCATTCGTATAATCTCCGACTTCTGGCGAAAATCAGAATCTTAGATTTAGCATGATTGATGGTTAATTGGTTGAGTTGACAATACGCAGTTGTCAGATTTACTTTACTCTTGCTGCAAAGCTTGTTACTTGCATGCTGCTGTTGAGAACTTTTGATTTTAAAAAACTGCTGAATATGTACCACTATTTAACACCCCTCCACAGATACCATGCAATCACTGAATTGATTTTCAATCCCACAGTTTGATAATTTACCAAGTCAGCAATTTAGATTTAAAGAAAGGAATCCAAAATATTTGACATCAAATAGTATTTTTTAAGGAAACAAAACAAAAAAACCTGGAAGCTAATCAAAGTCTTGGAACTTCTGCATACCAGTCAGTGCCAAAAGAAAGCAGAGACTGAGTAACTGGAATGTACATTGGCTTTCCATAAGAATTGTTTAGGAGTGTTTTATTGCTGGGGTGGAATTCAGCCAAAGTTAAGCATTTTAAGTTCCGTTGATTTTAATGGTTGTAGTGTAATCCTATTGAATATACAGTAGTGAGATTTCCTTCCAAATAAACATGCATAGGATTGTGAAGTTAGCACTTAATTCTAACAGCTTAAAAGATGCTTCACTTTTATTGTTTCATTCCTGTGGTATTTAGATTTCCAAAGTCCAATGAGCAGGAGGTTGAAGATGACACTAAACTTCAAATGCTTACCTTCTAAGACGAGCATTTGAAATGGTAAAATAATTTACCATAATCTGAAAATGTTTTAAATTAATTTTAAACACTATTGGATAAGAATTTCCCTGCACTTTTATTTTAAAGTCATTTCAATAAAATAGGAACTAACTCTGCTGAGTAGAACAATGGCGGTGGTTGTGTGAAACTGTTGAAGAAAGAAATGGGAAAAGCATGTAAAACTATTTTTTTTCTACTGACGTTGCAATCCTATGCACACATTCCTGTGAGCAGAGGCAGCTTTAAGGGAGAGCAACTGGTTCCTTCACACTGGGCACAGAGCCTTGGGGGTGCCATAAGGGGCACTGCAACTATGATGTAGAAAGGAAGGCAAGGAGGGTGAATTTTGGTGTCATACAGGATGTTGCTGCTGCAAGTCAGCTGCATTGAATCCTATTGAATTCAGTGGGACTTACTTCTGAGTAGACATGCACTGTTGGTCCTATTATCATTCTTCTATGTTGCAGAAATGACAATAGAAGTGACTCTTGGCAAACATTTGCAATGTGATACTGAATTTGATATGTTCCTTTTGATGGCTTGCTTTTCTAGGGGGTTATGGTAGGGATGGGACAAAAAGATAGCTATGTTGGCGATGAAGCACAGAGCAAACGAGGGATTCTGACCCTGAAGTATCCCATCGAGCACGGGATTATCACTAACTGGGATGACATGGAAAAGGTCAGTAGGTTTTGTTTATTTGTCACAATTTGTGATTATTTTCTGCTTAATAATAATAATAATAATAATAATAATTTATTTATACCCCACCCATCTGGCTGAGTTTCCCCAGCCACTCTGGGCGGCTCCCAATCAAGTGTTAAAAACAATACAGCATTAAATATTAAAAACTTCCCTGAACAGGGCTGCCTTCAGATGTCTTTTGAAGATAGGATAGCTGCTTACAGTGGTACCTCGGGTTAAGTACTTAATTCGTTCCGGAGGTCTGTACTTTACCTGAAACTGTTCTTAACCTGAAGCACCACTTTAGCTAATGGGGCCTCCTGCTGCCGCTGTGCCACTGGAGCACGATTTCTGTTCTCATCCTGAAGCAAAGTTCTTAACCTGAAGCACTATTTCTGGGTTAGCGGAGTCTGTAACCTGAAGCGTGTGTAACCTGAAGCGTATGTAACCTGAGGTACCACTGTATTTCCTTCACATCTGAAGGGAAGGTGTTCCACAGGGTGGGCGCCACTACCAAGAAGGCCCTCTGCCTGGTTCCCTGTAACCTCACTTCTCGTAATGAGGGAACCACCAGAAGGCCCTCGGCGCTGGATCTCAGTGTCCGGGCTGAACGATGGGGGTGGAGACGCTCCTTCAGGTATACAGGACCGAGGCCGTTTAGGGCTTTAAAGGTCAGCACCAACACTTTGAACTGGCAAGTAAAAACCACCTAAGGCATATCCAGGGGCAGATGGAAGAGTCCCTTTCTCATGCCCAACCAACCACATGGTAACTGCTTCCATGTGGTTCAATCCCACTCCGCAGGGAAGCATCTGTGAACAATATGGTCTCATGGATGGGGCTGATTGCATGGGCCTTTCCCAGCTAATTGGTACTCTCCCCGCTCCCCCCTGCCCCCGCCGCCTGCTAAGGTGCTGTGTATATGTGTATATAAAAGCTGCACAACTGCATTATTCACTCATACTTTTGGGTACCATGGGATCACACCACACAGAAATGGTTCCCAGACTGCTGGCTCAGCATTTAAAAAGCTAAATGGCCAGGACAATAAATGTAAGGGGCCGTGTTTATTCCTCTGTGAGGAAGCAAAGTCTGTAGCAGGGAATAGCCACAAGCACAGACATATTTAATAGAGGTCCAAACTTACCATATTATCTGCTCTGGCCAACTACAATCAAATAGGTTTCTTTACAGGTCTGGCTGGTTATCTTATAGTTCATTGCTTTGCCTGGCTAAACTTAATAGTGGCATATATGCTGGCTGGATCCACCCCAAAAGGTTCAACTCCTCACACCTGGCAAAGGCTGGCCGTTCCCTATTCCTCCGTCCACACACTTGATGCAACATCACCTGTCTTCCCCACAGAGAATGAGGAATGAATGCTCAATAAACAGTTGGCATCATCTAGTCTCCCCACAAACCTTCTGTCAAGAAATGAGGATGCATGCTCAGGTCATCTGGAAACAGCCTCTGAGTTTCCCTGTGCTTTTCTGTAGAGGAAAGAAAAACTACACTCTCCGTCCTCTAGATGGAAGTATAGCTTTTCCATATACTTCTCACTGTGCTTCATTTCACTGCCTCAGGGAACGCAGTCCTGATTCCCACACATACACCAAATCTCAATAATTCACCCTCGCCATTCCTAAAATGTCAGCTTTCTGTGTCGCAACATAGGTTTGCAGTTAAGAGGCAGCATCTGAATTGGCTTCTTCACTATGCTCTCTTGAGGCCGTGTCCTTCAGGCTGCCAGCTGTGGCAATCCTGGTATCATGCCGACCCCCTTAAAAGCACAAAGCAAGCGATGAGAGCAGTTGCAGATGCTGTTCCTCTAATAGTCCTTTTGCCAGTTCTCCTCCTTCATCCATCGCCACAAGCAAGGCTAGGGAAGAGCAGGAGCAAAGGACTCACTTTTAATTCACCCCAATCGGATTGGGCCCCAAACACTTACCAATGGCTCCATTGCCAAAGCCTTTTTATTTTAAATATTGTACGTTACTGTGGAATTTCTTTGGTGAAGTGCAGTACTGAAATATTTCAATAAATACATTCCCTATGGAAACATTGGTCTCAACACCAGCGGTAGCCAACATGGTGCCCTCCAGATGTTGCCCACCAGCCCCAGCCTGCATGGCCCCAGTCAGGGTGACAATTCCCAGCATGGTTTAACAATCCATCCCTCCCCCAGGGAACTCTGGGAATTATAGCTCTGTGAGGAGAACAGAGATCTACCAACAACACCCTTAACAGCTTCCAGAATTCTTTGAAGGAAGCAATGACTGTTTTAAAGCAGAATCATGTCATTTTACATGTATGGTGCCATACTCAAGAGTAAACACACTGAAATAAAAGAACCTGACAACCTTAAGTCCATTGGTTTCAGTGGGCTTACAGTACAATTTAGTGGATGTAAGCCACAGAAAGGACACATTTATTGCAATGTTTCTATAAATATGTGCATGTTTTTATTGCCATAAGGCATTTGGACATTCCCAGGGAGCTGTGAGAGATGGAATTCATGGGCAATGAAATGAAGCATTCTCCAGCTCATATACTTCAGTTCACAATATTCAAATCTGGGCTGCTCCATTTTCCAGAGTGAGCATTCACTTAGGGTACTAGAGGAGTGTTAATGCATTCACAGCTATTGCACATTTAATGTAGGAAGGGGGGGGGGAGCACAAGAATGGGGCATTATCTTCTTCTTCTGACTTCATAAATGTCTAATGAGGCTGTTCATTTCTCTTGAATGGCATATGGAAGGGAAATCGGTCACATCCCCATCTTACATTTTAATTGTAAGTATTTGAGAATGCCATGGTGGCCTGTGGAGAACAGATCTGATCTCTCTTTGGTGTTCACAAAATCAAAGGAATTAGGGCTTAAATGGAACCTAGTCAGTCATAAAAAGCTTTGTACTATGGGTACGGAAACCTCCCGGTTTGGTATGTAATGCATCACACATGAACCACGCTAGTTTTCCCACTCTTATAAAATCTTAAAGGCTTTGAATTGAACATCCTTGGATGAGGGCACTTAAACTGCAGCAGTCAATGAACAAACAGCTTATTCAAACTGTCAGGTAGGCAGCTGCTGTGAGGGCCTGTACAACCTCAGCGTACAAGCGAAGATTGCTTATTTGAAAGTACCCTTAAATAAGAATCTCCCAGCAAGTGGGAAGATAGCATGTTGTGGAGAAACAAAAGCGAGCATCTCTTCTGTGCTAATTTTCCATATGCATAAGAATTTTAATGAGCTTTTCAGTCATGCAGTTCCCACGTGACACAATTATGTGAGGACGATTATACTGTATACACTCTTGCACATTTGAATTGGTCCCTAAGTGTGGAAAATGTCTTATTCACTATGACTACGACTCATTTGAGTATATCATTTGGGTCCAGATAAAAGCTTTTATAGGAGAGCCTCTATACTTGGCACTTTGTAGGTTTTTGCTGGAGACCAAGTGTCATTCGTAGATGTGGGGCCTGAGACCAAACAACACCAGCAGTTCTCATAAGAATTGGTTCACTTCATCTGATATAAAATATAAAACAGCACTTGAGACTCACTGGCTAAGAGTAAAACATTGTTAGGGTACTTCCGTGATAGATAGCTAAAATTTCTGGCGGAAAGGTATTATAGAATTTCCCTTAAAACAGAGACCAATGTCTAACTTGTCATTGGCTCAACAGACCAATGGTGTATTTTTGTATAAAACAGCTTTTTATGTTCGTGATGTGAGAAGTTCCAGAAATGTAACAAACACATAAAAAAACAGTGTGGTGAAATCCCTCTCCACACAAGGAAACAGAGCAAATTGAGGGAACTTGCATATCTGTGTGACAAACCTAGACAGCTTCTTAAAAAGCAGAGACATCACCTTGCCGACAAAGGTCCATATAGTTAAAGCTATGGTTTTTCCAGTAGTGATGTATGGAAGTGAGAGCTGGACCATAAAGAAGGCTGATCCCCGAAGAATTGATGCTTTTGAATTATGGTGCTGGAGGAGACTCTTGAGAGTCCCATGGACTGCAAGAAGATCAAACCTATCCATTCTTAAGGAAATCAGCCCTGAGTGCTCACTGGAAGGACAGATTCTGAAGCTGAGGCTCCAATACTTTGGCCACCTCATGAGAAGAGAAGACTCCCTGGAAAAAACCCTGATGTTGGGAAAGATTGAGGGCACAAGGAGAAGAGGACAACAGAGGACAAGTTGTTTGGATAGTGTTCTCGAAGCTACCAGCATGAGTTTGACCAAATTGCAGGAGGCAGTGGAAGACAGGAGTTCCTGGCATGCTCTGGTCCATGGGGTCATGAAGAGTCGGACACGACTAAATCACTAAACAACAACAACAAGCATATATGTGTGTAATACGTGGGGTCTAATAAAAGGGATTGGAAACCTCAATTTGCTGTGCTGAAGGGGGTTTGAATGTGGCAGAAATGAATTCCACTCATCCCTATCAGCCTTCACTGTAAGAGAAGATTCTTCTGCGGCAGGGAAGGGAGGAGAGGAGACCCCCAGTGTTCCCACTCAAATGCTGGGTAGTCAGCAGAAACCCACAACATGGGGTGTTTCAGGGGTGGAAATGTGCTGACCCTGCTGCCATCCGGTGATGGCAGTGGGCCCAGTCCAGGCCCTTTCGCTGCCTGGGAACTGGCAGAGCAGAAGGGCATTTCTCCTTGCCCTCGTGTTCTGTCCTGACTGGCACTAGTAGCAGGGCCATAGAAGCAGAGGTGGGTGTGCCACTCTATCCAGCCTTGCCACTACTGTCCAGGGGTTTGGTTTGACCTCTGACTTAATGATGTATGTATTCATTTTGCTACATTTGCTGTTTGAAATGCAAAGATTCATTGGGCAACACTCAACACACATTGCCTGTATGTTTGCCTTCAACCACCTGTCCCTTAGATTTGGCACCATTCCTTCTATAATGAACTTCGAGTTGCCCCAGAAGAGCACCCTGTCCTCCTGACCGAAGCGCCATTAAACCCCAAGGCTAATCGAGAAAAAATGACCCAGGTAATTATTTGGATGTTGCTTCCCTACTGTGCTAGAAAACTCCAGTTTTAGCAGAGAAACAAAAGTGGCTGTGGCTGTCATGCCCAAAAGGGGGGCGGGGCGGTGCAGCTGGGATGGAGTGATGGCAGGGAGGGGCAGGGACTGCTCAGATGCATTCCATCAAGCTCCACCCACTGGTATGGATGACAAGCTGCAGAAGATCAATAAATATTTAGGGTTGTGTCAGATGCGAGTGGTGGTTGCTTGTGAGTAACCAGGCAGGACTCCAACCTGTCTTTTACAGGTTTTATTGGTGCAAACTATTTACAATGCAGAGCCAACAAGTTCATGTCCGTCTTAGTCACTTGCAGAATCCGGGAGTGGCCTCTTCCAGTTTCTCCCCCAACATAAGAACTCAGACACCCCAAATCTCTGCCTCCCCTCCTTGCATTTTACCCCTCTGCACAAACTGGGTGATGGAAGTTGCGTATCTGCCTCCTGGCCAGCCGGGCTAGGTGAGGCGCTTGGGCTCTTCGCAGCATCTTCGAGTCCTCTCCTCACTTGGCTGGTGCCTTCCCTCTCTGCTCCACTGGAGGTGTGGCTTTCCCCATTGCTGGACGAGGAGCTGCTCCTCAGAAGCGTTGGAGACTCTCTGTATTCCCCTGCCTCCCTCCCCTGTTCTGATGTCAGTCCCTTGACAGGTTGAAAGTATGAAAGTATACCAGATGCACAAACAGAATAATAGGATCTTTGTGACCCATTTGCAGTAGACATAAGGCCCCTATCTGGAATACCCTCTTAGACTACAGTGCAAACAGATAACCACCGAAACAAGGAGCAGTTATGCATTGTGAATTTCTAAGTTTCTATGTCCCGAGAACAGAGAATTATTTACCTTTCTGCTGCCAAAGTATCAGAAGCAGAGCTTCCCTGCCTTTGTTCTTCCATGCTGCGGAAATGGCTGTGCGGACTCTGCAAAAGAGCAATTTCACAGTTTTGCAGCAAATGATTTCTGATAAGTGGTAGGTCTGTAAGGTCTATTGCTCTTCAGAAGTGGAGAAAGATAATGAAATGCTAGTCATCCACCTTTTCTCAGAGAAGTATACTGCTGAGCTGCTCATTTCGGAGAGACTGTGAATTAATGAATTTAGAGGCCATTTCAGTTGAGCTGAGTCAGGTTACTGTCAAAAGAAACAGGGATTAAAGCTAGAATAAAAGGGGTTTCACCGCTGTCAGGCTGCAATTAGACAGCAAGCCCAGAATTCTGCATTTTAAAAATCCAGAGGGGAAACCTCATTATTTCAATTTATTACGCTCAATACTGTTAATGAAATTGCATGTCTTGTTTGGTGTAAACCGTCTGGGATCATTTGTCATCTTCATTCAGTTTCCTTCACTAGGGACTTTGAAAGATAGACTTAGGCGTGGTGTGGAATAATGTGAAGATAATTTAATTAGTTGTGTAATTAATCTGTAAAATTCCACCACAGTGGACAGTGAGACAAATAACATAGGCTTTGTTGGAAGCCAAACTGCAGTGGAACTGTAGCAGCGCTGCAAGCGACAAACATCGGATGGAATGGAAATCATTGTCCTCCTATACCTTTATTCTCATGTGTCCACCACTGCAAGTATGATTTATCTTGGATACCATAGCTCCTGTGCACAATTTGGAACCAAGCATATAATGCTGCTAGGAAAATTGGGTATCTTAAAACCAGATTTTAATAGCATTGTAGCATTCTCTTTCTATGCTTAGAGATCCTAAGACCCTCTCATTTGCCACCTACAGATCATGTTTGAAACTTTCAATGTGCCTGCAATGTATGTGGCCATTCAAGCGGTTCTTTCTCTCTATGCATCTGGCCGAACTACTGGTGAGTTTGAAATTGATGTCACCATCTTTAAAAAAAGAAGGTTTCCTCACATATATGTATCTTGATACACTGGCCCCTATTTTTCCTTACCAGGCTATTATGAGAAAACCAGATCTTCTGATAAGCCCCTACCATACTGAATTAACATAGGGAAAGAAAAGAGAGAGAATTGGGAACACTCAATCTCCAGCCAATAATTTCCTGTGACCAATCAGAACTGCTGTTTTGTATAGTTAAACTCTTCCCTTCTCCAATCAAAAAATCAAAGTGGTTGGAAGCCAGCCACTCATATACTCCCCGCCCCCCACCGGCCCGCTGGTGTGCACAGGAAGAAAAACCCTTTTATCCCTGATAATGTTCCTGAAGCAATTGTTGTCCCCCTACAAAATAATAGCTGCGTATTTAACTGTAGCCTGTTTTCTAATTGCATTGGATATGACCTATTTTCTTCAGCAAGCTTTATAAAATACATTCAAATGCCGAATGAAAACTTGCTTAACTATGCACCAAAAAGATGGAGAAGGAAAGCGCCTACACCGTGACTGTATAGTGGGTTAGTTGCTAAATTACACATAGTGAAAATTATGCTCCTGGCTTTGAGTTAAAGTATCTTATATTTACTATAAATTCCTGGCAACTGCCCCACGAACGGGAAACACATGGCCACCACCCTGTCTGGGTACATGGCAACCCTACCAACCAGGGCTGTGACTTGTTGGCTAACTTCACCAATCCAGGGTGCCTCTCCAGACCACCTATTTATTGAGCACTCATCAAGATCTGTGTGCACAAAACTTACTCAGTGTTTAGATCATGGGTAGGCAAACTAAGGCCCAGGGGCCGGATCTGGCCCAATCACCTTCTAAATCCGGCCTCCGGACGGTCCAGGAATCAGCGTGTTTTTACATGAGTAGAATGCGTGCTTTTATTTAAAATGCATCTCTGGGTTATTTGTGGGGCAAAGGAATTTGTTCATTCCCCCCCAATATAGTCCGGCCCCCCACAAGGTCTGCTGAAAATGTTTGCTGACCCCTGGTTTAGATTATATTCAATATTTCTTGAGCATTCATCCTCCAGTCATCTTGATTTGCTTGCAGAGCATTTATACCTCTTCTTGTTAGCAGGCATTCATCCCACACTTTTCAGTTCATTTCTCCATGACTTTCCCAAGCCACAAAAAGTCCTCTATTTTAAAGTGGGTTTGTTTTGCTAGAGCAATGGGGTGCTTTAATCCATTTTAAACGGTGGAAACCTGAAGTTCCAGCTTGTGTCTGAATTCCTCCCGCAAAATACTGACAGTCTGGAGGTGCCCATTAAATAGGGTTGTCAACTAGCCAGAAAAAAAATCCAGCTCAAAAATTCAGAGTTTTTAGTGGCTATAGCTTTTGAGTTTATTAGGGCAGTCTGTGGCTGTCTCACACCTAGTTCAGGGAGAGTCCACGAGTTCTCTGTGGAAGGGAGTCCACAGGTGGGCCTTTTTGCAGCAATATACGTTACCTTGTAGATAGCTGCTGTTTTATTGTTCCATTAAAAAAAAACCTGCACATTTTAGTGGCAAATCTGTATGTTTATACATCAGCATTTTGATATTCTTTGCAAATTGTTTGGGATCCTATTTTTTTTGGTGAAAGGCTATAGAAATGTAAGAAGATCATTATCATTAGCATCTGTTTCAGAGAGAACAATGCCATGCAATTTCTGACTCTTTCATGAAGGCAATTTCTTCTTTGTATAGGCCAGCAATTTCCCTCTGAGTTCCACTCAGCATGGAGACAATAGGGATTATCATTTGCAGTCTCTCCTTTCAATCCCAGTTGTTGTCAAAGGGTTTAATTTAGCAGAAAGAGTGGGGCAGGGCAAGGTCTACAGAGAAGAATGCTGACGCTTCTAATTTTCTTCCTCTCTCTTAGGGATAGTTCTGGACTCAGGGGATGGTGTCACACATAACGTACCTATCTATGAAGGTTATGCCCTGCCACATGCCATCATGAGACTGGATCTGGCTGGAAGAGATCTCACTGACTATCTCATGAAAGTTCTTACAGAGAGGGGATACTCTTTTGTTACTACAGGTAATCAGTGCTTTTCTTACAGATCAAGGGAGGAATATAGTGTTGTGCTAAGGCAATTGTTTCACCATTTCAGGGGTAGATGAGGAGGGGGAAGCCCCTTTGCAAAAGCAGAAGTCCTTCTGCAGGGCTTCTGCTAATGGGATTCATTATTTAAATTCCACCTCCTGTTTACTTCTGATAATGCTGTCTTATTCTGCCACATCATGGATGCTTTAGCTGAGATTCCTGCATTTCAGGGGGTTGGACTAGATGGCCCTTGGGTCCCTTCCAACTCTTAAGATTCTATATTCTGTTATCATATTGGATAAATAAGTACCATATGTTATTTCTCTCTTCAAAAAATGGCTTGATCATGATCAACATGATGTTATTGAAGAACCACCTAGCATCGAGGCATGAATTATGTTCTTTGATTTTCTGATTTTCTAATTCTTTTTTAAAAAATCAAAGTTTTCTTTATGCTCCCCACTTCCACCCCAAATATACAAAAATATAAAAGCAGTCAATAAAATAAAAAGAAAGAAAAAGACAAAATCTAGACACAAGAAAGATTTAACAGCAACCTGCTAAGCACACTCTTTCGCACCTCACCCCGTGATAGTTCAAGGTTATGTGGCAGTTGTGGACAAGGTGAAATCCATGCTAAGGATTATTAGGACGGGAACTGAAAATAAGTTTGCCATCATCATCATGCCATTAAACAAACCTATTGTATGCCTGCATTTGGAATTACTTTTCACAGTTTGCAGCCTCTAAAAGGATATTGTAGAGCTGGGAAAGGTTCAGAAAAGGGCTACTAAAATGGCCAAAGGACTGTAATACTTCCATTGTGTTGAAAAGTTACACCAGTTGTGGCTTTTTACTTTACAGGAAGTGGGAGTAAGGGGGAACATGACTGAGGTACATAAAAATAAGCAATGTGGGAAGATTCAGCATGCACAAAAGGAAAGTATGACTTAACACTGTGCATAGTTACACTGTGGAAATTTCTTCCACAAGATGTAATGATGGCTGCCAACTTGGATGACTTTAAAGGACGATTAGACCAATTCATGGAAGATAAGGCTATCAATGGTTACCATCCACAATGGCTATTCTTCATCCACTGTCAGAGTCAGTATGCTTCTCTAGATCAGGTTGAGATCACAAATGGGTGCAGTACTCAGGTACTGCTTGCAGGCTTGTTGGTCACTGTGGGAACAGAAGGCTTGATTAGATGGGCCTTGGTCTAATCTAGGACTTTTCTTATGGTGAGAGCGAATACAGCTTGCTGAACTGTCAAGTCTTCAGCCTGGAGCACGGAGTAAGAAGAGAAAAGGCCTATAAACTATGCCAAATGTTTAAGACTGCAACACCCAATTAATTTTAATAAGGAGCAAACTTCCAACACTGTGCCGTCTAATGCGCAAAAATGAAATACAAGGGTCGTTAGAATGAAGGTCAGCCCAACATCAAGATCTTACTGCTAGCTTCAAGTATTGGGCTTTGTATCAGCTCCTGCCATTGATTTCTTCATTGCATGATCCATCCAGGATCTCTCTCTGTCCAGGTGTACTGCTGGATTTTCTTACAAAAGAAGAGTTCATAAATCAAGCATAGGTGTGGGACACCTTTTTGAGCCTGGTGGCCTCAGTCCTTTGTAGGCAACCTTTCGGGAACCAGAGGAAAAATGGGTAATATGCTATGTTTGAGCTACATAAAAGGCAAAGCTTTCTATACCCACACATGTCTCCATTTCCCATCCTGGCAAGCATGAGGCAATACCACAGTTCAGTGACATGTTCACGTCAGACAGAAGCACTTGAGGAGGGATTGCACTATAGCTGGTTGAAGACCTGGCCAGGAGAAGGGAGGTGGTCTATGGGTGGGCAAAGTCTGGAGAGAGTTTCAAGAGCTGGACAGAAAGGCTTGGAGAGCCACAATTGGCCCCAGACCTGAGGTTCCCCACTCATAGTATACCAGTAGCTTTCTGGCTTCGTTAGGGATAACATCTGTCCCTTATGAGACACCAGAATATTAAAGTGGACCCTTTACTGAGCTGACCAACTTTTCAAAATAACTTCTGTGATTTCTTTCATCTGACGGGAAGAAATCAAATGAACGATTTGTGCTGTTTTCATGTGAAAATAAGAATCTTTTCTCAGCCTTTACTAGGAGTATTTCATTTGTTTTATAATGCGTAAAAGGCTAAAAGAAAGCAGATGGGTACTTAAGAATTAAGAAGCTTGCTATCCTATATTAAGGTTCTTCAAGAAGAGTCCTAATACTCACACAGGGAGGGATCACCTATGTAGGTTCAGCACATAGCAACCTTTGATGGTTGAAGGAGGTGACAGAGGAAAGGGAGGACCGTATACCAAATTTATAGCCCAGGGGCTCAGCTAGATTAGTAAAGAAAAAACGATTTATATGTGTGTTGTATGTGTGATATAACATTGTGCCACCAGATGGCGACGTGGAGCCCCGTTTTTCTCTACCTGTTTTCCCTGTTTAAATTTACAACACTTTAAACTGATGTGTCTAGATCCAACCCAGGTGGCTTTTAAGTCAGCATGCTCTACCAGTCAGCTGACTTTTACATAAGGAAGGCACTCTTAACGCCTTTCAGAGCCTAAAGATTAGGCTGGAAAGGTGCTAATTAAAAAGGAAGTTGTTCAGGCTAACCCTGGTAGACATGACATTTCGAAGGGATTTTCAAATCGTGTGCTTTAAAGTGGCAGCAGTTATATCCTTCGTTCTCTTTGGAGAAATGGAGGCTGGCTCTTTGTTAGGAAAGCTGTGGCTCTTAAAAAAGACATACCTTGAAAGGACAAAGCTGTAGCCCAAGTGTTTTCTTGGGGATTTCTCTGTTCTGCCTGTGCGGCAGGGCCAAGGGAGACCGATTTTCCATCCTGGGAAGGACTGTGGTTATAAGGATTCTGATAAGTAACCCAAGAGCCCTCTGCTATCGTCTTACACCTCACTGCTTGATGTTTGTAGCCGAGCGTGAGATTGTGCGAGACATCAAAGAGAAGCTCTGCTACGTGGCTCTCGACTTTGAGAACGAAATGGCCACTGCTGCATCTTCCTCTTCTCTGGAGAAGAGCTACGAACTCCCCGATGGTCAAGTCATCACTATTGGCAATGAACGGTTTCGATGCCCTGAAACTCTCTTCCAGCCATCGTTCATAGGTGGGTCTGCACTCGTTTCCCGTGGCTGTGGTTAACAGGCGAAGAAAACATGCTATTGTACTGCTATACTGGAGATGTTACTGCCATGACCATATTTGCTATGTGAACAAAAAAAGTAAAGATGAGAGAAAATGCTGTTGTGTCTAATTTATTTTGGCATGAGCACTTGTAGATTAATCCGGTTGACAAAATGGACTGAGTAGTTGGTATACATGGGAAGAGGTACCCTGGAAGACAGAGCAATCTAACAAGAATTTGCTTCATATAAGACTTAAAACAATGTTTACCCCTAAATACTAAATACCGTCATATCTCAGGTTACAGACTCTTCGGGTTGCGTGATTTCTGGTTGCGCACTGCGCCGAACCTGGAAGTACCGGAACTGGTTACTTCCAGGTTTCGGCACTCGCACATGCGCAGAAGCGCCGAATCGCAACCTGTGCATGCGCAGATGCGGCGCTGCGAGTTGTGAACGTGCTTCCCGCACGATCATGTTCGCAATCCAAGCGTCCACTGCACGTTTATTGGCATCAGATTTAAGGAGTGTATATGGGGACTTCTCACTGTTTTCTTTTAAAAAAATACATTCATTACTAGGAAAGAATCAAGCTCGTGTGTATATTAAAGGGAAATATGTGTTTGTGTGTGAAAATGGATGTTTCACATTAGGTTAACATTGCAGGTTTAAAACTTTGGATAATATGCCTTATGCAACCTTAAACTTCTGATGGCAAACAAACTGGTTTAGGGAAAAGCATCCATTACACAAAGGACTCATTGGCACTTATATTATGCCCCACACTTTCTAGGCACACATACATACGGATGGCATGGGGTCCTTATACAAGATTAATTAATATCAAAATAGGGCTCTGGTGGATAAATATAAAGCTTCTGTTGTTTGCGTAATCTAGATTGCTGTTATCCCTCCAACTGAGCACCTGGACCAGCCACCTAAAAATATTTTCACTATATGTCCCGCCCTACTGATCAAAAATAATGGGAAAGATCTAAAATCAGCCTCTCTTTATTTTGTATCACATTTTCGCACTCTTTTAAAAAAGTGAGAGTGGCTTGCTTAGAAATACGTGATCAATTAATCCTCGTAATTTCATTTCCGTCCAGGGATGGAGTCTGCCGGTGTCCATGAAACAACCTATAACAGCATAATGAAATGTGATATTGACATCCGTAAAGATCTTTATGCTAATAATGTGCTTTCTGGAGGGACCACCATGTACCCTGGCATTGGGGACCGTATGCAGAAGGAGATTACCGCTTTGGCTCCAAGTACAATGAAGATCAAGGTCAATGTTACATCTAACATCAATCTAAGAGGCCATGAATAGGCCAGAGCATGTGATTTCTAGAGGGGGGGGGAGATGAGAAGCTAGAACACAAGAGATCTATGTCCAGATTTTATGTGGCTTTTGTTCAAAGCCACCTGATTGCTCTTCCTCACTTTAATCGGAGTATAGGTCTGTCAGTGGCTATATACACCACACTAACAATTAAGTCTCTAACTGAATATAGCTATTTCCATTGTGACCTGCTTTTGAGATACTTGGGGGGTGTTTTGGAAGATGCTAGGCTGAATGGATAAGAACATAAGAAGAGCCCTGCTAAATCAGGCCAAGTTCCATCTAGTCCAGCATTCTGTCCTCCCAGTGGCCAACCAGATGCTATGGGAAGTCCATAAGCAAGACCCAAGTACAGCAGCACCGTCCTCACTTCCAATTTCTAGCAACTGATATATAGAGGCATAATGTCGCCAACAGGGTGGGGGAGGATAGCCATCATGGCTGGTAGCCATTCATAGCCTTATCCTCCTTGAATTCATCTAATTGGCTTAGTTGCAAATTTGTCATAAAGCAGAGGATTATATATAATTTTATGGTTTTATTGATTTACAATTGACCTGACTTGCATACCACTTTGTAGCTATCGTAGTCACACAACCAAGAGCTTGTATTGCTTGCATATTCCAGAATGAGAATAATAGGGATTAGAAGACATGATGACTAAAATGAGAATGATTGTCACCTAATTTGTATGTTCCCTTCTTCATCCCCCTCCTTCTTCTAGATGATTGCACCTCCAGAACGTAAATATTCTGTCTGGATTGGGGGATCCATATTGGCTTCTCTTTCGACCTTCCAGCAAATGTGGATCAGCAAAGATGAATATGAGGAATCTGGTCCCTCCATTGTCCATCGCAAATGCTTTTGAATATGCTAAATGTTATCTTGTGGTGTTTCTCTACCAAATTTCTCTGGAAATTTAGTTTAAGCTTTCCCTCACTGCCTAATCTGAAAACACAATAAAGGTGATGTTAACTGAACAGATGTTGTCATTTCTGGATGCCTCAAATACGTACACCCCATATTATGTACACCCCATATTTTCCATTCAAATGACAAGGATCCTTAGAAAATCCTTCATTGGTTATTAAAGAAGTTATTGCAGTTAGGAAGCTTCCTAAAACTGCTCACCACGGGATGTAATACTTCATGCTTTGAAATAAGATGTTCAATGTCATATGCAATATCCAATGAGCTCTGTATGGCTTTAATATGAACATTTTATCCTCACAAGAACCCAATGACTTAAGCAGACTGATTGGCCCAAGGCTACCAAGTCAACTTCATTGCTAGGTAGAGTTTTGAAATAGCATTTGTCACATCTAAAATCATGCTAGCTACTATTAGTTTTCTACTTTTTTTAAGAGCAGTTGGTAAAATCCTGCTACTAAGATTAACAGGACTTTGTCATTTGATGAATTGTAGCCACTCATTAATTAATTACCCATTGGCATTGTGATAATAACAGCATGGGATTTACCCCCCTCCATTTAATACAAGTTTCTCTTGGTGGAGTTGCTGTAATATAATGGAATGTTTGCAAACATTCCAACTTCTGAAGACTTGGCAATCCTATGTCATAACCAGTGCATCATCTGTAACATAAGTGAAATGCCAATTTAGTTAGAGCAGCCTTCCCCAACCTCGTGCCCAAGGCTGGTGCTTTCATGAGGTAAAACAAAGCAATTTGCCTCAGGTGGCAGATCCAACCCTCTCCTTATCTCCACCACTGTGCTGCTGCCAGCCTGGCTCCTCTTCTGCCAACCCCACTGTGACTTTGCCCATGCTGCTGCCACCACAGTGCCCTCGCCCTCACCACTAATGCTGTGCCCTTGCCACTGCATCGTGGCAGCAGCACAGGCGCAGCTGTGGGTGCAGTTGTGGGCTGTGGGCTGGCGGCAGTGCGGATGCAATGGTGGGGACAGGGAAAGGCTCAGATCTGGTGGTGGCGGTGGCAGGGGCGCATCTTGCCTATTGAGACAAAACATCCCAGGCCTCCCTCCCCCCCTGACTACAATTCTCATCAGTGTGGCCTATGATCAGGGATGATGGGAGTTGCCATCTGAAATGGAGTGAACCAGGTTGGGGAAGGTTGGGATAGGGAAATCTATTATAGATGGTGACTGGTGTCCACTGCAGCTAGCAGGGCAAAAGGCAGGGAGATGAACAGTCCGGGGAGCCAGAGAAACTCTCGGGCAGAGCCAATTCATTCTAGTTTTCTCCCCATCCTTCTCCTCCCTGCTCAGTTCTGCGAGGGCAACAATGGGCCGAAGGAGGAGGAAGCTGACAGGCCGTGCAACTCCCTGGACTGGTTATAAGTAAGAAGGCAGGTGTGTGTGGGTGGGGGTGCTAACTGAAGGCAGACTGCGGTTGGTGTAGCACTGCTCCATGTGCCTGAATTGAGCTGCCTCCTTCTTAGTGAGAGGAGTCTGACCGATGTTGCTGCTCCCTGGAAGAGAAGAGCCAGGAGCGCTTTGGAATCATGGAGCCCAAGGCCAAAGACCAACTATTTTGGCCTGGTGGTTTCACACATCAGGACTGCAACCTCCATCTGTAGAGTAGTTATGTGACTCCATGTTTGGACACAAGGATTTAACAGGATTTAACGCTGAACAAAGACCTCTTGCTTCCTTCAACTTCAGGCACACATTTAATGATGACTAGTTCCTGTGTGAATAGCATGCTTGTGTGTAATGCATCTGACTGAATGGTGAATGTTGCCATCCAGGGAGCTTCATGGCTGGGCAGACATTAGAACTTGGGTGTTCTTAGGCTCAGTCCAGCACTCTATCCCACGATGCCAAACTGGTTCACAATCAACTACACAAACTGTAGATGTTCAATTTTCTTTACCCTTGGAGCAGAAATGCATTTCAACACCCCTCAAGTCTCAGCATAATGCTTTGTTTTTGTGAAATCATCATAAGTGTGTGGTTAATTTACCTGCCAGAACATTGGGCTTGTTTTTCCTCTCACTGTCCCTGAGTGCTTTGGCCAATTAAGTGGCTTTTAATTAACCTTCTGCTGCTGCCCTTGTTAGGCAAAAGTAATAGTTGCTAAATAAATAATAATCCTTCCAAATATGCTATCATAATTATTGGGAGCTTTAATGATTGTGTAATTAACCATGTAATGCTAATGTGACTTGCATTAATTGCACAGCCACTAAACAGATATGAATAAGCAACCAGAACAGTCTGTTTTAATTTGTTTATTAAAAAAAGAAGCTGTTTTGAGATGCGATTCGTAGCAAAGTGTCCTGGAGTTTTAGTAATGTCCCTAGTTAACCCAACCAGGTTAACTAAAGTAAGTAAAGTCTACAAACAAATAGTAATCTATCTTCGTGACTTAAGATGCCAAAGAAACCCAGTACCCAACAATACATTTGTAATACATTGTAATACATTTGTTGGTATAGGGTTGGAGACAAAGAAGCACCTGTGGAATGGAGGGGTAGAAGGTGACCCTCCCCTCACCCTGACAGCTTCCCCAAGTCCCTGAAAAAGCCTGGCATAGAGGGCAGCTGGGCAGCTTCCACAGCAACCCTCAAAATTCACATACAGAAAACAGGCCTCCTGCCACTGCACTAATCTGTAGTGGCAAGAAATACAGTGATCTATAGGAAGGAATGGCTGTAAGTGGTTAAGATTCTGTTTTTCATAGTGAACCAGTGTAAGACATAAGGCTTTCCTTTCTTTCAGCCAGTAGGCATGTGGTTCTTTGAGGTTGTTTAGAGCTTGCTTATGCGGGTTGTCACAGTGATTTTCTTTTTAATTGATTATCTGCATTGATGAGGAATTTAGTCATATGCCCTTATTCATTATAGAATTCCCGACTATCTAGCTAATTGTAGGAAATTCCTATAAAGAAAGAGAAGCTCTCTCTCTCTCTCTCTCTCTCTCTCTCTCTCTCTCTCTCACACACACACACACACACACACACACTATCCCAGCCTTCAGGGACAATATGCAATTTAATTGCCAGCAACCCCTATTTTTTGGAATTAAAATGAACATTGCAGCTTGTGAAACTTCAAGGAGAATTACAGCCAAGTTTTTTTGGCTCAGCATTGATTAGCACCAGTCACTAACTGGTGTTAGACCAACTAATGAGTGGGGTTTTTTGCGGGGGGGGGGGGTGGTGGTCCTCCCCAATCCTATGATTTATAGCTGTAGAATTGGATTATGAAGAAATGGGGAACTACTAAAATGGTGAAAATTAACACCTGAACAAAAACAGATAGGCTGGTCTGAAACCAGTGACTTATCGTAGAAATGGAGTAGCTGGACATTCCCTTCTGAGGTCTTTCCCGCCTCACATCCTTGCTGGAGCTGATGTCATCAAAGCAGGTGTGTGTATGTGAAAGACAACAGAAGAGTGAGGCAGTCTTGGAGCTGGGATGAAAAGAGGCCCAGAGGCCTGGACTATCCAAAAATTATGGTTTTAGTAAAACACACACACACACACACACACACTGCAAAAAGCCAGAGACGTAGGAAGTAGGGTGCGGTGGGGGCGGGTCGCCCTGGGTGCCATCTCTGAGGGGAGTGACAAAATCCCCCCTGGGCTGGGATCGCCTCAGATTGTCTCGTTGATTGCCCCCATGGGTGGGGTTCACCGTGCTGATCTTTCTCCTGGGTGGGGATCGCCACACCAATCACCCCCCTGGGCGGCCCAGCCTGCCCCGTGGGCAGCCCGCCCCCAGGTGCACAGCACGTGCGCCGCTCCGGGTGCCCGAGTGGCTAGCTACGCCACTGCAAAAAGCACCAACTGAATAGTCCATCAACATCTAGAGGAGTACTGAATTTCTACCTCTGCTGTAAAGGAAGGCGTATGCCCATTTCCCCACTTTCGATTTCATCGCTTTTGCAAGGAGTATCCATGACCAACAGATCCCCTCTGTACTGTACTCCATTGTGGTTGCTTGGAGAATAAAATGCTAATGTTTCATCACAGAGCAGTAGATTAGCAATATAACCCTGAATGCATTTATTAGAAAATAAATCTGATAAATATTTTTAGAATAATCATATTGTGATGGCCTGGGATTCCGATTCGGAGGATGAAACAGAGGAATCCCAGCCTGCACAGGAGTCCCCGCCTCCAGGGCCGGCTGAACTGGGGCAAGGCCTAGATGCTGAAGAGCCTGCACCTGTGGCAGTGCATCAGGAGCTGGCCCCAGGTGAAGCCCTTCTGGCCCCAGAGGGGCTTGATGACTCAGTGGCCACAGGTGAGCCTCCTCCAGGGCCCAGTAACCCTTCGGCCTCTCCTGATCTGCAGAGGCTTAGGGCAGAGAGGCGAAGGGAACTGGTTGCCCCCAGGAGGAGTGCTCGCCTTAAGGCCAGAGGAGGCGGGGCTCCTGGGGACCGGGACCGCCCCTGGCCTTAGAAGAGGATAAAAGCCCAGTCAGCCCGGCCCCAGGTTGCGGGAGCAACGTCGTTGTTGGCTCGGACCTTCCTGTGCTCCTGTTCCCTGCTCGGCTTCCTGTTCCTGACTATCCGGTACTCCTGTTCCCTGCTCGGCTTCCTGTTCCTGACTATCCGGTACTCCTGTTCCCTGCTCGGCCTCCTGTTCCCGACCATCCGGTGTTCCTGTTCCCTGCACAGCCTCCTGTTCCAGCATTCCTGTTCCCCGCCCGGCTCTCTGCCTCGGACCTTGCCCCTCTTCGTGTGGACTCTGCTACACCCAAGGTACCTTACCCCGGGACCAGCACAGTTTGCTCCCGCCACACCCGCACTTCCCCTTCGTAGGGGTGCGTTCGGGAAGAGCCAGAGGCCATGGCTGAACAGGCGGCTGCACTGGTGGCTTTGGCCCAGGAGAACCAGGCCTTGAATCACACCGTGCAGCAGCTCAGCGACGCGGTTGTGGCACTTCAGCAACGCTTGGAAGCCCTACCGGCTCCTGGGGCCGACGCCCGGCTCCGGGCAAGTACCCAGTGGCTTTGCCTGAGAAATTTGATGGAGCCCCGGCCAGCTTTCCC